TATAGCGATAATGCCAAATGACACAAGTGATGCCAAGAACACCCAACAAGATTCCAGCAGCAATGGCACCAACGATTGCATGCTGGGTGTACTCATCACGCAGTCTACTAAAATCAGGACCGTTGATGTTGAGTCCCCAGCGCACTACTTGAACTTTAGCATTTTCGTTGACCATGTTGGTTTTATAAACGATGATGCACGTATAGTAACCAAACTGGTCGTCTGCGACCCTATCGATCACCAGTGTGTAGGCAAGCATATTTCGCTTGATAACCTTGATGTTATTCGTGCTTTCCATAATGAGGCTGACATCGGGTAACATCCACTGGATGCTTTCTATGTTGTTGAAGTTCTTAGAAACATTGAGCATATTACTGTCGCAAGTTAGATTGGCGCCACTGAAATATTCTACCTGTATGTCCGCTTTGTAAGTCATTGGAACCGTATATGTAACCGCACCAGACGACGCAATAAACATAGCAGCCACCAGGACACTGGACCAACCCATTTTGGTTGACTTGTTTACCTGAAATTAGAAGAAAAGTGGATTATCCCTACAGTGTATGTTTAAACTAGATTTAGCCCTGCTTATAGTGACAAAGAGTATGGTCGCCTGTCCAACCTCATGGATTTTCTACAAGACCTCTGTTTTCCGGGTACGGGACAATTAATTGTGTTTAAGAAGAAGAACAGCCACCAATCTGCAGCTAGAAATGTAAATGTTTATCAACCTTAAACATACATTATGCAAGATCTAAATCTGCAAATTGCAGGTCTTTCTTTAGGCCTGAAATGTTATCTAAATTAATTATACATTAATTAACTTATCCAGACCATAATCAACTCTCGATGGCATTGCAAGCCTGCGATATTTATTGGATTAGAACCCGGCCTGCTGCTTCTGATTAAATCAAAAAATGGATAATCAAGACTATGTTTTTTATCGTACCGACTTTAGTAACGATGATCGAGGCTAGGCCGAAATTTCAATCACTTAATTCTCGGTTCAGGGTGGATCAATTTGACTTCAATTTTCAATAAGTTGCCTTTACATTATCTATTTTTTAACTATTATAGTGAGAACTACCAGCTCTTTATTTAATCTTCCATAATGTATCTTTAACAAGATGAAATGTTACTCTATAAATGAGAAGAAGACGATTACAGTTCCTGGTTAAAAAAAGCTCTGTGACCGAACAAACAAATCATACATACAGTAGTCTCATACCTTATGTAATAAAGAAAAACTGCCACTAAACATCTGTCAGCCTTGACAAGACAAAGTTCTACTCTGTATATATGGTGTTAGTATATATATCTGCCCTATATACCTGGATATTAGTTTTATATCACATTTACATAAAAACTTGATATCAAAAGATGTCCGACAGTAAACATCGTGTGGTTATAAAGCTGAATAAACAAACGGTGATAGGAGTACACAAGCCAACTCTATGAATATTTTAAAAAACCTATATTTCACTCGATACTAATGAGGTGCCATGAGGTGGATATGAGATGACAAAATTTAGGTATTAGCATGTTCGAAAGTAAATTTAAAATGATATTATTTAAAGATCTATTAGCATTCATTAGGGGTATGAGTTGACAAAAATTTAATATTACATTATTTATAAAGATGTATTTCTCAAACAACCAACTCTTTTATAGAGAGATTAACACTTTTACAAACAGTGACAGCTTCACACAACCTAACTCCTAGAGTACAGGAGGACTGCACTACACACAACACAAAACCGACAAGACAAACTACATAAACATTGCAAGATATAAACAACAAAATGATAGGTCCACAACTATGAATACAACTCTATGAATACATACTATTTTTAGAAAAAACTAAGAACGTAGAAGTTGCCAAAAATTTAATATTATGCTACTTAAAGGGATATTAGCACTTTCACAAAGGGTGAAAGGTGTACACAAACCAACTCTATGATCAATAATATTAAAAAGAAAATGACATGTCCATCGATACTGTAGGTCTACACAAGCCAACATTATACCTGTATGAGTTGACAAAAAAATAACATTATTTAAAGAGGTATTCTCACTTTTCAATATTTAATATTATTAGTATCATGGGGACCGCACCACACACAAACAAATATACAAGACAAATCTAGGGACAAGACACAATATACATAAGCCATAAGCATCCATTGCGCTGTACAGTCTGTAGTGATACAGACTTTAAATATTCAAAAATGAAAACTAACAATAAGGGAATATTTTCCAAACATTGTATAATACTAGTGTGAGTTATGATTGGCTATGTGCTACATGAAATATAAACGCAGGCATATTGAAGGAAAATACCTTTACTAGAACCATTTATGTGAAATGTAGTAAAAAGTCAAGTAAAAACTAAATGGCCTATGTAGTGATAAAAAAATAGGGATCAAAACATAAGTTAAAATGTAATTATATGAATAATAAAAAGGGTGATAATCCAGATAAGACAACGCTAAAAGAGTTAAAAATAACAATTCAGAAACAGATAGGTTCCTCAACTGTGTAGTTACACAAAGTACAATAAGTAATACACCTATAAGAAATGGAAATGTTATTTATACTCACGCAACTCTATGAATACAATATATTAAAACAAACTACTTTTCAGTGATACTATAGGAGTTTCTTTATACCAGTATGAGTTGACAAAAATTTAATATTTTATTAAAAGATGCATTATGTAAGAGCTAAATCTGCCAATTGCAGGTCTTTCTTTTGGCATCAAATGTTATATAAATTATTAATAAAAGAAGTATTCACATGACAAACCTATAATCAACTCTCTAATCATCGGATGGTAGCAATTTTCAATGGATTGAACCACGATCACCATTTAATAATTTAATTTAAAAAGGGATAGTTACAACTTTGTTATCGTAACAATGGTACTTGACAATCAAGACTATATTGTGAACACTTCAAAGCCCGAAAACTTCGCCCAGAAACAAGTATTTTGACTGAAATTTTCAATATTCATCTTTCATATCTATATTTTTGAATTGTTATAGCTCTGTATCTAAATCTAGATGTATAAGCACTTTCCACGGTAAATTGGGGGGTTGGATGGCTGAATGGTTAGCGTGCGCGCTGTATTATAAAGTCTGTCATTAAGTCGACTGGCGTGGTTTCGAATCCCCGGTTGTACGTGACAAGGAGTAGGGTCGCCTGTCCAACCTCATGGGTTTTCTCCGGGTCCTCCGGTTTCCTCCCACTGCTAAAGACCCCTACGCGCATGAGAATTATTGAAATAAAAATTAAAACCATATGTTAGTCCCGAAATGACCTAGTTTGTGTCGAGTGGACGTTAAACCCCATTTCTCTCTCTCTCTCTCCACGGTAAATTATGCTATTTAAAGGGGCATTAGCAGTTTCGACAGTAAACTTTTGATTTACCATGATTTGACACTACAATTAGGTTTGGGTACATCAAATCAGATTGTTTGTAACATTTGAGATAAATCTGCCCATCCATTACTGAAGTAAAGATGTTTCAACTTACAAATTTTAAAAGGAGCTGTCGTGGTTCAGTTCGTATGGAGGTCTCAAGTGATTCGATCTAATTATTAAGGCCAGCTGCAGATTTGGCCAATGTCACGAAATGTTAATAGGGCTAGCGCTAACCCTAAACCCTAAGCCTGACCCTGACCCACAGTCCCAACCCATTTTACATCTCTGGACCTTTACAGGGAATAACATCTAGTTTTTTGGATGGGATGAAAAATTGAGGTCATGTTGACATGCACATGAAAGAACCCTTGTATGTGTGCATATTTGCATGCAAGTAAAAGAACCCATGTCTGTGGAGTAGAAAGGTGGGCTGGGCAAGGAACAAAAACTAGGTCATGTGTATATATTGACATGCACGTAAAAGAACCCTTGACAAACCCTTGTCCGGACAAACTTTCCCTCATAGAACAATACATAGCGTATTTGTTAGTTCAGAAGTATGTACTAGATTAAAAGGTTTGTTGTATTTTAGTATCATATATGTAAGGAACAAGCAAATAACCTAGAGACAAATCTCAATGTACCTGGCCATCTGATAGATTAAGAAAATGTTGACCTATTTCCATTCAGGATTCAACATTCAATTTATCATTTTCTACCTTTGGTGTCGTACAACCCCACCCACTACGTTTCCCTGGTTATTCATTTGGATGTATAAGTGTTAAAAATTTTGCATTGGTCCCCAAGTATACCCTAATATAATAAAGTTTGTTGTATATTAGTGTATATTCAGTATAAGTATATAATATTTGTTTGAACAAGTTATCTAGAAATATGAACTTAGTAAACTAACAAGTATTTACATTGTATATAGATTATCTTCTCAAATATCTGTTTATTTTTATCTAAAGTGCATGAAGATTGGGACAATAAGGCGGATTGGGGACTAAGGGAATGCATTTTAAGGTGCAGCAGAAATCCGCAAATCCCCCCCACCTCCTTTTGCATCAGCTACACCCCCACCCCGCCTCCTATGAATTCTGACCTGTGAACACCATAGAAATGAAATGATTGGGCTAATAAAGACCAGCATATTCCATACAGTGAGCTATGAGGGAAGTGTTGCCCGGACAGCCACGATACAGTCTACTGTTCTTTTGATTTCCTCTGACATGAGGAAACCATGCAGAAAATTCTGAGGAACTTTCTCAGCCAGAGAACACCTCCTTGTTAAGGAGCCAGCGTCTTTTTACTCACTGAACACTGGGCTTCTAAATAAAATCCCTAGAAGGGTCCTTTCCTTGTAATGCTTGGGCAACATTAGTTCTTTCTTAGTGTGTGTTAGTTAGAAGCTCATTAAAAACATTAGTGTAATCTGTTATTATTATTTTAAAAAATATTCCAAAACACCATTACTCCTTCTGCCCTAACCCCAACCTTCTCAAATTGTCTGTGTCCATCCTGGTATTTGTAAAATATGTTGGTTCTCTGATAAATCTGTTTATTTTTCCTCCTAGATTACATACAGATTACAGATCTACAAGAAACCAGACTGTTATCGTGTACAGGATAGTACATTCAAGACCACAGAACAGGACAGTAAATGCAGGATGAAAAAACAAAATAGTACATTCAGGACCAAAGAACAGGACAGTAAATACAGGACGAAAAAACAGGACCAAAGAATGTGACAATAAAATTCGAAAAAAGGCTAGAATATTGTAACAATTAATTAATTTTTCAGGGAGAAAGGTTTTTACAAGCCTGTTCTCCAATCTGCCTCAGATATCCTGAATAAAAATATTGTTTTAAAAACTTCTGATAATTATGTATAGAATTATTGCCTGTGATTAGGGAATATGTCTCTCATTATGATAAATAGGATGTTAAACTCCATTTCATTTAATTAGCTGTTAAGTAGTATGTTAAACTCCATTTTATTTAATTAACTGTGAAGTAGGATGTTAAACTCCATAACATTTAATTAGCTGTGTACTAGGAGGTTAAACTCCATTATATTTAATTAGCTGTGAAGTAGGATGTTAAACTCCATTTCATTTAATTAGCTGCCAAGTAGGATGTTAAACTCCATTTCATTTAATTAGCTGTGTACTAGGATGTTAAACTCCATTTTATTTAATTAACTGTGAAGTAGGATGTTAAACTCCATTACATTTAATTAGCTGTGTACTAGGAGGTTAAACTCCATTATATTTAATTAGCTGTGAAGTAGGATGTTAAACTCCATTTCATTTAATTAGCTGCCAAGTAGGATGTTAAACCCCATTAAATTTAATTAGCTGTGAAGTAGGATATGTTAAACCCTGTTTCATTTCATTAACTGTGTTGGTGCAGAAATATTCAAAATCGGTAAAAATTCTTCTTCTTGATGAGAAACATCAGAAAGATTGAATCTTGGTAGAAAAATCTGTAGCATGGAATTATAATAGATTAGTCTGTTATCTCCAGGGATTAGCCTATATAATAAATCTTGTTAATCTCTTTGTTTTAGTTGTAATAAATACAGAAATTATTACACTTTATCTCACTGATTATTGAACTGGCCTCATTAATCTATAAACAGATCAATTTCAAGATAAGGAGATCTATTGAAATGATGGGAGTTTTACTTCATTATGTTCTAGTTATGAAAGATTAATTGGAATGAAGCGTACCAAACTTTTTTTTTTTGTTCTGATTATCAAGGCCATCTATTTGAACTTTCTTGGAAGAAAAAAAATTAAAAACAAAAGTTATTGGTTTGCTTTTCATATAGGCTTTAGATTTTTGAAATGAAATGAAATGAAATGTAATGGGGTTTAACGTCCTACTGTTCTGGGCCCTGTTTCACAAAATTTTAACTAAAGATAAAATCCAAATTTTAGTAGGTACTTTAATTTTGATTGGCTAAGCACTAAAATCAGTCTGATATTATCCAATCAAATTACTAAAATTTGAATTTTATCTTAGTTAAAATTCCGTGAAACAGGCCCCTGCTCCTATGTTGGGCTAATGAAGACGGGCATACGCCATACAGTGTGCTATGAGGGAAGTTTTGCCTGGGCAGTGTCACTATTGCCTACTCTTATAATGATATCCAACTGCCAAGGGATCTTTTACGTGCATTCCAATGTATATGCAGGACCTCGGTTTTTCGTCTCATCCAAAGGACTAGACAGGTGTCCTGCATCACTGACAAGGGGGAACCACGCCAGAAAATCTGGATGAACTTTCTCGGCCAATGCAGGGATCGAACACCCGACCTCCAGGCTAGCGAGCCAGCGTCTTACCCACTTAGCCATTAGATTTTTGAATATTTAAACAAATTATTTGCAGGACTTGCGGCTATTTATTGATTAAGACCCACAAGAAATGAAATGGGGTTTAATGTCCTACTTTTCTGCACCAACCGGGTATATGAGGACTGCACCAACTGGGTAAAGGAAGACTGCACCAACCGGGTAAATGAAGATTGCACTGACCGGGTAAATGAAGATTGCACAAACTGGGTAAATGAAGACTGCACTAACTGGGTAAAGGAAGATTGTACCAACTGGGTAAATGAAGACTGCACCAACTGGGTAAATGAAGATTGCACTGACCAGGTACCGGGTAAATGAATATTGCACCAACCGGGTAAATGAAGACAGGCAGACCAGGTCCCAAGCTCATAAAGCATTGTTCGCCTTATTTTAACAAAAATATAGCCCTTTATCAAACTTTTTTTGTATCAAATACATCAATAACAAACTATGTGCAAATATATTTCTCATACACAGATATTAAAGGTTGAGTAAATTCTTAACTTGAGTCTGAGAATGCTTTGTGAAACTCGGTACCAGTGTGCTATGGAAGAAATTTTGCCAGAACAGACACATTTCTGCCTACTGTTAAATGCAACTTCAATTCCAACTATCAAGGGTTCCTTTATGTGCTCGATCCCTGCATTGGCCAAGAAAGTTCATCCAGATTTTCCGGCGTGGTTCCCCCTTGTCAGTGATGCAGGATGGAGGGCCTGACAAGGACAGCTGTCTAGTCGTTCGGATGGGATAAAAAAACGAGGTCCCGTGTACACATTGGCGTGCACATAAAAGATCCCTTGGCAGTTGGAATTCGAGAAAAGAGTAGGCTGTAGCACCGCTGCCTGGGCAAAATTTCCCTCATAGCACACTGTATGGTGTTTGCCTGTCCTCATTAGCCCAGGTTAGGAGCAGAACTGTAGGACGTTAAACCCCATTTCATTTCATTTCCTTTATGTGCAGGCCAACCTGTACAAAAGATTCTGTTTGTTTTGGTTTTTTTGCCCTATTAAAATGACTATACAATGTTCCATGCCAATTCCTGGACAGCAGATTAGAGAAAGGATTAAACTGTCCAGTTTACAAAACACCATTCACAAACAAAAAGAACATCCTACTTTCCTACAGCTGCAAGGCTACAAATGAAGATGGGTATAGGGCATAAGTTCAGTGTCAGGGATATTACTTCAGTAGAAGCGGACTTTAAATAAATCTATTTCACACACACACACAGCATAGGTTTGAAAGGGGCTTGTCATTGTAAATAACAGATACCTGTTGACTGCAATCTGTCAGTATATTATAAATACACCAATTTCATACTCAAGCGGTATTCTCAAGACAAATTACTGAAAATAGGGTTTTTTTCCCAGGTAATTGTCAGTTGCACAAATTAGTTCCTTCAACAGCTTTATGTAACATGCTGATACTGGAATTTCAGAGAGTTTTAACCCCTATACCTTCTGGTGCATTTTTTTTAAAGTTCTTTTGGTGTCCATTGCTAAAAAATTATAGATATTGAAATTTCTACTTCAGCACATGCAATCAGATATTTGCTGGTGCTGGTGGGTATCTGACTGGACATTACCCCCCCCCCCCCTCTCTCTCTCTCTCTCTCTCTCTCTCTCTCTCTTTCTCCCCCTCCCTCCCTAACTGGTTAGAATTGGTGTTTAAAACATTCACGAAACGCCCTCTCTCTCTCTCTCCCACCCTCCCACCCTCTCTCTCTCTCTCTCTCTCTCTCGTTAAAAACCTCCGTTGCCGACCCCCCACCCGATTCTGTCTTTAGCTGTTCTCTCACACCCACCCCCTCTTTCTATGTGTCTGTAAAATGTCACTGAAAAGCTGTACCAAGTATATATGCGTACTTACCGATATGTATGTTGACTATTCAACGATAAAAACAATAAATCTGTGTTCTAGCTTCTTCACCTTCACTGAGATATAAAATCTTCTGATAATACCTGCTCGTCATAATATTAAGACCATTACATTTTTCTTGAAGGGGGGGTAGCGATAAACCCTGCATAATAGGACAGTCTTTTCCTTGACAGACGAATATGCTGTTTTATATAAGATGTGAAGAGTCTATTGAATATCCTATTTCAATACCCGTTCAAATAAATGTAGTTATTCAGCTACACGCCGGCATGTTATAATAAGCTCCGAGTTGTGACTTTGACCCCTGTATTGTGAGATAAGTAAAGCGTATCTACGTCACTCGTATATCAATCAAATTGAAATGAAATGGGGTTTATAACGTCTTACTTTTCTGCACCGACCGGGATAATGAAGGCATGAATGAATAGAATGGGGTTTAGCATCCCAATAAAGACGGGAATACGCAATGTGGTGTGCTGTAAGGGAAGTAATGTCCGGACAACAACTGAATTCCACATGTCAAGGCTTCTTTTACGTCCACGGCGAGGTACACGGGGCACCGGACATACACCATACAGTGTGCTATGAGGGCAATTTTGCCCGGACAGCAGTACTACGGCCTACTCTTAATTCAGATTCAAACTGCCAGAGATTCTTTTACCTACACAGGACCTCGACTTTTTGTCCCATCCAAACGACTAGATGCTATTCCTTGCCAGGCCCTCCATCCTGCACCCTGACTAAGGGAAACCAAACTGATAACGAAGGCAGGTATAATGAATGTACTCTATCAAGCAGTGTGCTATAGGGTGGGGAACTCCTCTTCGAAATAGATAGGTTATTTAACGTGCCCACCAATGAGTACACGGGTGGACGAAAGATTTTTGTCCCACCTACCGATTTTACCCTTTACTTGAGCGACCCTGGCCTTTGAGGAACATTCTCGTCTAACGTCGGGATCGAATCCGAGGTCTCCTGGTTTGTTAGCCATAGTAAGTTCCCAGGAATTTCCAGTGCGGTTTCCCCTTGCCAGTGATCCAGGACGTAAGGGCTGACAGGGAACAGCGTGAATGGGATTAAACAAGGATTCCATGTACACGTTTGCGTGCACGTAAAAGAACCCATGACATTTAGAATTCAATTTGGCGTAGGCTTGCCTTCATTAGCTCGGCTGGTGCAGAAAAGTAGGACGTTAAACCCCATTCTCTTCATTCATTATTCCGCTCTACCAGACTGGAAAATCTCGAATAACTTTAACCGATAACGCTGGGATCGGATCCTAAAACCAAGATCACACCTTCCCGGCATATGCCACGCTTTGCCGAGGTTCTCAAACCAGGACCAAATACCGGAAAGATGTGACTGGGACCTTACTCATTGAGGACCAGTAAAACAAGTTATAGTATTGTTTCATTGTAGATTCTAATCAGCTTGTTGTTAATAATAACTTGTTTAATGAAGATAACAACACAAACTGATTTCGATAAATGGATTAGTGATCGGGTGAATGAACGATTGACTACAGTGGCTGAGTAGAGAAATATCTTAATAAGAGGATATGGCATTGTGTTATGGAAAATCACTTTTTAAAATCAGGATCTTGACTGATGACTTCATATCAAATTGTCAAAGGAATAAGCATACCAAGTTTCCATTCTGCACACAGATCAAATCTACTTCATACTTCGAGAATAAATCTCTGTCCAGAATGGCCGCCATAATTGTTTTGTAATGCGGTTCTACACCGTTTCACATCTGACATACACACAAAAACTAAATGAATCTATTAAATTCTATTAAATGGAAGCAGAATATATACTTCTCAAAATTCACGAAGAATAGTGTTTTCGACTAAACTCATCGAATTAGGACTTAAAATGTCGGTCAACTAGGTGTCTGTTCTAATGCGGAGCTAACTGTAGACAGACAGCCTAAGTTTAGTATGACCAAGTTTCATAAAGGCATCTATTTGAATTTTACAGAGAAAAGTGGGATGGACGTGGATATTGACCCTTTTAAATATAATCCTTCGGTGTTGGTAAGACTACGCCCCTGGGACTCAAGTATACTGAGAAATGTGAGGAAGGGAGACATTTTAAATATGTTAAACAGACGAATTAAACTGTTTATTCAATTAAATATAACAGCTTGTACAACAAACTTAACAGATATACTTTCAAATTTAATAACACTTAATTTTAATTTCGCTCTGATCGGATACCCCCCCCCTCCGGAAATGGCTGTCCGGTCCCGTAACCCCCTCTAGCCCCCGTCCCCATCCTGCCACTGCCATGAACTTTGTGTTCATAACATTTTCACACTGGAGAAATTAAATAACAGTCATACACCGAATGAGAGAATTTGATGTGCATCTGACATTGGTCGATCTTTTAGGGGAATGTGGATCATCCAAAAGTAGCCTACTATCAAAGTATCAGGAATGTGGCTCCTCAAAAAGTGTTCTCAAAGTATCGGGAACGGGCTCCTACAAAAGTGTTCTCACGGTATCAAGAATGTGGCTCATTCTAAAGTATTCTCAAGGTGTCAGGAATGTGGCGTACCCAACAGTGTTCTCGAAGTATCAGGAATGTGGATCACTCAGATATCGGGAATGAATACAGATTAGTTATTTCAATAATTCGCTTGCGCGTAGGGATCTTTAGCAGTAGGAAACCGGATGACCCCGGAGAAAACCCACGAGGCTGGACAGGCGACTCCCCTACAATCGGAGGATTGAAACCACACCAGTTGACTCAATGACAAACCTCATGATACAACGCACACGCGCTAACCATTCAATCATCCAACCAACCCACCTTTACGGATATAACGTTAGTATCGTCTACCACTGCAGTGTTGTGTAATCCCCATTATTGTAAATATCCCAGCCCCTGTCTTGCTGTGCCGCTATTTCCACCGTGGGGTGGGGCGGGGGCGTAAAGGTTAGATCATAAGGTCTGTGCATTGAGTAAAGTGGCGTGGTTTTGTGTCCCCGCTTGTACGTGACAAGGAGTGGGGTTACCTGACCTGTTCAACTGTTACCTGTTGCTGACAGTAACAGCTAGGAGCTACCGTTAACCCCCTTTTAAGATGATCAGTTACCAACAATAAAATATAGTAGAACCAGTCCTACATGGGAATTAAAGTCCATGACAGTCCACTACTATTGTAAGACACTCGACTAAGTAAATTTTTTAGAGGTGTCAGGTGTGTATCTTAGTAAGCAGGATTATCAATCCTAGTAGCCGTGCTTCACTCAAAATGTAAAAAAACATACAAGGGAGACAATCCACTACTATAGTAAGACACTCAAGTAAGTAATTTTATTAGAGCTGTGTATCTTGGTAAGCAAGGTTATCTTTCCTAAACACATTATACACGATATTGGCAATACCGTTCCTAAAGGAACTAAGGTTTCACTCAAATTTAAAAAAACACAAAACATGGGGACAATCCACTACTATAGTAAGACATCCGAGTAAGTCATTTTATTAGAGATGTGTATCTTGGTAAACAGGGTTTTCTATGTTATAAATATTATACACATATTTTGCCGAATAGCGAACAGAAATCGCAGTTATAGACAAATTATCGTCATTCGCATATTCATATTCACTTGATTCATCAGCAAAATCGAAAAATTCCTCCTGAGTTTCATCCTCTTGGTCCAGTTTCTCCTTCCATCGACATTCAGAGACACACCAGAGTAACAGCATCGCCAGCATGAAACCTCCAGCGAGAGCTCCAGCAATGATGAACCTGGGGCGATAAATCTCCAATCTGTCCCTTCGTAAAGGCCCAATAAGGTTTAATCCATGGTTGGTTTTTGTATAAAACTCGAGGCCTCTGTTCACGAGACAATAATACACACCACTGTCACTCATTTGTATATTTTTAATTTTTAAAAATCCACCCCTGAGTTTGTTATCGTCCATTAGTTCGTATTTTTCATTGTTTCTCTGAGAATATCCATGTATTTTGGCATCGTTTGGAAGCACCCACCATATTTCGTCTGTACGTACCAGTGTTGAATTGCTGTCATTACATCGAAACGTTGTGTTATCGTTTAAATACACCTATAAATATGCATGAAATATAGTGAATGAAATGGTGTTTATGGTCCCTCTTTCTGGAGAGCCGCGGTGGCTCAGTGGGTAAGGGGGTGGCCGAATGTTAACACGTACGCGTTGCATTATAAGATCTACCCTTAAGTCAAGTGGAGTTGTCTCGATTTCCCGCTTACCGGTACGTGTCAAGGAGTAAGGTCGCCTGTCCAACCTCATTAATTTTCTCCGGGCCCTGAGGTTGCCTCCAGCCGCTAACGACCGTTGCGACCAAACGATTTATTGAAATAAAATTTCACCATATGTTGGTCCCGAAATGACCTAGTTTGTGTCGAGTGGACTTAAAGCCCACGTCTCTCTGTCTGTCAGTAGGTAAGACGGTGGCTCGCTAACCTGGAGGTGTCGTGTTCGACCGCGGTCCTGTCCTTAGAAACTTCCAAGGGTGGTTCCCCTTTGGTTTTCCCTTGTTTGTGGTGTGTAACGCAGGACCCTTCAAGGGAAGGGAGAACGTGTACTCGTCCGGATGGTAGGAAAAACCGAGGTCCGTTGGCGTGCACGTCAAAACTTCCCTCAAATGAAGACCGTTATATGTCATACAAGTGGTATGAGGGGAACTTAACCCCAGCCAGGAGACCCTTAACGTGTTATCTATAGTATACATATAGGACCTTGATTTTCTGTCCAATCTGAAAGGCTAGATGTTTTCCCGTGTCAAAAATGGTACCAAAAAGGAAGGACTTTAAATCTCATTCCATTTCATTTCAAGAAATAAACAGCAAATATCAAACCAAGGGAAAGGATCCGGAGAACAGCCAGAAGCGCCCACTGCGCTGTAAGAGTACAACTCTCGTGCAACATGAGTTCAGGTGCCAGTTCCTCCCCTGGCTATAAATCCTTCCCAGTTCCTCCCCTGAGTATAAATCCTTCCAGACTGCAATTCCCCCCAGTTCCTTCCCCTTACAACATTTCCTCCCAGTTCCTTCCACTGACAACAATTTCTCCTAGTTCCTTCCCCCGACAACAATTCCTCCCAGTTCCTTCCCCTGACATCAATTCCCCACAGTTCCTTCCCCCGACAAAAATTCCTCCCAGTTCCTTCCCCTGACATCAATTCCTTCCAGTTCCTTCCCCTGACAACAATTCCTTCCCCTGACTACAGCTCCTCGCCTGACTAAAATTACCCCCTTCTGATTCCCTGTTATTTTATATACCTGTATCGACCATTCTGGATCTGTGGACCAATCAGCTTTAATTGTAACGAGGATAACCAACAGAGTCATCACAGACCATGTCATTCTAGCCATACCTAAAATATTGCCATGTTTATTTTATTTTATCATTTAGACATTTAGACTGGAGCATAATATTTAGAAAGCGATGGTTAGGACGTAATGGTCTATGGGCTAATACCGCGCGTTGTTATTTCAATGTTCTATTCTATTCTATTCTATTTATAAACTTTATACTGAGCGTTTGTGACTATCCCACCCCCTGGAATCTAACACCAGTCCAATGATTACTGCTTCAAATGAATCTAAACGGAAGCTCGGCACCAATATCCGAGCCGGACTAAGACCTTTAAGACTCCAGAATCACAGAAAAGATTATGGTGCCCGGTTGCAGCAGAAAAGTAAGAAATGAAACCCCACTTCATTTCTTCTTTCAGTCCCAAATATGTAAATTCAATCATTTCTAACTAATACGCGTACAACCTACACTTTACTGATTCATAGTGACAGGGTGTTGTGAGCCTGTGTCGTGAATTCATAACATCACGTATAATATTCAAGTTATAAAATAAAATTGGGCTAATGAAGAAAAGCATACGCCATGCAGTGTTTTATGAGGGAAACTTTCGACTGTTAATGGTCCTTTCATGTCCACACCAATGTGTACACTGGACCTTGGTTTTTGTTCGTATCGGAACATTGTCCCTTACAAGGCCCCCCGTCCTACACTACTGACGCGGGGGAACCTCGCAGGAAAACACAAATCAACTTTCTCGGTCATGCAGCAATGGGATCGAAGGCGGGACCTCCAGGTTTGCGAGCCAGCATATTACTCACTGAGCCACCGCGACCCCCGTTCATTTTATAACTAACTCACCTGCTAAACAATCTAACATCATGGATTCTTCATGGGCAATTTTACGTCACAACCTCGCCATTTTCATGTCAAAACCGATCACAAATAGTGAATAGAATAAATATTCAATCAACATATCAACAGTGACTATAAATATCTACAGTCTTTGTGAACTGTCCGATTCTATTATTCATTAACAATAACTCCATTTCTTTCACTTTTCTATGATAATATTAGTCACTGTTCGCGTCGTGGTGTCAACAATAATTCTATTCATTCTATACACATCGGATTTTAATGTAAAAGGTCTACCCTTCTTTATATTACATGTACTGCTTATTATTAGATTTTTTGAGTACTCAAATTACATGCATTATGTAAGATTTAGATAACGAGTTCTTGCTATTATAGTTAAAAACTAGGTAATGAAAAGAGAATATCTTGAGTCAAATTACTTCATTCTGAGCAACGTTAGGGCTGTTTGGAGAATAGTGGAGTCTCGATTGCCATTGCAACCGCCGTTACGATAGTAAACGTCTCGATTATCCATTTTTTAAATTAAATCATTAACCGCCAATCGTGTTTAAATCCGTTGAAAATATAGGGCGTCCGAAGGCACCGAGAATTGATTATGGGCTTGGCAAGTTAATAAATAATTATTAATTTATATAACTTTTAAGGCCTATTATTATTATTATTATTATTATTACAGCATATTTATAGTGCACCCTTTCATATAACATGTTCAGGGGCACTTTACAAACTGACAATGTAAATCATACATAAACAACAAGATTATGGACATGTTAACGATTGTATACAGAGTCAGTAAAAAGTCTGATTAAATACATGTAAATGTGTTTTAAGTTGTTTTTTTAAAAGAATATAGGGATGTACAACATCTTAAACTAAATGGTAGATTATTCCATAAAACGGGTGCTTGATAACTAAAAGAGCGCTGACCATAAGAGACTAGTTGAACAGTTTTGGGCTTTAAAAGTAGTTTATCTGATGTACAATTGTACGTAATGTTCGGCCAGGTGTATAAAGTTCTAATAAAGAAAGATCTGCAACAGGCAGATTTAGCCCGTGCATAATGCCTGTTTAAATATTCATAAGGTCTGTCATTGAGTCAACTGGCGTGGTTTCGATTCCCCGGTTGTACGTGACAAGGAGTAGGGTCTCCTGTCCAACCCCGTGGGTTTTCGCCGGGTCCTCCGGTTTGCTCCCATGACTAAAGACCCCTACGCGCAAGCTAATTATTGAAATAAAATTGAACCATATGTTAGTCCCGAAATGAACTAATTTGTGTCGAGTGGACGTTAAACCCCATCTCTCTCTCTCTCTTTAAGATAGACAATCCAACATGAAAAGTAATAACAACATAAAATAGATTAGTATATTCGATGAAACAATTGACCACCCACGGTCCCCTTGTGTTCCAGTCTCCCATAAAGCGGCATAATATATCTCTCAATATTGCGAGAGAGTTGTTATGGGGAATTTAAGTGCTTTCTGAAATCTCTAACGGTGTGATGTTTAGCAAAGTAAAGACAAGTAAAACGCAATTTTGAACTATAAAAATTAAACGAAATAGGATCTGTGTTTTAACCAGATTGCGTGCGCACGGGACTACGGGACCTCGGACCTTTGTCCCATCCGAACGACTACATGCTGTTCCTTGTCATGTCACCCATCCTGCACAGATGTAGCATCAGTAATACAGCATTATGGATTTGCACTTTGCAGGTGAGGCTGTAACTCGAAAGTTATAAGTCAGTGACATTACGTACATGTCAATAGAGCTTCATGAACGAATACAGCAACACAGTCAACAACTGATATGAAGTTTTTTAATATTTTATTATAAAACCTACCAATATAATGGTCATATAATTTATTATGGCCATCTAAAGTTCCCATTGCTTACTGATTTCACACGAACATATTTATTTCTCTGTTGTCGTCTGATACATGTATATCCTTTTGATCCACGAATCTCAACACCTATCTAACCAACTTTTTTTTCTTTAAAATGAGTATCTAATTAACAATTTGTGATGTTAGTTTGGCCTTCGGCGTGAGTGTGATATACGTTTATTAGTCGCAGCGCCTCTTTAAATATCTAGGTTTATGGCTCCACCGGTGGTTATTTATCCGAGGTCAATTTCTAGAGTGGTATTTAAAAACAAAATGAAATGAAATGATATTGGGTTTAACGTCATACTGTTCTGCTGCGTTTACTAAGTGTGTACTAAGTGGAACGTCGCTGATCTAAACATCGGTTATTATCTCAAACGAGGGATTTTCGTGGCCATTTTTGTTCTCTGTGGGAAGGTAACGACCTGCCTTTAAGGCTTTGTGACGTAAAACTGCTTGTTTTTCCACTTCTTTCATCCGAAGCTCCTCGTCTTCCGTTCTGTACCGGAAGTGCTGTAATAAACAGAGGCCTATGGCCGATGCCAGGAAAACTATGGCGGACACAAAAGCAACGATGACATTGAGCCGATACAGGTTAAAACGAGTCCTTTCCAAGTGCCCATATAAGTTGAGTCCGCGGTTGATTTTTACTAACAACTGGCTGTTCACGTTGACCATACAATAATACATGCCACTGTCAGTTAGTTGAACATTTTTAATCTTCAAGGACATACCTAGGGGATTCCCCTCTAGTTGATACTTGGAGTCACCCGTAGGTATCGGGAGCTTATTTGGTTTAATCCAGGTGATGCTGATATTTTCTGTTATAGATACAGCTGCTACACTATCGTTACAGTGAACTGTATAATCATCATTTAAATAAACCTGAAGATAAAATGTAAACAGGTCGGGTGTTTGATCCCTGCATTGGCTGAGAAAGTTCATCCAAATTTGCCGGCGTAGTTCCCACTTGTGAGTGATGCAGGACGGAGGGCGAAATAGGGGATTTTATCCAGTGCTCTTATACAGGAACGAGTCCTATTACTAATTAACATTTTTACATGTATTGTGTAAATAGCCATTTTACTGTACGCATTACTAAGTTAAGAGATGTTGTAAATTCTACCCTATACGCATTAGGCCTACACCGTCAAGACTTAGATGTGCAGGTATGTCGTGAATTCCGCTGCATTGGTTAATTGCTAAAAGCGAGTATCTTTAACATAGCCCTTTTTAATAGGGGTGTTTTGGAGGGTATGCCTGGCCTATGCAGTTCTTTTTTCTACCACAACAGGATAGGCCTGGGTGGACTCTGTATATTCAAAATTTTTAATTTGTAATAGTAATAATGCTTTACCATCGTCCCATAAGTCAAAGAAAATCACAATAGAATGTTATAGCCTAAGATGTCAGTCCTATTTAGTCCAATACAAGAAATAAGGTCACTTTTGGTTTTGAGTTGATATCATTTTGTTACATGTTGTATTATTCATATTAATGGCATCGTTTTTTTGTTTTCAAAAGTTTTTGGGGAGGCACCCCAGGCCTCCTTACCCAGCCCTCTCACTTTTTATTTACTAGGCCGAGCCTACCTTCTTTTTAATTTAAGAAAACTCCCCTGCATTTTAAATGCCTTGAATATGACCTCAGACCACATAGCTTGATTTAAATACATGGAATACGATAGCAGAATTTAGTGAACTGGTATTTTAGTAAATAATTTACCTGAAATGACCATTCCGGATCTGTAAACCAGTCAGCTTGAACGTTTATTAAGATAAAGAACAACACTACCAGACCAACAATTGATCTATTGCGATAACCCATTCCTCGTGCAGCAACTACAACAAAACAATTATAGTGATGTGACCAGGGCTCTGTTTCTCGAAATCTTAACAGAAGATAAAATCCAAATTTTAGTAGATACTTCATTTTTGATTGGCTAAGCACTAAAATCAACCTAATATTATCCAATCAAATTACTAAAATTTGGATTTTATCTTAGTTAAAATTTCGTGAAACAGGCTCCAGTTATTTAGTGAGGTAACCCCAGGAGATCTCGGGTTAGCTCCCGGTGTTGTCTGAGAGGATTCCTCGGAATTGTCCTCCATGAATTGTCGGTGGTGCAGAATGGAGAGCCTGGCGAGGACCGTGTCTAGTTCTGATAGCAGAAAAAACACAGGCCCCGTATACACATTGGTGTGGACGTAAGAGAACCCTTGACATTGGAATTCGAAATAAGAGTAAACCGTAGCGCTGCTGTCCGGAGACAAAATGTCCCTTACATCACACTGAATGACGTATGCCAGTCAGTGCACTGAGTACCAATATAATAAATATATATTTAACTTTATCGACAATTTACATTATCTTAATATACAGACCCGTTGCAACAAGAGGGGACGTGAGTGGCCTGCCCGCTCCGGGGACGCCATTTCAGCTACCCCCCCACCCCCCATATATAAATATAATCTCAATATAATACCTTAAATATAAGTTTACTTTTTTACCTCTATATCCTAGATTGTCTTGACTCGTTGGTTCACTTCTAACGGCTTACTGCAAAGGAGACAATCGGTAAAAATCGCTGCAAATTCATTTATGGTCGTTTATACTAGACACATAAAGAGAATTGTCCCCAAGTTATGTAAACCTTTCAGTAACGGCTATTCATCTATATCGCTTCATATTGTATAAAACTCAAGCGTTGAATCACATACTGGAATGTGAATATCCATCTATTAATAATATTGAAAAGAAAAAAAAAAATGAAATGAAACGATGTTTCACGTTCTGCACCAACCGAGTAATGAAGACGGGCATGCGCCGTGCAGTTTGCCGCGAGAGACATTTTGCCCGGACAATGGCGTTTTGCGACAGGCACTTGAAGAGATTTTAAAAAATAAAACTTCTTGCTACAGCTAGATGATATAGTCAAGCAGATGTAAGAAGTTTTATTTTAACCCCTTCAAGTGACTGTGGTTTTTGCCTATATTATTTCGAAATCCAGGGTTTGTGTTCCAGCTCAAACGAGAAAAAACACATGGTTTCAATGCGGTTTTCAACGAAATTGGTAGATTCTGAATTTCATTATTTCTTATTGCTCGACCAGTGCCAATCATAATACTGTAGTCCGGATATGGTACATATAGACTTTAGCATGTACAATTTACACAACCTAACACGCCAAAAAATCAAAGATTTTTTAATAAGATTCGACATTATTTTAAAAAAAACCCAAAACAACATCTCCGCGACTGTCAAGCGATTTCACTCCCTCCGGGATAATGTAGGCTAGCCACTTGACTAGTACTGATGGTGATCTTGGTAGATAACTGCAACCATGCTATAATAGAACTAACCTCAGATCAGCTACTCATACATACAAAACTCTGACAAAACTCTAAAACTACATTGATGCAACGTCTCTACTGCATGATAATACCGAGGTTATGGACACTCACAATATGTATACGATTTTGATGAAACTGACAATGCATATTTATAACCGAAAGATCTGGGTTTCTTTCGATATTGGCGCATATAAGATCGCGACTTTATATACATTTATAGCCTGTGGCCCCTCTAGAGCTCACAGTTGTTATTTGATTGTAAAAACCGTTCAAAGAGATCATCATTATATCATAATTACGGTTGTAAATGTCTTGAAAATCGGACCGAAACTGCACGACAAAATGACCGCTACACTTAAAAGCATGTAATATCCAGGTTGTGGACCACCCATAATAGGTTCGAATTTCCATCCAATTTGATATATCCCAAAGGTCTAGGTGTGGCTAAGTGGGTAAGACGCTGGCTCGCTAGCCTGGAGGTCGGGTGTTCGATCCTTGCATTGGCCGAGAAAGTTCATCCAGATTTTCCGGCGTGGTTTCCCCTTGTCACTGATGCAGGACGGATGGTCTGACAAGGACAGCTGTCTAGTCGTTCGGATTGGACGAAAAACCGAGGTCCCGTGTACATATTGGCGTGCAAGTAAAAGATCCCTTGGCAGTTGGAATTCGATATAAGAGTAGGCCGTAGTGTCGCTGCCCGGGCAAAATTTCCCTCATAGCACACTGTATGGCGTAAGCCCGTCTTCATTAACCCAGTTTAGGAGCAGAACAGTAGGACGTTAAACCCCATTTCATTTCTTTTCGATGTTGGCGCGTATTGGACATCAACTTTCTTGATTAAGATAAGATAAGGTAAGATGTTTATTGCATCAAAACGTCCATGAAGGACAGCATGCATACATATATACACTTAGACATAGTCATATACATTCAATAATACATTTTGACCCTTGATTGTACAAAATATCACGTATTTAGCTTGTGGACCCTTTAGAGATCACCATTTTTTTTATCTCATTTACAAATATGTATGAATTGTGTGGACCCCCAGAGGGGCTACAATCGTTGTCCCGTTCTGAGGAAACTTAACAAATATCTTAAGGATCAAAAGATCTTGAATAAGAGGATGAGCCCTATTGATTTAACCTCTTCCCCATACAGTTCTTGCAAATGTGACTGTATCTTGCATGTCAACCGCTTGTTTCAACTGGTCATAACTAATAGCAGTGAATTATTTGATGGATAAGGGACACAAGGAAAGAGTGTGAGAAAAACTCTATCACGTCGTTTTTTTGTTTAATCACCGAATTTGTCGTAGATTGGATTGAAATAAAGATCGACTGTTTAGTTAACTAATCGGCACCCTTGGAGTATCTCAACCCAGGGATCAGTATAGAGCATATATTTTTATTTGACTGTCCAGCTTATGAGTCAGTAAGGAATCAGTATATGCCTGGTAAATTTGTTAAAGGGTATTATGATCAAAATCAATTTTACAAATTATGCACAACTAAGAATATAGATTTCATTGTTGCCATTGCTTCGTATATAGAGAAGGCTTTATTGTTAAGAGAATTGAAAGTAACTCCGCCATTGAAAAAAACTTGAACATTATTAATGAATATAGTATGTTCTTCGTATTGCAAATATATACAATTGTCAAAAAAAATGTCACTGTATTATGGGTCAACGAACTGATATACTGAATAAAGATTATTATTATTATTATAGCAGGTTTTTTTCTGAACGTCTCACTTGTATGTTAAAATAGGGCGTATTTATATTTAACCGCATAATTATAACATGCGTGCAATAACCTAGAGAAGGAGGACTTGCGGCTAAAGCCCCAATACCCCCCACCCCGCCTCCTCCTCCTCCGCCGGGCCTGCCCCATAATACTACACGTTCCCACGATTATAAACAAAGCTTGAGGCGTGCACCGATCGCGGACCAGTTGAAAAATATTAAAATATAACTATTATTTTTTTAGAATGTTATTCACACCGCTTCGCCCAGCTGGTAATTGATTAGAAACAATAGATATGAATTTTTTGTACAAATGAGTTTCAATTATATAAACGTTCACAAGGTTCATTGAGAATAATAACCAGTAATATATAAATACGTAATATAGGACTATCGAATATTTTTAATCAGATTGATGTATTGGCTAAAGTATTCTAATAGGCCTACATAGTATAGGCCTATACGGGCTTCAAGCATTCGATTTTGATATGACCATTTTATCTGCTCTTTTAACCATGGTGTTTTAGATAATAAATTAGACGAATAAAACGCAAAAGGGTGCTTGCGAATACAACTAAAAATAACGAGTTTACAAACCAAATGTGGAGTGAAATTAATAAAAGCAATAATATGAATTTTGGAAAGACTTTTAATTTGTAACAGTCGTCTATACTTGCTCGGAGCAATTACGACGATCATGTTTGAACTCAGTACGACAGTAGCCTATTATTAACAGACAATCATAACTGGCTATAATTAAAAAATTATTATAATTAATATACCTAGTTAGTTAGTAGGCCTACTTAAATCCAGATAGAGTAGGACGTAGGACCTTAAAGTTAAGATCTATACTAATTAATAATATTTAATAATAATGAATACCGTAATAATATGTTCGGCTATACTTTTCGTTTAAAAAATGTATGTTTTATCTCCTCTAGAAACTTCTACGCGGAAATCTATGAAATATCTAACCACATCCCTGTCTGTCGGGACAGCTAACGGCGACACAATAATATAATATGGCACATAGTAATAGACAGTGACTCAAGATGGCGTCTTGACGTTATATTTTCATGGCGTCATGGAATTTCTAGCTTGCAGTTGTCGCAACTTTACGTCATAACGCCAACATAGCCAAAGCCCTGTTGTATTATACGGCTTTGAACATAGTCAAAGCCGTATTATGTTGCCGTTATGACGTCACAGACATGATTTAGCGTCACATTCGAAATCTGCGGGTATATGCAGAGCCTTATAAGGCTCTGGGTACATGTTTCTAATGAAATTCTTATAGGCCTACTTCATTTAGTAACTGAACATAAATATAAAAACACAAATTTATCAATATCTTTGATGACCATTTTGTAATGTTATTATTGTTCTTTTTATTAGCGCTTTGATGGTTCAGAGTTACTGTTTTTGTTACCTTGTTGTATATAATTTGATTTCTTGCTATTACACTGTCTATACTTGAGAACGACAAGAGGAACTTGTTGAAACGTAGTGTGAAATAAACTCAGTGATTGTTTTCCATATAAATTTGTGTTTTTATATTACATGTTTCTAAATGTCCATAACGGTTTAGCCGTTATTTGGATCCTTATTTCAAATTGGTAGCCATCTTGAATTGATTTTTTGGAGACTTCGGTTTTTACATGCAGGATACCCGACTGAATGTTAATCAAAAGCTAACTTTTGGATTGCAATTTGTTTTGGTTTATGGCTTAAAATATGAGATAATTCAACTAGCTACGATATACGATCCCCAGATCATAAAAGAATCTTATTTAGAAATTCATTATAAGAGCTAAATCTGCCTATAGTAGGTATTTCTTCTAGTGTATTTTTGAACTATTAAGCTAGAACGTCCAGTTCTTTTATTCTTCATCTCTATCTTAAAACATGTATCTTTAATACATGATTAACCTACATATGGTAATGTTTCTTTAATAAATGAATCTCATTTTGAATGACACAGGAAAGATTTCTTGACGATTTCCAGCCGCTGAAACGACATATTACATGTATAGGCCTACTAGTGTTAAAGAAATATTCATGTGAGTCAACCCATGAAAGTTTAGAGGATTCATTCGACACCACATTTCGATCAATCAGAATCCAAGTGATTTCCAGTTTGGTCTACTCTGGGCCGCTTTATGTTTGACATTGGTTTGATAAGATTTCAATGTGCTGAAATATCAGAATCAGCCAAAAGCGTTGGAAATCGCACCATAAAACCACTGCACCCCCTTCACTTAGCAGGGGCGTGTTCCGGAATTTGAGCAGTGGGAATCTCCAGGGTCGAGACAACGTCCAAGTTTATAGCGTAAGATCTGAGGGATTGCCCGTGAATTTTATAAAATCAGAAGCCCAGAGACAATATTAGTGTGAAATGATCTGAGGTTAAACGTTTGTTTACTCGACGTAGTTTCGATGGATGAAGGAGGAAAAAATATGCCCCAGACACACGCCTGCATGGGTAGGCCTAAGTTTCCTTTAACGGTAGATAAGTCTACGTTAAGACCTCCCGCGGTGGATGTATACGTGCCTGTTTGGGCTTGATCTATTTTTGTTAAGGCCAACTCAATTTTCGTCAAGGTCGCTGAGATGTAAATAAGGTTAGGGCACGTGATTTTTGGCGAGATTTTAGGTTATGGTTAGGGTGAGTGTTAGGGCTAGGTCCAGGGTTATGGTTTGGATTAGCGCTAGCCCTGTTTACATGTCGTGACCTTTGACCAAACTTAAAATTGGCCTTATCAAATAGATCTAACCCGCCGGCTTGGCTAATTTTCTTTTAACGGTAGATACTTTTATGCTAAGACCCCTTTGCACACGCGCCTGCATGCTTGTGTTAATTTCCTTTAACGGTAGATAACTCTGTGCTAAGATCCCTCTGGACACGCGCCTGCTTTGGGTAATTTTCCGTCAACCGTAGATAACTCTATGTTACATCCCCTCTGAACACGCGCTAGCTTGGGAAATGTTCCTGAAATGACATGAAATGGGGTTTAACGTCCTACTGTTTTGCTCCTAAACTGGGCTAATGAAGACGGGCATACGCCATACAGTGTGCTATGAGGGAAATTTTGCCCGGGCAGCGGCGCTTCGGCTTACTCTTATATCGAATTCCAACTGCCAAGGGTTTTTTTACATGCACGCCAATTTGTACACGGGACCTCGGTTTTTCGTCCCATCCGAACGACCAGACAGCTGTCCTTGTTAGGCCCTCCGTCCTGCATCACTGACAAGGGGAAACCACGCCGGAAAATCTGGATGAACTTTCTCGGCCAATGCAGGGTAATGTTCATACAACGGTGGATAACTAATAAGAATATAATAAGATATTTTTATTATAAAATGAACATACATGATATATAACAAAACATAATGATTAAACGGAAAGAATACAATTTTGATTATGATTATAAACTAGCGCATCATTCATGGACCAGGAACAATCTATGACGCAGCCATCTTGGAAAGCAAATATCGAAGTGTAATTGTCCAAGGAACAAGCATACCAAGTTTTATATCGATCATACGGCGTTTGTCGAAGGAGATGCCCCCCACCTCCCCCTCATATATCAACCACAAGAACAACAAGGCGAGTAGCGGTTGAGGGTCAGTACCTGGTCACAAAAATGGCGTTAAAAATTCCTAAATGGATGAATAGTAATCGCATTTTGATTAACATACAACTATATATTAAGAAAAGATAACTCATAAGATACATGGCGAGATCTAAGTATAGGAGATAATCACAGGGCAAGATGTGGTATAAAAAGATACAAGACAATATTTAAAGATGTATTAATATTAAAACCTCGATTATTCTAGAATAAACCGGCGGTTGGGTGGTCTAATGCGTGCGCATCGAGATTTGGATCCCAGGGGCCTGTTTCACGAAATTTTAACTAAGATAAAATCCAAATTTTAGTAATTTGATAGGATAATATTAGATTGATTTTAGTGCTAAGCCAATCAAAATTGAAGTATCTACTAAAATTTGGATTTTATCTTTAGTTAAATTTCGTGAAACAGGGCCCAGGTGTGTTATTGGGGCAAGGAGCAGTGTTACTTTCTCTGGGTGCTCCATTTTTCTCCCACTGTTAAAGACACGTGTGGTACAAGCGAATTATTTAAATAAGATATAAAATGTGTTAGTTACAAAATAGCCTAGATTACTTTGAGTGGAACGTAAATCTCTTTCTAGAATAAACAGAAAATATAGACTTTCATTTAAACACGATAAAAAAGTAGCTGGTCCAAAAAGCATGTTGTCTATATCCGAATGTTTAGTCTGGAGTCCGTCCAACATACTCATCTAAGACTTGTCTAAGTTAATGGAAAGATCACTTGCCGACTTGAGTTGTCCTTAGCCCTGGAGCAGACCTCGCATCAAGAATATAGGCCTATATGAGGTTTATAAGTTTACTATAAGTTTACTATGCTTTAAGGATATATTTCTTCGATGTGATATTTTGTATAGTTCAGGAAAATAATAGTAGAGACCAGAATAGGTTACATTTATTTTCGATCAACTTTTAAAGATGCATTATGCAACAGCTAAATCTGACCATTACAAGTCTTTCTTTAGGCCTTACATGTGTCATGTTATATAAATTATAAAATGGACATTAAATATCTTGCCGAAACATATAATCAACTTCCGGTGTCATCGGATGCTCGAGATTTTCAACGGATTTAAACATAATTGGCGGTTAATGATTAAATTTTAAAAATTGGATAATCGAGACTTGGTTTACTATCGTAACATCGGTAGCAATTACAATCGAGACTCCAAACAGCCCTATATAAACGTCGCTCAAAAATGAAATATTTTGACTGAAATTTTCAAGATATTCCCTTTTCATTATCTATCGTTTTAACTATCATAACGAAAACTGTCAGCTGTTTATCTAAATCTTACATAATGCATCTTTAACTAGAATTTAATTGTAACTGTTATCCACTCGATAAATATACTATATTTAGGATGTCGATTATCAAGTAGCGTACGTTAATTTGACCCGCCACGGGCTGCACGTATACGTGGCGTGGCACTTTTGGTTTTCTTCATTGAAAATAACTTTGATTTTCTGTCGGGACGTTACCGTGATACAAAACGATCTGACAATTATATTTTGTCATGATTAACACCGCTTTGTATGTTTAAAGGTTTAAGCATTTTTCACATGTATATGGTGTGTGTTTTTGCGGATTCTGATGGGGTAGCGGCACAAACTCTAACTACGCCACTGTGTGTATTGAAGAAATAGATTTTTAAAAGAGCCTGAGTGATTTGGAGACTTTAAAGATGCGTATCATAAGAGGGGTTATCATAGTGCTGGTATGGCTTTGTCGGATAATCGCTGCCATTTTGCAGAGCTTGATGAAGTTCACTGAAATATTTCTCACTGTTTTGCTTACGCTCTTTCTCGGCGTCGCTCATGTACCGGAAGTGGTATATGAAGCAAATTGCCAAAAGCGGCACCACGAAGACTAAAGCAGCTACAAAAGCCACAATCACCTGTGTACGATAAAGATTAAAATTGTCCCTGTCCAAATGTCCATAAAGATTGAGCCCACGATTTATCTTGTGGATCCTTTCGCTTCCATTGTAAACCATACAGATATATAATCCGTGATCGCTGGATTTAACGTTTTTGATCTTGAGTATACCGCCTCGGAGTCCGTTGTCGTCCATTAACTCGTATTTCTCATCTCTCTGTAATGAGTAGCCGTGGATTTTAGCACCGCTTGGTAAATGCCACCAGAGCTCGGCTGACGGATGAATATTTACTAAACTGTCGTTGCAGCGTAAACTGGTGTTTTCGTTCATGTACACCTAAAAGAATATACAGTAAAAATATAGTACCGTTCAATGGCTTTGGGAGGGGTAGAGCAGGGATGGCGCAAAATTGATATAAGCAACACTTTTGTATTGCACAGTGTCTATAAGAATTGCCGTTCTGTGGTGTTATAGAAGAGGCGCAAACTTGACTTGATATGGGTAACATTTTTTTAACTTAAAACAGCCGTGTAAAAAGGGTAAAATTAGATGCTAGGCAATAGTTTTCATCGATTGCGTCCCCTGACTATCGTCCATTGTGGTTGTTCTTTAAAAGTCATTTCTCCAGTAAAAAAGTTTATTCATTGAATAACTTTCAAAGTTGTTATCTTGGAAATTAGTAACGTATTAGAAGGTCATAAGAAGAACTGCACGGTCATTTGGTTGGCAGTTGTCATGGGAACAGAGCTCATTCGCGATATTGTGCGGGGTGGGGGTGGGGTAGTGGTTTAACGCGTGCGCGTGAAGCCATAACGTCTGTCAATGAGTCAAGTGGTGTGATTTCGATTCCCCACCTTCACGTGACAAGGCGTAGGGTCGACTGTCCAACCTTGTGGGTTTTCTCTGCCCCCCCCCCCCCCCCACACACACACACACACTGCAAGCGATTTATTTCTGAACCAAATGTTTGTTCAGGAATGATCTGGATTGTGTCGGGTCGAGTGTGCTATTGCCTTAACCGCTCCGCCTCTGTAGGCTATCATTCTGCACTCAGAGAAATGTCTACTCTACTTAGAGAATAGATCTCTGCCCTAAATGATCACCACATCCAACAATTAATATACTGATTTGTAATGGGGTTCTACTCCGGTTCACATATGTTATACACACAAAGACAGATTAAACCTTTTCAATTTTATTCAATGAAAGCAGATTATATATTTCTCAAAATTCTCGAAATATGGTGTTTTCGACTAAACTCCTACGAATTTAAATTTCGGACAACTAGCTTAGGGTCTGTTTTCAAGAGGAGCTAATTGTAGACATACAGGGTACGTTTAGTAAACCTCTGTACATGTGCGACACTGGTGCTGTTCATTATACCAAATTCTCCCGGAGGTATGATGGCGGTAAAATATTTCCAAACAACTTACAAATCTCTTACCTGAAAAGACCACTCTGGGTCTGAAAACCAATCAGCTTGAACTGTAGCCAAGATGGCGACAATAACCACGTAAGATATACTCTGAACTCCCATCTTAAATATCTGTAATGTACAATGAGTAAATTGTTTAGGCGATATTAATTACTAACTGCATGATAATAACACATGTCCCAATTACATGTATATAGAATACAATTTACTTTAGACCTTTATTCCTGGCAACGTTCTCTCGTCTTTATCAAACTTCTAAAATTACTTGTATTCCATATAAATGTGTCATGTGTACGGGTAATATTTCAATATATTTATTATATAAAGCATACACTGTCAACAGACCATGAAACTTGGTTTGTTCTACATGAATTTATAGTCTATGAAGCTAAACATTGCTCGTTGCCAGAGGGGTGGGGTCGAGTGATATAACGCGCGCGCCTTAGATCATAAGGTCTAACATTGAATCGAGTTGCGTGGTTTCGATCTCAGGCTTGTACATGACAAGGAGTGGGATTGCCTGGCCGGTTTTCTCTGGGTCCTCCGGTTTCCTGCCCCCGCTAAAGACACCTGTACGCGCGAGTGAATTATTGAAATAAAATTGTACCATACGTTAGTTACGTCTCTCTCTCTCTCTCTCTCTCTCTCTCTCATATATTAGGCAAGACATCTAACATCTAATGGATTGACCATAGCACAATATATATTAGAAACAATCACTGGTTTATACACATATATATAGCACAACGTTTCGGCAAGTGTTATCGTATTGTTGTCAAGCACAAATGGTTATTAGCTGCATTCGATAATATGGCTGTGTTTTCTTAAATAACTGTTAAATAATCGATGTGAGTAGGACACACTTAAGCCGTGATAAGTAAAATAAATAGGTGCATATTGACATAAAAATGTTTATAATGATATATGACGTATTAGATGATAAAACTGTTTATACTTTTATTTGTTGACATAATATGATGTCATAGATAACGGTATGTATGTTTAACGCAAATAAAAATATCAAAAGTTAACATGACATTATGTAAAACTAATCCCGACAAAATCACACACGAGGGGCAATACATATATTGTTTACTTTGGCGACATTAATTTCTTTCCACAAATTTAATAGCTTTTGGCACAGCGCTGAAAGTAAAACATTAAAGCCCACTCGACACATAAAATGTCATTTCGGGACTAACCCCTGGGAAAAACCCACGAAGTTGGGAAGGGCGGTCCTAGTCCTTGTCACGTAAAAGTTTGGGATGGAAACCAAGCCACTTGAATCAATGACAGACCTTATATAAGTTAATATAAGTTATATGATAGATTTGGGTGAATAGTTTTCTGGGTGGGTTGTGTAACATCAAGATACTCGTGGCTAGGACGATTAAATCTAACGAACCCTGACTTTTGTATATAAGTTGGTGAATGTCTACCTTCAAATAGGTGCGGTTGAATTATATGCAGGTGTGTTATCATTCTGCATTCAGGTGTGTAGTCATGTTTTAGTTGAATATTTGCAACTAGTTTTATAGTGCGTAACGATTGACTAGCATACGATCATCATGGGGTGGGTAAAGGATTCCTTTATAAAAGGGTGGTGGAGTACCGAGCACAACGAGTCAGTGTAGATTTTTAAAACTTTTGGGGTGCTTTTTCCGATAAAGAAATCCACGACAAAGTCGCCTAAAAAGTGCAAATTGTTACAATAATACAGTTTATGACATAGTTACCACCGTTTAATGTGTTCGGATTTATGTCGGTTGGTCAACGATGGGTGACAACACCTATTATTGCCGACAAAGCGATGTAAGAAAAGAAAGACAGTCGAGCGTAGCAAGCCAATTAAATGTACCCTACGCGCATAAATGCAGATATAATTTATATTTTCTTTATAATAATATATAATAAACGATATTCTGAATGTTTGATATTTTATATTAGCAATTCGGTGTGAAACTCGCATAGTTTTTTGATCCCTTTGAAGTTGCGCAAAATTAATATAAACTGTACACCTGTAATGCCGCTGTCCAAGCAGATTGTTTCTCATAGCACAATGCATGGCATACGCACGTCTTCTTTAGCCAAGTCGGAACAGTACAATGGGACGTTAAAACCCCATTTCATTTCATTCGATAAGCGGTCCTGTCGCCTGCCTAACCTTGTGGGTTTCCTTCGGATACTCCGGTTTCCTTCCAGTACTAAAAACTGATATGTGCAAGCCAATTGCTGAAATTAAGAGATGTTAGTCCAAAAATGACCTCGTTAGTTTTATTATTAACAGACTGAGGTTGAAATGGGGTAGGATATTCATCTTTATAACGTTTCGGGTTAAAAAACTCTTTTAACAAATCCTGCTGTGTGGAGGTTTTTTTAAAAATATCTATTAATATCTACTCTCTCCACCGGCATCATCGTTTGATGCATGTCCGGCATCTGCTACTCTTTTAAGTAGACATGATTGATTGCGTGGTGTCTATAGGTTCATCCTGTCTTCCCTTTAATTAAAGTAGCTAAGTCTCTAACTCAATATCATCCAAAATCTTCGACATTGAAAACACGAATTATTTGTCAATTTAAATCAACATTGATGTTGTGATCTTACGGGGAAAAGATGGGCTTCTGATATCCATTAATTAAGACAAAATAAACATGTTAGCGTTGGTGCACGAATCGTGTACCATGGCATTTCAGGGCCATTTTAACAAGGGACTCGTAGAAAGAGGCTAGATATATTCCACAAGTCATGTCAAACGGTGACGGCATATTCTTATCTGGAGAGCATGCACAATAAATACTATCGGTATAGAGTGGAATAACCAGACGCTAGAGATTGCCTTTCGATTGAGACTTATGGCGTATTTCGCCGAACATAACTGATTAGAAATTGCAGTAAAAACAAAAACGATTGAATGTAAATCAGTTTATATACATTCACATTACATTATTATATGCGTTGCGACCCATTTGTGTCAATTTCTAGATCCAAAATAATAGCGATTTGGCTCCTTTAAAGTTGCAATAAATTTAGTATCCACAAATTTTTTCAAACAAAACACATATTATATTATACATGTTAAAAAATACTTAAACGATTATTTGTTGTCTTTTTCTCCCATATTTTCGTTTCATTTATTTTTTTCTTTCATTGTTTTGATTTGTATGACGAATTTCTAAAAAGACTGGAAATGCAAACTTATGTCCCTATATAATTTTATATGCCGATTATCAACTTTAAGTCCATATACGTGCTAATTTCGGCGTATAAGTTTACATTAGAAACTAAACTATCGATAGTGTATTCTTGAATTTATGAAATGAAATTGGGTTTAACGTCCTACTGTTCTGTTCCGACTGCGTTAATAATGACGGGCATACGCGTACCATACAGTCCGGAAAGCGGCGCTATGGCCTACTCTTATATCTAATTCCAACTGTCAAAGATGCTTTTACGTGTAGGTCAATGTGTATAAAGGACCTCGGTTTCGCACCATCCGAACGACTATACTACCATGCTATACCACTGACAAGAAAGTGGGTGGGGTGGGGCGACCAACACCGGGTCGAACGCGGGACCTCCAGGTTAGCGAGTCAACATCTTACTCACAGAATCACCGAGTTGCGATAAAACATCTACTTGTTGCATTCCTATTTTCATATCGTATGTTGAGTCATTCCCTTATTTACGTTTTAATTTTAAATGTTTAATCTATAACTGCACTTGGCTACCCATTATAGGATCTAGTACGTGAAATGACATGAAATCGGGTTTAACGTCCTACTTTTCGGCACCAACCGGGATATTGAAGATGGGCAGTTCGGAGTGTGCTAATTACATGTATTAATTATTAATCAATACATTAATTACCAGCATACGGTCTGTTCACGCGACGCCCCCCCCTCTCTCTCTCTCTCTCTCTCTCTCTCTCTCAAGGCGGATGTATTATGCGATAAAATCATATCTTATCTTATCATATTATAAGTTAAACATCAACACAAAGAACATAAAAACATGTAATAGATATAAGGGTAAATTACATTGTTATAAATGATAGATTAATCGTCCCCTATCATAGATCAAAACACGTTCATTCTATCATGCCTTTTGTATACAATGCTCATTCAAATACAATGGTAAGAATGTATCGGGGTCAAGAATGTGGGCTCGTCTCTTTCCAACGTATACCTGCACAACATACAATATGCATGTATGTATGTATATTAGTCAACTAAGCGCACCTGTAATTTTATAATTTGGTATATCTGCATGCACAACAACATTAATTAAATGACATATATTTCTATGTAATTATTACTAACATTTCAATGTTTCAATTCCATTAAAACTACAAATAAATAGAATAAATATAAATAGACACTCCTATTAGATATACATTTAATGGCATATTTACTGGGTCAAATAGAATTTAATGTCAAAAATGCATTCTTTAATTAGATTTATTCAAATAAACCAAATAAAATAAAATGAATTGTTTACCTGTTTTGGGATAAGATTATTAAATATGGGAACTGAACATAACCTGTGTACGGCTATAAATGTGTAAACCAATCGTCAAGCACGACACGAAATCTGTTTGGGTGTGTTCAGGCACTTTTATTGTAACTTTCGTCACAGTTTATTATTATCATTTGAAATACCACCTGAACATTTATTGCAAAAATAAACTTCATCCAATTATTTAACTTAAAAAAAAACAACAATTTCTTAATATTTTGTGTAGTAAAACTTACCTGTAAAGTTTCCCGGGTCAATCAGAATGTGTGTATCAACCTGGCTACTAATCTGAGTAAGCTCCCCTGTTTTATAGAGCGTGACGGTATTCAACTGCAAACAAGTTTTGGGCTTCTGTTTTATTCTATAAGCCACAGCATCCCTAGTGTCGTGTCGTAAATGAGACTGATCGCTCGGGTCAACAAAGGGATAAATGCACATTGACCTGTCTTTGTATTGTACTAACGGTAAACAATGACGCGCGCATGGTATATATACGTGCGGGGCGGGGTGGGAGTGTACATCCCTCCCCCCGTGTGGAGTGGGGGGGGGGGGCGCGTTGGACTAAGAATTCCTTTATTTATATCAGGCACAACCTCACTAATTGTGAAACATGTGAAACATTGTGGTGAACGGAGGAGGTAATCGGGCCCCTAGGGCTCTCATGGCCTCAACTTGGATCCGCTACTAACGTGCTAATGTTAAAAAGTCAGCAAAAATGCAAAACGAACTAATTTACATAATGATTGCGGTTCGACTAAAACGTAGATAAATGTACCCGGGACAACACCTATACGCCATAACATTGTTTGTTTTGGTGGTGGAGTGGTGGGGTCGGGGTGGGGGCATTGCGGGATTAAACCATGTACCCATCTTATTAAATCATGTGACATAACCGTTTCTGAAAACATAAAATAAAGAGTCCTATATTGTCTGAAAAAAAAGATGAAAATTAATCCGTCTTATGCTCGTAATAATATTATATTGCTTTGTATGAAAAGGATAGAAAAAAGGCTTATCTTATGAAATGTTATATTTCCGTCTGATCAAAATAGAAAACGCCCCCATCATATTTCCTTGTCAGAAAATAATTTGTGACGGATAATGAGAATGAAATTACATGCACAAATTACTATTTTTAAATAGCTACTTTTATGAGATCTGTGGCGGTGAATGCCTAATTGCTTTATTTATTTTAAAGGTAATCTCCCAGAAATACATCAGTGAATGAAACATGTTAATTTAGAGTGAAATGTCTTTGCCGACCTTTAACCTATGGCGGTATATTTAAAATTAAATATGTGTTAAAGGGCCAATCCCGATAATGTTTTGGAGAATAAAACTGCTTAATTTTGGGTTAAAATGCCTTAAAACCCTCTAACTACGGGCCGGCAAGTAACTCAATATTTGTGATAAGTTTGCAAACAACTTAAACCCGTCAGTCTTCATCTGGAAATGGAGACCGGTGTCCCAAACTGTTTTATACGTTGTCTGGATAAAACCAGACCTTTTTTTTATAAAAATAATGTGTAGGTGAAATTTACCGTCTGCTATCAAGTACAACACATGGGTCACTTACTGTATAGATCTCTCAAGAAACGGGAATCGATTATCAGGTCACCCAACGCGAAAATTGACCCGAAATCTTAAAAGGGTTACGTAGGTGTCCGAATAAGCAGTTTTGGTGTTCACGTCCAAACGACTCAATATTTTGAGCTGAAATTTTGAGACAAGGTCAATACACCATTCCTATATATTTTGGTGCTTAAATTTCATACGTACTCGGACTTTAATTTTTGAGACTCTATTCTAATCGGGATAGTCCCTTTAATGTCGTGCTATGGTCTAATATGGTCTAACTTTTAACTTTTGTTCAGGTAATTTTTAAATTAAGAAAATGTATAACCCATCTTCTTTATTAATTGTTTCTTATCATGCTGTTTGTATTTTGTTTCAACTGTTCTTTTACGTGCACTCCAGTATGTACACGGGACCTCGAGTTTACGTCCCATCGGACGACTATACGTTGACACCACCCCCCCCCCCACCTGCACCAATGACAAGTTGGAAGCACACTGGAAATTCTCGAGGAACTTTCTCAGCCAATACTGGGAGTGAACAAGAGACCTCCAGGTTGCCGAGCCAACATATTACATACCGAGCCATCGCAGCTCCCCCGAACGAATTAATTGGGGGAATTTTTAAATGGGCTCCCTTCTTACCCGTTTTTATTTCCGGGGCATGTCACATAAACTGTTCGAGATTTTGTAAACGCATCAATATATTATGGTAGTTGTGCCTTTTGCTAATTAGAAATTTCTGAGATTAAATATTTTAGTGTTTCCATGGAAACCATCTTGATAACAGAGTCTTCTTGTTTTAATTTATTTTGATTGATTAGTATATAATATGTCAGTTATAGGGTGTGTCTGTTAAAAAAAAAATACATGTATCTTAAAAACTAGAACGGTACTGATCAGACACACTGTATTATTATTACTTAAATTAGTGGAAGGCGGATATTGATGAGGGTTATAAATGGATGCCCCTCATTCCTGAAATAGATCCCCGGGGCAGTCGCCCCCTCTGCCGCCCATTTTTGCACCCCACCCCCCTTCCGCTGTAATAGTTCATTTCTGACCTAGAGTGATTTAGGAGGTAACCGCCTACGACAGGCATATGTCAACGGCTATGTCATGGATATTAGATTAGACTCTAGCCTCCTTGTCAGTGATGCGGGACGGGGGGCCTGACAAGGACAGCTGCCTAGTCGTTCGGATGCGTCAAAAAACCGAGGTCCCGTGTACACATTGGCGTGCACTTAACAGATCCCTTGACAGTTGGAAGTCGATATAAAAGTAGACCGTAGTGCCGCTGTCCTGGCAAAATATCCCCATAGCAAACTGTATGGCGCATGCCTGTCTTCATTAGCCCAGTTCGGGGCCAAAACAATAGGACGTTAAACCCCATTTCATTTCATCTATTTATCTAGAGTCCCCCTCAAGATTTTTATCATGTGGTGGCGGGTGGGGGCAGAATCGTTTAACATGTGCGCTTTAGACCATACTGTCTGTAATTGGGTCAAGTGGATTCATAGATATCTATATGGTCTGAATCGGAATCTTTATACATTGTATTTGTATGAGCCGAATGGAATGGAAACTAAATATGGTCTGATCCCTGCAGGATGTTTAAAAACGTTACACAGAGTTACCTTTCTTGTTAACTTTTCTTGACGAAAAGAAGGATTTAGTATCAAGCGGTAAATAAGAAATGTTGATTTTTGTTGTTGTTTTGCGTTTATATTTTGTATTACATGTAGCTTAGATAACAAACCTCATCTCTCATCCAAGCACATTATATCTCAACGCTTTTAGCTACGTTCTCGTAGCTACATGTAGCTGTGTGTTATTTATCACACAATTGCTACGACCTCTAATTAGTCTAATCTACAATCCAACTAAAAATTGAAGAAAGGAAAGATCTGCACAAAACACGTAACTGAAAAAGTTCGGGTTATACCTTAGAAAAGGTATATTTCTCAGCACTCTTCGTCAGTCAGTCCTGAGCTTGCCTTTTGATAATAACTTATATTCTTATAGTTCGACATCGTGTCTTGTCTTGATAACGTTGAGAGAATAGGCTTACTCTTCAAAACTTCGCCGAAATAAATCAGTAGCTGCTCTGTCTTCCATGTGTATAGATTAGATAACTGAGTATGTGTTACAAACTTACAGTTATGTGAAATATGTGTCTTGTGTAGTCCCTAGTGAAGGGATTTTGTGCTGACATTATATTATTATTGTTGAGTGGAACGTAAATCTCTTTCTAGAATAAACAGAAAATATAGACTTTCATTTAAACACGATAAAAAAGTAGCTGGTCCAAAAAGCATGTTGTCTATATCCGAATGTTTAGTCTGGAGTCCGTCCAACATACTCATCTAAGACTTGTCTAAGTTAATGGAAAGATCACTTGCCGACTTGAGTTGTCCTTAGCCCTGGAGCAGACCTCGCATCAAGAATATAGGCCTATATGAGGTTTATAAGTTTACTATAAGTTTACTATGCTTTAAGGATATATTTCTTCGATGTGATATTTTGTATAGTTCAGGAAAATAATAGTAGAGACCAGAATAGGTTACATTTATTTTCGATCAACTTTTAAAGATGCATTATGCAACAGCTAAATCTGACCATTACAAGTCTTTCTTTAGGCCTTACATGTGTCATGTTATATAAATTATAAAATGGACATTAAATATCTTGCCGAAACATATAATCAACTTCCGGTGTCATCGGATGCTCGAGATTTTCAACGGATTTAAACATAATTGGCGGTTAATGATTAAATTTTAAAAATTGGATAATCGAGACTTGGTTTACTATCGTAACATCGGTAGCAATTACAATCGAGACTCCAAACAGCCCTATATAAACGTCGCTCAAAAATGAAATATTTTGACTGAAATTTTCAAGATATTCCCTTTTCATTATCTATCGTTTTAACTATCATAACGAAAACTGTCAGCTGTTTATCTAAATCTTACATAATGCATCTTTAACTAGAATTTAATTGTAACTGTTATCCACTCGATAAATATACTATATTTAGGATGTCGATTATCAAGTAGCGTACGTTAATTTGACCCGCCACGGGCTGCACGTATACGTGGCGTGGCACTTTTGGTTTTCTTCATTGAAAATAACTTTGATTTTCTGTCGGGACGTTACCGTGATACAAAACGATCTGACAATTATATTTTGTCATGATTAACACCGCTTTGTATGTTTAAAGGTTTAAGCATTTTTCACATGTATATGGTGTGTGTTTTTGCGGATTCTGATGGGGTAGCGGCACAAACTCTAACTACGCCACTGTGTGTATTGAAGAAATAGATTTTTAAAAGAGCCTGAGTGATTTGGAGACTTTAAAGATGCGTATCATAAGAGGGGTTATCATAGTGCTGGTATGGCTTTGTCGGATAATCGCTGCCATTTTGCAGAGCTTGATGAAGTTCACTGAAATATTTCTCACTGTTTTGCTTACGCTCTTTCTCGGCGTCGCTCATGTACCGGAAGTGGTATATGAAGCAAATTGCCAAAAGCGGCACCACGAAGACTAAAGCAGCTACAAAAGCCACAATCACCTGTGTACGATAAAGATTAAAATTGTCCCTGTCCAAATGTCCATAAAGATTGAGCCCACGATTTATCTTGTGGATCCTTTCGCTTCCATTGTAAACCATACAGATATATAATCCGTGATCGCTGGATTTAACGTTTTTGATCTTGAGTATACCGCCTCGGAGTCCGTTGTCGTCCATTAACTCGTATTTCTCATCTCTCTGTAATGAGTAGCCGTGGATTTTAGCACCGCTTGGTAAATGCCACCAGAGCTCGGCTGACGGATGAATATTTACTAAACTGTCGTTGCAGCGTAAACTGGTGTTTTCGTTCATGTACACCTAAAAGAATATACAGTAAAAATATAGTACCGTTCAATGGCTTTGGGAGGGGTAGAGCAGGGATGGCGCAAAATTGATATAAGCAACACTTTTGTATTGCACAGTGTCTATAAGAATTGCCGTTCTGTGGTGTTATAGAAGAGGCGCAAACTTGACTTGATATGGGTAACATTTTTTTAACTTAAAACAGCCGTGTAAAAAGGGTAAAATTAGATGCTAGGCAATAGTTTTCATCGATTGCGTCCCCTGACTATCGTCCATTGTGGTTGTTCTTTAAAAGTCATTTCTCCAGTAAAAAAGTTTATTCATTGAATAACTTTCAAAGTTGTTATCTTGGAAATTAGTAACGTATTAGAAGGTCATAAGAAGAACTGCACGGTCATTTGGTTGGCAGTTGTCATGGGAACAGAGCTCATTCGCGATATTGTGCGGGGTGGGGGTGGGGTAGTGGTTTAACGCGTGCGCGTGAAGCCATAACGTCTGTCAATGAGTCAAGTGGTGTGATTTCGATTCCCCACCTTCACGTGACAAGGCGTAGGGTCGACTGTCCAACCTTGTGGGTTTTCTCTGCCCCCCCCCCCCCCCCACACACACACACACACTGCAAGCGATTTATTTCTGAACCAAATGTTTGTTCAGGAATGATCTGGATTGTGTCGGGTCGAGTGTGCTATTGCCTTAACCGCTCCGCCTCTGTAGGCTATCATTCTGCACTCAGAGAAATGTCTACTCTACTTAGAGAATAGATCTCTGCCCTAAATGATCACCACATCCAACAATTAATATACTGATTTGTAATGGGGTTCTACTCCGGTTCACATATGTTATACACACAAAGACAGATTAAACCTTTTCAATTTTATTCAATGAAAGCAGATTATATATTTCTCAAAATTCTCGAAATATGGTGTTTTCGACTAAACTCCTACGAATTTAAATTTCGGACAACTAGCTTAGGGTCTGTTTTCAAGAGGAGCTAATTGTAGACATACAGGGTACGTTTAGTAAACCTCTGTACATGTGCGACACTGGTGCTGTTCATTATACCAAATTCTCCCGGAGGTATGATGGCGGTAAAATATTTCCAAACAACTTACAAATCTCTTACCTGAAAAGACCACTCTGGGTCTGAAAACCAATCAGCTTGAACTGTAGCCAAGATGGCGACAATAACCACGTAAGATATACTCTGAACTCCCATCTTAAATATCTGTAATGTACAATGAGTAAATTGTTTAGGCGATATTAATTACTAACTGCATGATAATAACACATGTCCCAATTACATGTATATAGAATACAATTTACTTTAGACCTTTATTCCTGGCAACGTTCTCTCGTCTTTATCAAACTTCTAAAATTACTTGTATTCCATATAAATGTGTCATGTGTACGGGTAATATTTCAATATATTTATTATATAAAGCATACACTGTCAACAGACCATGAAACTTGGTTTGTTCTACATGAATTTATAGTCTATGAAGCTAAACATTGCTCGTTACCAGAGGGGTGGGGGCGAGTGATATAACGCGTGCGCCTTAGATCATAAGGTCTAACATTGAATCGAGTTGCGTGGTTTCGATCTCAGGCTTGTACATGACAAGAAGTGGGATTGCCTGGCCGGTTTTCTCTGGGTCCTCCGGTTTCCTGCCCCCGCTAAAGACACCTATACGCGCGAGTGAATTATTGAAATAAAATTGTACCATACGTTAGTTACGTCTCTCTCTCTCTCTCTCTCTCTCTCTCATATATTAGGCAAGACATCTAACATCTAATGGATTGACCATAGCACAATATATATTAGAAACAATCACTGGTTTATACACATATATATAGCACAACGTTTCGGCAAGTGTTATCGTATTGTTGTCAAGCACAAATGGTTATTAGCTGCATTCGATAATATGGCTGTGTTTTCTTAAATAACTGTTAAATAATCGATGTGAGTAGGACACACTTAAGCCGTGATAAGTAAAATAAATAGGTGCATATTGACATAAAAATGTTTATAATGATATATGACGTATTAGATGATAAAACTGTTTATACTTTTATTTGTTGACATAATATGATGTCATAGATAACGGTATGTATGTTTAACGCAAATAAAAATATCAAAAGTTAACATGACATTATGTAAAACTAATCCCGACAAAATCACACACGAGGGGCAATACATATATTGTTTACTTTGGCGACATTAATTTCTTTCCACAAATTTAATAGCTTTTGGCACAGCGCTGAAAGTAAAACATTAAAGCCCACTCGACACATAAAATGTCATTTCGGGACTAACCCCCGGGAAAAACCCACGAAGTTGGGAAGGGCGGTCCTAGTCCTTGTCACGTAAAAGTTTGGGATGGAAACCAAGCCACTTGAATCAATGACAGACCTTATATAAGTTAATATAAGTTATATGATAGTTTTGGGTGAATAGTTTTCTGGGTGGGTTGTGTAACATCAAGATACTCGTGGCTAGACGATTAAATCTAACGAACCCTGACTTTTGTATATAAGTTGGTGAATGTTTACCTTCAAATAGGTGCGGTTGAATTATATGCAGGTGTGTTATCATTCTGCATTCAGGTGTGTAGTCATTATGTTTTAGTTGAATATTTGCAACTAGTTTTATAGTGCGTAACGATTGACTAGCATACGATCATCATGGGGTGGATAAAGGATTCCTTTATAAAGGGGTGGTGGAGTTCCGAGCACAACGAGTCAGTGTAGTTTTTTAAAACTTTTTGGGTGCTTTTTCCGATAAAGAAATCCACGACAAAGTCGCCTAAAAAGTGCAAATTGTTACAATAATACAGTTTATGACATAGTTACCACCGTTTAATGTGTTCGGATTTATGTCGGTTGGTCAACGATGGGTGACAACACCTATTATTGCCGACAAAGCGATGTAAGAAAAGAAAGACAGTCGAGCGTAGCAAGCCAATTAAATGTACCCTACGCGCATAAATGCAGATATAATTTATATTTTCTTTATAATAATATAATAAACGATATTTTGAATGTTTGATATTTTATATTAGCCATTCGGTATGAAACTCGCATAGTTTTTGATCCCTTTGAAGTTGCGCAAAATTAATATAAACTGTACACATGTAATGCCGTTGTCCGAGCAAATTGTTTCTCATAGCACAATGCATGGCATACGCACGTCTTCTTTAGCCAAGTCGGAACAGTACAATGGGACGTTAAAACCCCATTTCATTTCATTCGATAAGCGGTCCTGTCGCCTGCCTAACCTTGTGGGTTTCCTTCGGATACTCCGGTTTCCTTCCAGTACTAAAAACTGATACGTGCAAGCCAATTGCTGAAATTAAGAGATGTTAGTCCAAAATGACCTCGTTAGTTTTATTATTAACAGACTGAGGTTGAAATGGGGTAGGATATTCATCTTTATAACGTTTCGGGTTAAAACACTCTTTTAACAAATCCTGCTGTGTGGAGGTTTTTTTAAAAATATCTATTAATATCTACTCTCTCCACCGGCATCATCGTTTGATGCATGTCCGGCATCTGCTACTCTTTTAAGTAGACATGATTGATTGCGTGGTGTCTATAGGTTCATCCTGTCTTCCCTTTAATTAAAGTAGCTAAGTCCCTAACTCAATATCATCCAAAATCTTCGACATTGAAAACACGAATTATTTGTCAATTTAAATCAACATTGATGTTGTGATCTTACGGGGAAAAGATGGGCTTCTGATATCCATTAATTAAGACAAAATAAACATGTTAGCGTTGGTGCACGAATCGTGTACCATGGCATTTCAGCGCCATTTTTAACAAGGGACTCGTAGAAAGAGGCTAGATATATTCCACAAGTCATGTCAAACGGTGACGGCATATTCTTATCTGGAGAGCATGCGCAATAAATACTATCGGTATAGAGTGGAATAACCAGACGCTAGAGATTGCCTTTCGATTGAGACTTATGGCGTATTTCGCCGAACATAACTGATTAGAAATTGCAGTAAAAACAAAAACGATTGAATGTAAATCAGTTTATATACATTCACATTACATTATTATATGCGTTGCGACCCATTTGTGTCAATTTCTAGATCCAAAATAATAGCGATTTGGCTCCTTTAAAGTTGCAATAAATTTAGTATCCACAAATTTCTTCAAACAAAACACATATTATATTATACATGTTAATAAATACTTAAACGATTATTTGTTGTCTTTTTCTCCCATATTTTCGTTTCATTTATTTTTTTCTTTCATTGTTTTGATTTGTATGACGAATTTCTAAAAAGACTGGAAATGCAAACTTATGTCCCTTTATAATTTTATATGCCGATTATCAACTTTAAGTCCATATACGTGCTAATTTCGGCGTATAAGTTTACATTAGAAACTAAACTATCGATAGTGTATTCTTGAATTTATGAAATGAAATTGGGTTTAACGTCCTACTGTTCTGCTCCGACTGCGTTAATAAAGACGGGCATACGCGTACCATACAGTCCGGAAAGCGGCGCTATGGCCTACTCTTATATCTAATTCCAACTGTCAAAGATGCTTTTACGTGTAGGTCAATGTGTATAAAGGACTTCGGTTTCGCACCATCCGAACGACTATACTACCATGCTATACCACTGACAAGAAAGTGGGTGGGGTGGGGCGACCAACACCGGGTCGAACGCGGGACCTCCAGGTTAGCGAGTCAACATCTTACTCACAGAATCACCGAGTTGCGATAAAACATCTACTTGTTGCATTCCTATTTTCATATCGTATGTTGAGTCATTCCCTTATTTACGTTTTAATTTTAAATGTTTAATCTATAACTGCACTTGGCTACCCATTATAGGATCTAGTACGTGAAATGACATGAAATCGGGTTTAACGTCCTACTTTTCGGCACCAACCGGGATATTGAAGATGGGCAGTTCGGAGTGTGCTAATTACATGTATTAATTATTAATCAATACATTAATTACCAGCATACGGTCTGTTCACACGACGCCCCCCCCTCTCTCTCTCTCTCTCTCTCTCTCTCTCTCAAGGCGGATGTATTATGCGATAAAATCATATCTTATCTTATCATATTATAAGTTAAACATCAACACAAAGAACATAAAAACATGTAATAGATATAAGGGTAAATTACATTGTTATAAATGATAGATTAATCGTCCCCTATCATAGATCAAAACACGTTCATTCAATCATGCCTTTTGTATACAATGCTCATTCAAATACAATGGTAAGAATGTATCGGGGTCAAGAATGTAGGCTCGTCTCTTTCCAACGTATACCTGCACAACATACAATATGCATGTATGTATGTATATTAGTCAACTAAGCGCACCTGTAATTTTATAATTTGGTATATCTGCATGCACAACAACATTAATTAAATGACATATATTTCTATGTAATTATTACTAACATTTCAATGTTTCAATTCCATTAAAACTACAAATAAATAGAATAAATATAAATAGACACTCCCATTAGATATACATTTAATGGCATATTTACTGGGTCAAATAGAATTTAATGTCAAAAATGCATTCTTTAATTAGATTTATTCAAATAAACCAAATAAAATAAAATGAATTGTTTACCTGTTTTGGGATAAGATTATTAAATATGGGAACTGAACATAACCTGTGTACGGCTATAAATGTGTAAACCAATCGTCAAGCACGAGACGAAATCTGTTTGGGTGTGTTCAGGCACTTTTATTGTAACTTTCGTCACAGTTTATTATTATCATTTGAAATACCACCTGGACATTTATTGCAAAAATAAACTTCATCCAATTATTTAACTTAAAAAACCCCAACAATTTCTTAATATTTTGTGTAGTAAAACTTACCTGTAAAGTTTCCCGGGTCTATCAGAATGTGTGTATCAACCTGGCTACTAATCTGAGTAAGCTCCCCTGTTTTATAGAGCGTGACGGTATTCAACTGCAAACAAGTTTTGGGCTTCTGTTTTATTCTATAAGCCACAGCATCCCTAGTGTCGTGTCGTAAATGAGACTGATCGCTCGGGTAAACAAAGGGATAAATGCACATTGACCTGGCTTTGTATTGTACTAACGGTAAACAATGACGCGCGCATGGTATATATACGTGCGGGGCGGGGTGGGAGTGTACATCCCTCCCCCCGTGTGGAGTGGGGGGGGGGGCGTTGGACTAAGAATTCCTTTATTTATATCAGGCACAACCTCACTAATTGTGAAACATGTGAAACATTGTGGTGAGCGGAGGAGGTTATCGGGCCCCTAGGGCTCTCATGGCCTCAACTTGGATCCGCTACTAACGTGCTAATGTTAAAAAGTCAGCAAAAATGCAAAACGAACTAATTTACATAATGATTGCGGTTCGACTAAAACGTAGATAAATGTACCCGGGACAACACCTATACGCCATAACATTGTTTGTTTTGGTGGTGGAGTGGTGGGGTCGGGGTGGGGGCATTGCGGGATTAAACCATATACCCATCTTATTAAATCATGTGACATAACCGTTTCTGAAAACATAAAATAAAGAGTCCTATATTGTCTGAAAAAAAAGATGAAAATTAATCCGTCTTATGCTCGTAATAATATTATATTGCTTTGTATGAAAAGGATAGAAAAAAGGCTTATCTTATGAAATGTTATATTTCCGTCCGATCAAAATAGAAAACGCCCCCATCATATTTCCTTGTCAGAAAATAATTTGTGACGGATAATGAGAATGAAATTACATGCACAAATTACTATTTTTAAATAGCTACTTTTATGAGATCTGTGGCGGTGAATGCCTAATTGCTTTATTTATTTTAAAGGTAATCTCCCAGAAATACATCAGTGAATGAAACTGGTTAATTTAGAGTGAAATGTCTTTGCCGACCTTTAACCTATGGCGGTATATTTAAAATTAAATATGTGTTAAAGGGCCAATCCCGATAATGTTTTGGAGAATAAAACTGCTTAATTTTGGGTTAAAATGCCTTAAAACCCTCTACCTACGGGCCGGCAAGTAACTCAATATTTGTGATAAGTTTGCAAACAACTTAAACCCGTCAATCTTCATCTGGAAATGGAGACCGGTGTCCCAAACTGTATTATACGGTGTCTGGATAAAACCAGACCTTTTTTTTATAAAAATAATGTGTAGGTGAAATTTACCGTCTGCTATCAAGTACAACACATGGGTCACTTTCTGTATAGATCTCTCAAGAAACGGGAATCGATTATCAGGTCACCCAACGCAAAAATTGACCCGAAATCTTAAAAGGGTTACGTGTCCGGATAAGCAGTTTTGGCGTTCACGTCCAAACGACTCAATATTTTGAGCTGAAATTTTGAGACAAGGTCAATACACCATTCCTATATATTTTGGTGCTTAAATTTCATACGTACTCGGACTTTAATTTTTGAGACTCTATTCTAATCGGGATAGTCCCTTTAATGTCGTGCTATGGTCTAATATGGTCTAACTTTTAACTTTTGTTCCGGTAATTTTTAAATTAAGAAAATGTATAACCCATCTTCTTTATTAATTGTTTCTTATCATGCTATTTGTATTTTGTTTCAACTGTTCTTTTACGTGCACTCCAGTATGTACACGGGACCTCGAGTTAACGTCCCATCGAACGACTATACGTTGACCCCCCCCCCCACCTGCACCAATGACAAGTTGGAAGCACACTGGAAATTCTCGAGGAACTTTCTCAGCCAATACTGGGAGTGAACAAGAGACCTCCAGGTTGCCGAGCCAACATATTACATACCGAGCCATCGCAGCTCCCCCGAACGAATTAATTGGGGGAATTTTTAAATGGGCTCCCTTCTTACCCGGTTTATTTTGTAAACGCATTAATATATTATGGTAGTTATGCCTTTTGCTAATTAGAAATTTCTGAGATTAAATATTTTAGTGTTTCCATGGAAACCATCTTGATAACAGAGTCTTCTTGTTTTAATTTATTTTGATTGATTAGTAAATAATATGTCAGTTATAGGGTGTGTCTGTTAAAAAAAAATACATGTATCTTAAAAACTAGAACGGTGCTGATCAGACACACTGTATTATTATTACTTAAATTAGTGGAAGGCGGCTATTGATGAGGGTTATAAATGGATGCCCCTCATTCCTGAAATAGATCCCCGGGGCAGTCGCCCCCTCTGCCGCCCATTTTTGCACCCCACCCCCCTTCCGCTGTAATAGTTCATTTCTGACCTAGAGTGATTTAGAAGGTAACCGCCTACGACAGGCATATGTCAACGGCTATGTCATGGATATTAGATAAGACTCTAGCCTCCTTGTCAGTGATGCGGGACGGGGGGCCTGACAAGGACAGCTGCCTAGTCGTTCGGATGCGTCAAAAAACCGAGGTCCCGTGTACACATTGGCCTGAACTTAACAGATCCCTTGACATTTGGAAGTCGATATAAAAGTAGACCGTAGTGCCGCTGTCCTGGCAAAATATCCCCATAGCAAACTGTATGGCGCATGCCTGTCTTCATTAGCCCAGTTCGGGGCCAAAACAATAGGACGTTAAACCCCATTTCATTTCATCTATTTATCTAGCGCGAGTCCCCCTCAAGATTTTTATCATGTGGTGGCGGGTGGGGGCAGAATCGTTTAACATGTGCGCTTTAGACCATACTGTCTGTCATTGGGTCAAGTGGATTCATAGATATCTATATGGTCTGAATCGGAATCTTTATACATTGTATTTGTATGAGCCGAATGGAATGGAAACTAAATATGGTCTGATCCCTGCAGGATGTTTAAAAACGTTATACAGAGTTACCTTTCTTGTTAACTTTTCTTGACGAAAAGAAGGATTTAGTATCAAGCGGTAAATAAGAAATGTTGATTTTTGTTGTTGTTTTGCGTTTATATTTTGTATTACATGTAGCTTAGATAACAAACCTCATCTCTCATCCAAGCACATTAGTATCTCAACTCTTTTAGCTACGTTTTCGTAGCTACATGTAGCTGTGTGTTATTTATCACACATTTGCTACGACCTCTAATTAGTCTAATCTACAATCCAACTAGAAATTGAAGAAAGGAAAGATCTGCACAAAACACGTAACTGAAAAAGTTCGGGTTATACCTTAGAAAAGGTATATTTCTCAGCACTCTTCGTCAGTCAGTCCTGAGCTTGCCTTTTGATAATAACTTATATTCTTATAGTTCGACATCGTGTCTTGTCTTGATAACGTTGAGAGAATAGGCTTACTCTTCAAAACTTCGCCGAAATAAATCAGTAGCTGCTCTGTCTTCCATGTGCATAGATTAGATAACTGAGTATGTGTTACAAACTTACAGTTATGTGAAATATGTGTCTTGTGTAGTCCCTAGTGAAGGGATTTTGTGCTGACATTATATTATTATTGTTATCATTAATCTTCGAAAAAAACTTTACAGTTTCTGATGTTTTTTCTTATATAGCAATGATTATATAGCCCATTTTGTTTCATAAAGATATTTTATTAAGATAATTTTATATTATCACTAATTAAATATTGCCTACTTATAATTTATTAATACCCAGTAGTGCAAATCTACCATTATTTCAACTCATCACAATAATTTATATCAATATTTTAAATAAAACAATTGAGCTTAAAGAACTGTAAATTATCAAAAGACATTTCAAAGGTTATTTTTAAAGTATTAAAAGTTATTTCATTATTAACAAGTTAAATACCGGAAAATGAGTAGCCTACATGGTAAAATGAACTGTTTATTTAAATTTCTTTGTTTATTTCAGGTGGCACAAGTGTCTTGTGATGTTCTGGGGATGTAATAATTAACATGAACATCTTCATGTTTTTATCATGTCCCTGGAAACTGTTTTAAAAAATGTCTACACATTTGCCCAGATAGTCAGCCAGGCATCAAGTAATTCAGTCAGTCAGTGGGATGAAAAATCATTCAAAAATGCGTTTAACTGGGCAGCTTATTGTGAACAGGTAATATAAATTTTTACTTTTAATAAATGAAATGGGGGGGGGGGTGTCTAGTAGTGGTTTAACATGTCTCTCATTGAGTCAAGTGACATGGTTTTGATTCCCCTCTTGTATGTGCAAAGGAGTAGGGTCACCCGTCACATCTTGTGTGTTTTCTCTGGGTTTTTCGGTTTCCTCCCACAGCTAAACACCCCTATTTGCAATTGAACCATACATGTATGTGAGTCCTGAAATGACCTAGTTTGTGTCAGTGGGGTTTAATTTTTAATGTCTTACTCTTTCCACCAAATAGTTTGATATTCATGTAGTCTTTGGGCAATATGCATGTGCATCATGGAGTGTGTTTTGAGGGAAATTCTGCACTGATAGCAGCACTATACTTTGATTACTAACTGTGCAGGGATCTTTAACATGCTGCCTGTGGTATACATGAGACCTTGCTTTTTTTCTTCCATCTGAAAGATTAGACACTTCTCCATGCTGCATCATTTCATTTTATTTATAAATTTTCCCGTCCAGACCCTGCATCTTACATCATTTTGTTTTGTTTTATTTTCAGGTTTATGAACATGTTGAAGATAAACCATTTAAAGTGAATTTTGACGAACAGATACAGGAAATTACATCGTTATTATCACCGCCATCTTGTGTGTGTTTAAATCTAGAAAGTTTAAAAACAGCATCAGACATTTTACAAGAGGTAGTTTTTCTATTGGTTTTATTGAATTGGCAACTAGAAATGGACATAAATGGGTCGAAACGCATATAATAATGTAATATGTATATAAACTGTTTTACATTCAGTCATTTATATTTTTACTGTGATCTCTAATCAATTATGTTCGGCGAAATATGTGAAGAGTCCAAATTGAATGGCAGTCTTTGGCGTCTGGTTATTCCAGTCCACACCAGTAGTATTCTCCTATGGGATATGTTTAGCTGCATTACAAATGTCAAATGGTGCTCGAAAGCATTCTGGCATGCGATTCGTATGTCAATTTTAGAATTTGCATTTTGTCTTAAATATTGGATATCAAAATATTGGATATCTTTTCACGGTAAGGTAAAATCAATGTTGATTTAAATTGACCAATAAGTCATGATTATAATGTCAAAGACTTTGGATGATATCGAGTTACCGACTTGCCTCCTAGTTGATATCCATATGTAGTTGGTACAAGATGCTAAAGGGTTAACATGCATCTGTGTATTTTATTTTCTGTAAATTTCAGAGACTGTTACTGAATCCTTATTTAAAGTTAGAAATATTTGATAGACTTGTTATTGGTAATGGTGGTACAAGTTTCACATCAGATCATATCTCACAGGTATATATAGCCGTGTTATTTCCTACTAGAGGTTTCATTTTATAAAAAATGCCAATTTCTATTATTGTGGGTCTGTAGGGTTTTATACTTTTCTGTACCAACTGTTTCCTTCTACTTCTCATGGAATTCCAACCATCAAGAGTTTTTCGTGCCATCCGAACTTGTTAGGCCCTCCGGCCTCACTGACATTGGGAGACCTTGCTGGAAGTCCTGAGGTCCATTTGACCAACACTAGGATCATACCTGGACCCCTTACTCACTGAGCCACTGTGTATTTGAATGGCACAAATATAATATAAACTAACATGAGCAATTGCAAATCATATCTAAATTTTCACACATTTTTTGCAGAAGATCCATGGTTTGGTATCTTTAATCAGTTCAGCTAAATTATCGCGTAATTTACTAGAAGAGATAGAAGAAGATAAAACGTGCATACATCCACATCAAATACCAGCACAATCCAAGATCTTATTTCAACATTTTATAGAACAGTTTACAACTATCCCCAAAATAGACAGGTACATTTTAATTATCACAAGGGGGAAGGGGTCTAACATGTGGACTTTAGATCATAAGGTTCGTCATTGCGTTAAGTGGCATGGTTTCAATTCTCAGCTGGTACGCTCATGGGTTTTTTCTGTGTCCTTTGGTTTCCTTCCATAGCTAAATACTCCTAAGTCTAAGTCAATTATTAAAATAAAACTGCACCATATGTAAGTCCTGAAATGCTTTAAAACGTCCCACTTTAGATCATAAGGTTCATCATTGCGTTAAGTGGCATGGTTTCAATTCTCAGCTGGTACGCTCATGGGTTTTTTCTGTGTCCTTTGGTTTCCTTCCATAGCTAAAAACTCCTAAGTCTAAGTCAATTATTAAAATAAAACTGCACCAAATGTTAGTCCTGAAATGCTTTAAAACGTCCCACTTCATGACTCAAGTCACACCCTTTAAAACACCCAACTCTATGACTCAAGTCACACCCTTTCAAACACCCCAATCTATGAACCAAGTCACACCCTTTAAAAACACCCGACTCCATGACTCAAGTCACCCCCCTTAAAACACCCCATAGTCCCAAAATGACCTAGTTTGTGTTGAGTGGACGTTAAAACCCATTTCACTCTCTTAAAACACCCCACTTAATGACTCAGGGGGAAAAATCACTTAAGATGCAGTCATGTCAAGAGTGTTGCTTGGGGATTACTATCATAGTATTATGACAAAAATAAATGTTACTATAGAAACATTCAGTAAAATTATGACAGACGTTTACAGTCCCCTGTACATGTAACTATAGAAATGCTATGTTAAAGACACTAGTTAAAATGTATATTTTTATATTTTCAGATTTTGTAGTTACATTAAATCTGTGTTAAATAGAATAGCTGATATATCAGGTGGTATGGTGAGTGCCTATTTTCATCCGGGGGGGGGGGGGGGGGGGGGGGGTGGATAGCCGAATGGTTCGCACGTGCGCGCTGTATCATAAGGCCTGTCATTGAGTCAACTGGTGTGGTTTCAAATCCCTGGTTGTACGTGACAAGAAGTAGTTTCGCCTCCAGTTTCCTCCCACTGCTAAAGACCCCTACGTGCAAGCAAATTATTGAAATAAAATTAAACCATATGTTAGTCCCGAAATGACTAGTTTGTATCAAGTTGACGTTAAAACCTCATCACTCTCTCTCTCTCTCTCTCTCTCCATAGTGTAATAACATCTTCATTGTTGTATATTTTTATATGTGTTGTTACAGGTTATAATATTATGTCTTGTAGCAGTATACCAAGAGAATAAAAGTGATTGTGAAGATGGCTGTGATAAAATAAATCAGACTGTATTATCGTGGATAGAAACAATCGCAAATATTAAACCTCAGTAAGTTATAATATGAGACTAAGACATCCTGGCTCCCAATAAAAACAATGTAATAACAATACTTCAGTTGTTAAGAAACTTGCATCCAGTTATTTCTGTTGTGAAAAGTGGGGAGCCACAGTGGCTAAGTGAGTTAGACGCTGACCTGCTAGACTGGAGGTCACAGGTTCGTCCCGGTGTTGGCCAAGAAAGTTCATCAGGTTTTTCTGGCGGGGTTTCCCCTTGTCAGTGGTGCAGGACAGAGGGCTTGACAAGGACAGCTGAACGAGAAAATACTCAGGTTCCGTGTACACATTGGCGTGCATGTAAAAAGTCCCTTGACAGTTGAAATTCAATATAACAGTAGGCTGTAGTGCCGCTGTCTGGACAAAATTCCTTTCATAGCCCACTGCATGGTGTATGCATGTCTTCATAAGCCCAGTTAGAGCAGAACAGTAGCACGTTAAATCCCATTTAATTTCATTTTGTGGAAAGGGATCCCATGGTTAACATTGGCACCACGTTAAAGATCTCATGAAAACCAGAAATTGAAATAAGTGTAGGCTGTAGAATATCACTGTCTGGTAGTGCTGGGTATTGCCACTGCAGCCACGATATGATATGTATTGCGATTCGGGTGCTATGATACAATTCATATCACGATTCATAATCAGGTCAATATTTACCAAGAAAACAACAGGATAAATGAATAATTGATACCCATAGTCATGCCGATGTCGAAGAAATAAAAATGGTTTATATCACGATATTGATGTGGGTCAAAATAAGGATCAAAACAATTTAAGAGTCTTTGCATACCTATGGATAATGTGTGACATGGATAATCAAGAGTGACAGGTTACTTTCTTAAGCGACAAAATAAAATATATAAAAAAGAATCATGATACATTGATTATTGATTCAGCATCTTGCAATTCAGTACATGAATCGTGAGACGGTGAATCACGATACATCAATTCAACAATATATTGTGCCAGCACTACTGTCTGGGCAAAAATTCGTTCTTAGAACACTGCATAGGATATGTTCGTCTTCATTAGCTCAATAGGACGTTAAATCTCATTTCATTTCCAACATAATAAATATTGAGTTAAAACAATTTGCATGCTACCAATGAAATGGTGTTTAATATCCTGCTGTTCTGCTCTGACATCAGAAAAAGGAACCGGTCAATAAAAGTAAACACAAAATGAAAATCTTTTAAAACATAGTCAAAAATTGTTTCAATGGCATTTACATGTAGTAATTGAACTGGAATATATACAATTCTATGGAATATAATTACTGTTTTTTACTGAGTGACGTTTCAACTAAGCTTCTCTAGTCTTTATCAAGCAATGATAAAATATAACAAGACAATATATACATGTTTCGGGGTTTTTTTCCAGGAAGATTTTATCCATAGAGAAAGGAATATTATGTGAAATATCCGCTGGTAGTAGCGAGTTTTTAAATTTATATATGCAGATACTAGTAGAATGGGCGAAGCTGATGAAACCACGATCTGGTGGACTACTTTCTACTAAATCATATCGCTGGAGGTGGGTATTAATTGAAGAGCTCTGGGGAAGAACGATCTAAGTCACTTTTTCAACGAACCCCAGTTAATGGCGCCATCTGGTAGCAAATTGTATAAGCTTTCTGTGGAACAATCAATTTCAGGTAAAAATGATCAGAGTCACATCGAACCAAGGCCCTTCTGAAATGGCCTCCCGGACAAATACGTCCATCGTACCCTTTTCTTTACCTTAATTTGACTGAAAAGTGGAAGTTAGTTGTTTTACTGGTAATTATGATTCGTATTAAAGATCATCTTGAAGTTGTAATTAAACCCACTCGTTCTGTTCTGTCAAGCATGCGAAAACACAAAAATGTGACTTAGATGGTTCTTCCCCTGGACAATTCAATTTTTTTTAAGAGCTATTTTAATTTTAAATTTATATTATATTTTATCAAGTATGCTCTTTATTATCTCTTTTTATTATGTAAATGTAATATTGTTTTGCTCTACCTGTCTTTGTGAAGCGCACATGAGCACATTTATGTGGCAGTTGTGTCTATTTAAATGTTTAATGATAATAATAATAGCATAAGCTCCCATTGACATATCATCTGTATTGTCGTTTATTCTCCCCGTTTCACTACCACCATAAGAAAATCTAACAATATCATCTGATGGAAATTTGGAGGGTTTAATAGCCGAATGGTTAAGTCAGTACTTTACTTCATAAGATCTGTCATTGGGTCAAGTGGCATGGTTTCGATTCCCAGGATTAGGAGGGGGGGGGCTGCCCAACCTCGTAATATTTGTTTTTCTCCTGGTCCCCCTTTCCTCGACTGTTAAGACCCCTACCCACAAGGGAATGATTGAAGTAAAATTTAGCTATATGTTAGTCCCTAGTCTCTTTAATTTTTGATGATCTTTACCATTGAGTCATATTGTTTATCTTTAATATTCATTTTTATTTGTCCAAGCTCAAGTCATTATGGCCTTATTCTTCTCACCCCACCATCCCTTTCCGTCGTGCTCTTTATCATATTATCTCTCCCATATCACTCTTTTTTTTCATATTCACCCATTAAATTATTTCTTATAATTACTTCATGGGTTGTTACTCTTGATTGTTTTTTTAGTGTCCTGTAATTGCTCCTATCTGTTGCCTCCAAAACAATAAATATGTGGCAACCTTTGTGAAGTGCTTTGATGATTAAGCTGTTGTGGGTGTATGTTTTGTTGTCTGACAACCTATCTTTAAGATGTACATTCTGTGTTTCAGTGCTGTGAAAGAATGTAAACTTGGCAGCTATGAGAATCTTCTAGAACATTTTTCATTCCTTTCATCATCGCAACGTTATTTTGAAAACATGGTTTCCGATGGTTTGAACAAATTAAAAGGTTCGGACATGTTCAGTATATGGTCAGATATTCTAGAAGAAATAAAAAAAAAATATATGATAGGCCTAAAAAACATAACAGGCCTAAAATATAAACCACTCTAATTTTGGCCTTATCTTATTTCAAATTCCAACTGCGAAGGGTTCTTTTTGCCCCATCCGAACGACTATACATTGTCACTTGAATGACTCATCGTCTTTAACCTATAGATCTATATATAATATAGTGGTACTTATTGTGAATAATAAGTAGATATTTTATGATATAATTCTGTTAAATTTGTTAATGAATTTGTTAAATTTTTGGTTATTTTTATATAGATATAATATTGTTTTTCTTAAAATAAAATAAAATATTTAAATGTCAATTACCTCTTGTTTATATTTATTATCATGTTATATTTTAAAAACATCAGAAGATGGAATTTGTAAATTGTATTTCTGAATTGGGTGACCGAAATGCGTAATGCATTCTCAGTTATTCCAGAAGATAGCTGTTTAAAAACGTAGAACACCATTTCATTGAGGGACTTGACGTCAGAATCGATTATTTTATTAATACCATGACGTCATCTATAAGTTACTATATTTAGAAACGGATGTGTACAAGATCACGTGATCATAACAAAGCCCACGGTACATGTGCAATAAAGAATAATTTCACAACGATTGCAAAATGATCTATTAATAGCCGTGTGTTTGGTTTATAAACGCTGTGTATCTGAGTCGGTTATGAACTAGTAAGAAATAATCTAAAGCTAAATATCGGGACAACGTTAATAACATGAGAATGTTCCTAGAAGACGAAATATGAAAAACACGTTAGATGTAGGACTCTACTTGGAGACATATGATCGTAACAATTCGACATAACGGTTAAAAGTCAATTCCCCAGGAAATGAGAGTTGACAAACGAGAATAGCATGTAACATAATTAACATAGCAACCGAGAAGTGAATTTATTATCTAACAAAATGGCGTTAATAAAGGAAGTAAAGAAATTGGTTAAAAATATCGAGTCCCTGAGCAATGGCCAGGCTCATATACTCGAGATGGAGGACACAATGGACGTGATCAAAATAGAGATAAAACCAAGTGATGGCTTGTACAAAGGGGGCACGTTTATTTTCAAGGTAGGTAACTCGTAGACATTTTATTTTAAAGGTGTGTGTGGGGAGGGTAATTAACCGTGCACTCGACCGTGACTAACGTACAATTCTATTTTAATTATTCGTTTGTGCGTCTGAGTCGTGAGCACTGCGAGGAAATCTGATAACCCGGAGGAAACTCACACGAGGTTCGCCATTTTTCCGTAATTGTCATTTTATTACAGTTATTTAACGTAACAGAACTTGGTATATTTACGGTGAATGGGGAAACAGCGACTCTCGATTTCGTCATCTTGCCCAATATTATATCTCACGCCAAACATGTTTATTACTATTAGATTAGCCCTAAACAATGAGAGCTGGTTTTAGTTGTATATAAATATAAAACACGCGCTTCTTCATCGACGCATGAGTCAAATAGCTTGTGTGTTGTGAGTAATTATTTGTTAAAAAATCGTTATGGACACGTAAGCTATTTGGTCGAATGGTTTAACATGTTAGATCACAAGGTCTCTCGTTGAGTCAGAAAACGACAGTCATGAGCACGTTGGTTGTTTTCATATCCTTTAGATTGACTGTACAATTGTATGAATATATTGAATAAAATATTGTCGTTTAAGTATTGAGTCAAGTAAAGCAGTAGAGACGCCTATCCAACCTCCGGGTCTACCCACTGCTATAGACATCTACACGCACAAGCGAATAAAATTTCGTTGGAGAGGGGGGGGGGGGGTGGGGGGTCAGCAAACATGAGACCGGCTGATGCACAATCCACCAAAGTGACGGACGCAGCCACGAACCGCGCTAGCTAACTCTTTAAGGGGTCCGGGCGCATCAAGCCCCGGAAAATTTTTGAAAAATTATTTCCTGGGCTTTGGGGAAAGATTTTGCAGAATTCTAATGGCTAGAAAACACTTATAGCATGAGTAAAATTGAGTACCACGCATGAGAATTCGTGTTATTTATTAAGAATTTTACAAGAACGTACAAAGTACTGTGAATCTGTGACAACTTATGAAAGTGATAATAATATACATATCATTTACATGTACCTTTATATCTTCGATATACATGTATTGTTGTTGGTGAATATAGCTTAAATGTGCATAAATTAGCAAAGTTCAGCATTAAATGTTTTATAAATTCGTTGCTAATATTGAATATCATCCGCAAATGACCTACATGTAATTTAATCGTAACGTTTTGAAAACTCCATACATGGAAACTACGCGAACCTTTGGCGTGTATGTAAAACATTGAGAGACAATATTGGTCTTACGCGTGTGCGACACGTGACGCTTCACATGGCCCGCAATTAACGTTACTTAGCGCGAGTGGATAATAAAGTAGCCTAGTTATAACAAATGAAATAGGGTATAATGAAATGAATTAGGAGTTTAACCCTCTACAGGGTATACATCATACAGGGCATACATCATACAGTGTGCGATGAGGGAAATTTGCACGAACAGCAACCTAGTTCCAACTGTCATGGGTTCTTTTACGTACACGCCCTCGTGTACACGGGATCTCTGTCGGCTATAAACGATTATACACTGTCCTTGCTAGGCATTCCGTCCGGCGAGGGTGGGTGGGTGGATGGATGGATGGGCGAATGGCTAGTACGTGCGCTACATCATAAGCCCTTTCATTGAGTCAACTGGCGTGATTTCGAATCCCCGGTTATACGTGACAAGGGGTAGGGTCCCCTGTCCAACCTCGTGGGTTTTCTCCGGGTCTTCCGGTTTCCTCTCACTCTTAAAGACCCCTACCCGCAAGCGAATTATTGAAATAAAATTGAACTATGTGTTAGTCCCGAAATGACCTAGTTTGTGTCGAGTGGACGTTAACACCCTCTCTCTCTCTCTCTCTCTCTCTCTCTCTCTCTCTCTCTCTCTCTCTTCTCCGTCCCGCAACGCTGAAAAGGGCAAACCACACTTGGAACATCTGGATGATTTTTCTCAGCCAACAGCGAGATCGAACCCAGGACTTCTTGGCTAGTGAATCGGCGCCTTACTCTGTAACTGTTAAAATGTTTAACAACCCACGTTTTTCTACATAAGCCTAATAATATATATGTTTTTCTAATTTCAGATACGATTGCATCCTAATTTTCCAACCGACGCCCCGAACGTAGTATGCCTGACCCCAATTTATCACCCAAATATAGATACGACATATGACGCGGATAATGAATTAGATGACAGCAATATCTGTATTAATATGTTAGATGACTGGGAGCCTGCTTATGGCCTAGATGGCTGTATTAACGCCATTCTATTCTTGTTTTACTACCCGGAAATAGAGGACTCCCTTTCTCCCTACATCGACGCAGAGTTATCTCCGGAGGAATTTGCCGAAAATGTTCGAAAGTCATTACAGGGTGTAAGCATCGAAGACATTTTGTTCCCGCGTAACCTGGACGTCGACGACGAAATACCCATGGAAACGACAACCAGTGAAGAAACATCTCAGAATGTCAAAAATACCCAGAATGCAATTAGCACCGTTAAGCTCAAAGAGCCTGAGATCGAAGAGTGTAAGAAAACGGATGACGTAGAAGAATTTGTAAAGGGCATTGTTAGAGATTTTATAGACAATGATGCTGTTGATGTGAATAGCATTGCGCAGGATTTTAATGCCAGTGATTGTCAAAGTATTTCATCTAATTCATCCTTCTTTACCTATGGGATAACACCATCGACGATGCAGCGACACCATAATTTTATCTTTCACCATAATTCGCCACAGACTAATTTATTCTCTAGATTTTTCTCCAATTTTTTCCGTTGTTGTAGATCTGACAACACCATCAGTTAGCGACTGTATAAATTAACATTGTTATTGGTGTGAAATCAAATATTGACATCACGTGTATGTGGTGTGGTGTGTATTGTAATTTATGAATGTGTCATATTTTTATTACGATTGTGTAGATTTACTGTAATGAATGTGTACTGTAGACTGATGTATGAATGAATATTCTAATTTAGGAATGTATAGTGTAATGAATGCGTACTGTAATAAATGCGTATTTTAATGAATGTGTATTGTTATGGGTGCAAATGTAATGAATATGTGCTCTAATTTATGAATGTGTAGACCTAGCTACTGTAATGAATTTGTATTCTAATTTTTGATTGTGTTTTCTAATTTATGAATGTGTAGTGCAATGAGTGTGTAATGTAATGACAGGTACTCTAATTTATGAATGTGTATTCTAATTTATGAATGTGTAGTGTGTGTAATGTAATGGTGTATACTCTAATCGGAGATCGTGTATTCTGATTTATGAATGTTTAACTTATGAATGTGTAGATCTATTGTAATGAATGTGTAAATCTACTGTAACAAATGTTTAAATCCACTGTAATGAATGTGCATTATAAACGTGCTATGAGATTGTTTGAATTATGTTATAGGTGCATGTGTAATATACACTTATATAATATAAATATATATTTTGTAAATAACAAATTTGTTCCATGGGGATGAATAACTACAGAATAACTTGTGATAATGCATTTGATACAAATAAAACATGTTATACGTTGTTGTCGCATTGTTGTATAATCGTTCGGATGGGATGAAAAACCGAGGTCCTATATATTAATTGGCGTGCAATTTAATTGACATTTGGAATTCGAAATAATTGTAGGCCGTAGCGCAACTCTCCTGGATCCCGCCCACAGGAAACCACGTTAAGATCAATTTATATGGCCTAGGGAGTAAGAAAAAAGTGTCGAGTCGGCGATTTTGGCAAAAAAAAAAAAAAAAAAAAATAAGGATCGGTCAGGTCACTGTCAACACAGGTATTTTTATTTTGGCCTAATGAACTGTTTTCTTTCATAATGACGTAAACATGTGTAAGTTACTATTTATAAACCAGAATATAGACATCTGCATGTAGATCATTGATCGGTTATTGTGTGTGGTACGGTTCGACCTATATTATAGCTCCATACTTCTAAAACGGTTCGATCTATAGGTTTATACTTCTAATACTAGGGGGTGGCTCAGTGAGTAGGACGTTGTCTCACTAACCTGAAGGCCCCGTGTTCGATCCTTGTGTTGGCCGAGAAAGTTCATCAGGATTTTCCGGGCTTGGTTCCCCCCTGTCAGTGGTGTAGGCCTTTCAAGGAAAGGTGTAACAGATTCCTTGCCAGATGGGATTCGACATAAGAGTAGGTCGTAGCGCCGCTGTCCGGGCAAAATTTCCCTCATAGCACACAGTTAGCCAAGTCGGAGCAGAATAGTAGGGCGTTAAACCGCATTTCATTTCAGTTCTAATACTAGTGGCTAACTGATTCTAGGAACAGTGTCTAGTCGTTCGGGTGATTAAAAAACTGGAATTCTAAATAAGAGAAACTCTGGCACCGCTCCCCGGTCGACACGTCACCTATATACTGCATGACGTATGCCCGTTTTCATTAGCCCAGTTGGTGTTGGAAAGTAGGACGTTAAAACCCATTCCATTTCTTTTCAAATGAAAAGGAATGAAATGAAATGAAATGGGATTTAACGTCCTACTGTTCTGCCACTACTGGGATAGTGAGGACGGGTATAAGCCATGCAGCGTGCCATGAGGGAAATTTTTCCAGGACAGAGGCACTACGACCCACTCTTATTTTGAATTCGAACTGTAACGGTTTCTTTTACATGCACGCCTATGTGTACACGGGGCCTCAGTTTTTCATACTATCCGAACGACTATACGTTGTCCACTGCCAGGTCCTCCGTTCTACATCAGTGACATGGTGGAACCACGGCGGAAAATTCCGATAAACTTTCTCGGCCAACGCAAAGTTCGAACAGGTAGCGAGTCAACGTCCTACCCCCTGAGCCATCGTGGCTCCCGAAAACCCACGGGGTTGGACAGGCATGATTCCCGAAAAGTACGAAATGATCTAATATTAAACCAGTCACTTCTAGAAATAACAAAATGATAGATGTCTTACATTGAGATCACATACCCGATAGTCTCATTTTAATATTTATTTATGAGTTGTCCATAAATGATTCATCCACAGAAGAATAAATGAATCACTTGGAACCATAAATAAATATTGACGAATAGAAAATACGTCTGCAAAATAAACATCTCTGACGTCATAATTTCTGAATGAGACCAATATATTCAGAGTTTGCACACAAGACAATGTTTTCTTGGGAAACCTCAATTAAAATCGAGAGGTTCCGGTATCCCCCCGCCCCCGCCCCTCATCCAGTCGTCATCTTCATTTGCTTGTAGGACGTAAAACCCATTTCATTTCCTATCCAGTCGTTAATCGATTTACCGTGTGGACTGAGTTACAGAAATAAATTAGATTGTAAATGAGCATGATGTTTACAGGCTGTATAGAGTCAATATATGGTGAAAGTCAGATCAATTGATTGGGTAACACAGTTCCGTCGGAAACAAGGTGTGGATGTGTGTGTGTGTGGTGGGGTGGGGGTATGGGGGAGGGGGTGGACTGATGAGATATGTGTTCTTTAGATTAATTTGTTTTACAGGGGTGGAACTTGATTTAAGTTCACTAAACTAAGAGCTCCACCCCAGAACTAATTCCGTCCAGAACTATAATTTCGTCCATTCAGAACTATCATTCCGTTCAGAACCACCATTCCGTACAGAGCTATCATTCTGTTTGTGTTCACCTGCCAGGACAGAGGCGTTTCCACCCACTCCGTTAAGGGTCTTTCTCATGCACGACAACGAATGCGCGGATTGACACAAAATACTTTGATTACCGAAATTTTTATTACAATTGAAACTAAAATATATTTAAAAAAATGAATTGAATTCGGCAATGGAAATGATTTCACAAACAATAGTTCCCGTTGCCCCCCCCACCCCCATCTCCTCACCCCGCAATCTCCTTTGATATTGTTATCGGATGATCAAGACAGAACAGATTATTGTAAGGTTGACAAAAAAATGTTACAGGCAAAGAAATATGTTAAGCACTACGCAATTATCTCCCTTTATGATTTAAAAGTTTTAAGAGTGTCGGTGGTTACAGGTTAGTGGAGCCGCGGTGGCTCAGTGATAAGACGTTAGCTCGCTAACCAGAACGCCTGCCAAGGGACAGCGTATAGTCGTTCGGCTAGGACGAAAACCGAGGTACTGTGTACTCATTGGCGTGCACGTAAAATATCCCTTGGCATTTGGAATTTGACATAAAAAAGGTCGTAGCGCCGCTGTCCGGGCAAAATTTCTCGTGGCTCCTAGAAGGGTTAATGTAAAGTTTTCATTATTTACAATGGTTCGTCGTTAGTTGAGGTTCTTCTGTTTTGTTAGATGCCAAATTTAAACCATTTAATTTGAAAATTAATTAAGAACTTTCAATCAGTTTTTCAATGTATTTGTCTTTTCATACTGTTACCTGTTTGGTCGTTTTATTAAAAAAATCCCAGAAAAACTTTAATCACGTTCTTGGTTGTTGTTTGTGCTTTATTATTGTTTATATTTTGAATTACATATGTATGGGGGCAATCAAAATCTTTTAACCTGTGGGTTAGGAGGGTTAGCCAATAACACACACGTTCTCCCGTCTATATAACATATTTTGCTACAGGAAGACAACCTTGACATCTTATTATTAGAATGTCTCAATATATTATTTGTGATTAAACACCCTCCTAGGGCCTAGTCGTTCGGGTGGTATGAAAAAGACGGTGCCGTGTATACGTTGGTGTGCACGTAAAAGATCCTTAAAATGTGGAATTTGAAGTAAGAGTAGGCCACCGGGCCGCTATCGGCGCCAAATATCCCCATGGGATGGGCATTGCTTGATCAAAGTGGTGCATTGCATCCCTATGGTAATAATATATTTGCAGTAAGCTTATTCATTAGTTTAACAAATGCTATCTTCTTCCACATTAGTATGTAGCCTACTGAATCAAACTATTAGGAAAGATGGACTTTTGTTCATGGAAGTTGCCAGCAGTACACGAACAAATTGACGCATGGTAAGGTTGGCCACCGTTGTCTTATAGTGTATGCCATTCTGCATACAGAGATCCACCTACTTCATACTTCGAGAATAAATCTCTGTCCCGAATGGCCGCCATATCCAAAACTTAAATATTGTTGTGTAATGCGGTTCTACCCCGTTTCACATGTGGCATAACCACAAAGACTAAATAAACCTAATTCAATTCCATTACATAGAAGCAGAATAAATACTTCTCAAAATTCACGAAGTATAATTAGTGTTTTCGACTAAAATCGTCGACTTAGAATTTAAAATGTCGTGTCAACTAGTGTCTGTTCTCAAGCGGACCTAACTGTAGACAGGCAGCCTAAGTTTAGTATGAGTGTATGCCCTTCTCCATTATCTTGGTTAGTGCAGAAAAGTAGGACGTTAAACCCCATTTCATTGCATGTCATTAGACACCCACCTTCAATTATTCATTCATTCTGTTAAAGGGCGTAGGCCTATGGCTCTATTTTTTAAACCTTGAAATACACAGAAATGGTTCTAAAAGCACATATTAATGTAATGTTAATGTATGCAAAGTGGTTTATATCAATTTTTTGAAAAAAAAAAATTGTAATTTCTAATCAAATATGTTCGGTGAAATAGTGACCGGCAGTAGTTTAAGTCCGCTTGGTGCATTCTATACGTTTTGAATTACTATTTTGTCGTTTGTGAATCTTCCACATTGTGTTGTAGGATATTATGTTTTTATTTGTTCATTACAAAATGGCACCGAAACCACAGGGTACACGAGTCGTGTACTGATTATAAAATGTTATGTATTAAATATTGGATATTAGGACCTATAGTTTCACGGCAAGATAACAACATCATTATTGATTGAAATTGATCAATATTCCATCCTGAATCGTGTTTTTATCTCGAATATTATGGAAATATTGTGTTAGAGACTTAGATCCTTTAACTATGTGGACTCCGCGAAGTGGTACATGTAATCGTACGATGGGCTAACTCCTTCAATTCAAATATTTACTGAAATGTGATATTTTATTTGACATAAAAATAATTTGAACAAACATAACGGGTACATTATAGACCCCCAAAACACTCCAAAAATTCTAGACACCTTTCCACATATATTTTATATATTTTACATATAATTAAATGGGAACCACAGTAACCGGGATGTCGCAAACAGAGGTGGAAAACCTGAGTACATTGCCCAAAACTGCGGATATTTTTCAAGGGTAAAGGATATAGAATATCTGTTTGTGTCTCGTTATCTCAAATTAAATAAAATGAGGTTGAATGACCTTCCTTTCCGTCTACTTTTAATAGAATTACACCCGTCAAGGTTTTTTTTTTTAAAACACACACCAACCGGTACACGGGACCTAGGCTTTTTATTCCCATCCGAACGACTAGACGATGTTCTATGTCCGGCCCTTCGTAATAAATATTCGGATCATCTTCGATTTCGCTACTTATTTCTTAGTATGTGAGTTTTAAAAACGACGCTTGAAAAATTACAAGGGGTTGGAAGACGGCACTCTACCCCCACCTCACATTCAATCCGCCCTTGTACTGCCCTGTGAGTACGAAACTGAATTAAACGAAAGGGAACAGTCTGAATTAATAAAAAAAAATCCTAAAGTAAACATAAAAAAGAGGGGAAAATAGAAGTAGTTTAGTCAACATGAATTGGTTAACTCCGTACACTTGATATAAAAGCAACTGAACAGAAGATCACGACTCTTTGATTACAGAGAAGAGAAAAAAAATAAATATTCGTATTCAGCATAGTATTTCTATATTATCATATTTTACAATATCATCGTGATTTTGTCAAATATTTACTGTGAGTCCATTGGTTAATAACTGTGTCCATTATGGGGTTTACGATGGGGATGAAATAAACTGAAGGTTTTTTTTTCTTTTAACAAATCCATGAATGCAGACTTATAAATGAAATAAAGTGGGGTTTATATAACGTCCCACTTTTCTGTACCGACTGGGCTAATGAAGACGAGTATACGGCATGCAGTGTGCCATGAAAGGAATTTTACCCGGACAGCGGCGCTATGGCCCACGCTTATTTCGAATTGCAATTGTCAATGGTCATTTTACGCGCATGCCAACGTATAAACGGAACATGGGTGCCTCATCCCATCCGAACGACCAGACAATGTCCTAGCCACGTCTTCCGTCCTGCACTACTGACAAGGGTAAACCATTCTGGAAAATCCCGAGGACTCCCCAATACATTAATTTATAAGTCAGAGGTGTTCCAGAATTGGAGTGGGTATATATACATGGATTTTAAAGAGTCGTTAATACAATATAATATTATTATTGGTCATTTTCAGACTAACGTAACACCTCAGCTTTTCATATCAGCAAAACGACAAGTCAAAACTTTCCCTGTCACCGCTAATCACGTTCTCAACCGCCCCGAAGCTGACTTCTTCTTTTTCTATTAGGGTTTAACTTCCACTTTCACTTGTGTCTTAATTTATTATGTTGGGGGTCTTTTCTGTGGGAGGAAACCGCTCACACCAGGGATCAAGCCACGACCGGAAGCTAGGGATGACTTCGGGACTTCCATTTTGTAAGAGCAACATTCGCTGATTGATCAAAAAGGCAATTTGTTCCAGGAGAGATTGCGTACTTGCGCATATACAACGATTGATATACGATTTCAGAACGAGTGCAATTCTTTGTCGCGAAAATGTCGATACCCGTTGCCGTTACAATGATGCACAAGCTGGGTGATTTTTTCTACAGCAATATTGGGGCAATACAAAATACCCAAGAAAATTTCCCGTGGGCGCTAGGCTCAATTGCGGACTTCCTTTTCAGCACGTATTATATAAGTCGTATTATTGTGAAAAAAACATTTGTATTCTGTGCAATGACATGAAATATGACGTATTTGTCAGTGCAAATTAATTTTTAATGTGCATTGTGTGCACTGCACATATTCGTCAGTTTGACATGTGACATATTCGTCAGAGAAAATAAAACAACTGCAAATGTAGCCTCTGTGCATTCAAGACCAGGGGGTGCTTGGTATCCACCAAATGCCCTTGTCCCCTCGTCGGGCAATACATGCGCTGTAATACTGTGTTCAAACACTTACGACGATAAGTTTAATACATTATTAAAAATCGAATTTAATAAACGAGTATTCTAAACTGGCGAAAGGGCCACAATTAACCGGTATAGCTTGGACGAGTCGGTCACTAGAATGAAGTGACGTAAACTGTAGAAACATAATATATACAAGCTTAGGGTTAAAATGATTATATAATAATATTTGATAAGAAATGTTAAATTGTACGTATATTCAAAAATAGAAGATGACAGGAACATAGCAAGAACGCGTGTTAACTATAATTACGTAATATATATCGTCATATTAAGTATAAACACAAACAGTTAAAAGGCAGGATAGATTAGTAAGATATCAATTCGGACACTGGTCTGTTGCTACATTAAACTTAACCAAAGTTATAATGGTAATTAACATGGCTACTAAGATACACTATAACACATGCAAAGGGTTAAAATTGAAGTGAGGGTTATGAAGTTGCTTTCGTTATTGTATGATAAGCATAAACCCCCATAGACTAAACGGCCACCGGTCTTAAGCCCCGTGAAAAAAAAGGCTCTGAACTAATGTCGGAGCAAAGACACCCATACCTTGACACAGAACATAACAATCTCGGGAAAATGTAAACGTATTAAGTATAATGTAAAGGAATATATGTAAAGTAAATATAAACAGTCGCACTGACGAGTATTGGTTTACGAGGACCCATTTTCTGACGGCGGTACAATGGATTAATATATATATATATATCAAACACGCGCGACTAAAAACCTCGGCTGACCGACGATCGCAGACCTAGATCCCCTGGGCAAATAAAACTGTATTGAATGCCTGGGTCATAAGTTTTAGTGCACGTGACATTCAATTACCGATTAGCTAAATCAGTCGAGATAAGATTTGAGAAGATTCCACGCAACATTCTGGTGCAATACAGAAAGTTAAATTCGAAATAGTTCTCGGACCTCTCGTCGTCTGCCAGCATGGTGGAAGATTATCTGGTGGCCAGCGATTATGTGCTGATTGGTATTTATTTCGTGCTTGTTTTAGCGGTGGGATTATGGGTGAGTTTATTTTATTTTAAAAGCAAATCTCATAATCTTATCTTCAATGGATTAGTCTTAATCTGTCGCTTATAGAGGGCCATCATGGCTCAGTGACTCAGGCGCTGGCTCAATAACCAGGGTGTCCGGGGCTGAATCCCTCGGGAACGAGAACGTTCCCTGGGATTTTCAAGCGTGGCGCCCCCTTGTCGTTGGTGCAGGACAGGGCCTGGCAAGGAACTGTGTCTAGTTATGCGGATCGGACGAACACCGAGGTGCAGTGTACACCCTGACATGCACGTAGAATAACCCTTGACAGTTGGAATTCCGTTGCTGTCCGGGCAAAATTGTCCCCATAACACATTGCATCATGGCGTATGCCGGTCTTTATTGGTGCAGTATAGAAGGACGTTAAACCCAATAGCATTCTATTGCATCTGTCTGATGAAGACAATTAAAAATAACACGGTGAAGTAGTAATATCTTGAGAAATGCGGATATCTAGATATTATAAAAATTAAGAATAAAAACAATGCAAATCTTTAAAAAATATATATATATATTATGTGAAGAATTTTAAAATTAGTTAATACAGATCCGTTAACTTTAACTTTCCATAAAAAAATTAGACATTTAATGGTTTTATGTGTGCAATAAAACGATCTTTGTCAAGTAACAAAGATAATTGACATTTAAAATATGCAAATAATGAAATGAAATACTATGTAACCTCCTATTTCGTTTTCACCAACCGGTCTAATGTCGGTTACTTGAAATCAAACTGCTAAAGGTTCTTTAGCGTGCACGCAAATGTGTAGACGGGACTTTTTCTTCCAAACTGAACAATTAGACGTATGTCTTTGCCAGGCCCACCATTCTGCATCACTGACAAAGATAAGCCAGACTAAAATCCCGAGGATTTTCTTGGCCAACGCCGGGTTTGAACACGGGACCTAGTGGTTAGTTGTTTTAACATGCGCATTAAAGCCGCTGTTCGGCATTTGAGGGATTTTGAATCCCTTACAAACTACAATATTTCGGAAGTTAAATCTCTAAAAGTAACCTCAGTCTAAACATGGTTCAGTTAAGATGCTTTATGATTTATATATAAAGCTGAGAGTTCTTGCTATAATAATTCAACAAAGAAAATAAAAAATGAGATCAGGCTGTTTGGGGAGGTCATTTCTGTCCAAAAAATTTAATAATCAATCTAGAATTATTGTGGTTTACATGGATCCGATTCCCTCCTCTAACCCTAACCCTTGTGATGTTTAAAGATACATTAAATATGTAATATTTAGAAATAGGACTGGCCATGGTTAAAAAATAGATAATGAAAAATGGACATATTGAACATTTCATTCAAATTATTTTATTCTTAGCGAAGTTATCACTGTTTGAAATGTAGCGTAGATTGTTTATTATCATAGTAACGGTACTTTACAATCTAAGTCTAGATTATTCATTTTTAAATAAAATTATTAAATGGGGATCGTGTTTCGATTAATTTAAATCTCGGTCTACAGAGTTGAATATAGGCTTGTCATGTGATTAATATCTAAATAGTAGTCTTTATACCATTTGAAGCAAACATAAATATCTGCAATAGACAAATTTAACTCTTACATAAGTTACAAAAATATCAGGGATTAAAAAATTGTTTATGCAATGGATGTTCAACGACTTTAACTTGATTAATTCCAGGATGAAGATTATAATTCGATACCATCACCCCATTAAATTGGGATTTTCCGACGTGGTTCCCTCTTGCAGGACATAGCTAGGGCTTGGCAAGGTTCAACGCATAGTCGTTCGATCGGGACGAAAATGGAGGTCTTGTGTACACATTGGCAGTTGGAATTCGATGTAAAAGTAGGACGTAGAACAGCTGTCCAGGCAAAAATTCCCTCATAGCACAGTGTATGGCATATGTCCTTAGCCCAATCCGAGCAGAACTGTGGGACGTTAAACCCCCATTTCATTTTCATTCCCATTCAATTCCGTGTGTATCATCTCATATTTCTACTACACAGATACCAAACTTATTAATCACGATTCAGAATCGGAAAGCTCTCAAACTCTGATTAATATATTATCCAATATATGGATTAAAAGGTCAGATTTCAACCTGCGTCAACTGTTTTACAGTCCTTGGAAGTTTGTAAACCCCTACTCCAGTTTGTGACAGATTACCCTCAATTGTTTTAAACACTGTGGAATTGTTAACCCTCTCTTTAGAAGGTTACATTTGACCAAATAAACATTCACTTGAGTATCTACAAGAAGAAATAAATACTCTGTAAACGGTTTTATTGATAAAATAAGCCGCGTTATTGTCAGGGATGTGTCTCCAGAAAACTAATATTTGTTCACCTGTTTCTGTATATAGGCCTACATACCGTAACCGAATTTTATACTTTTATGTAAGTGCACGAGTTCTTCGTTAAAGGAAATCACCCGATTGAGAGTAGACTCGGTCACCCAAAACCCCCTAGCCTTTTCTGGATGATAGAGACTAGATTGGGACGTAGGTCCGTCTTCATTAGCCTATTTTATTTCACGACAAAATACACTAACATTACCGTAATACAGATCTGTAATATAGTACGTGCAGAAATACCAAACCATACCGAATACCCAATTTACTAGAAACCCGGTACCCACCAAAACATACATAATTAACAAGAAACCTGATACCCACTAGACCATACATAATGAACAAGAAACCATGTTATCATATGGAAACGGGTAACCCAATAGACACCTTATTAATGCGGTTTCACTCGAATCTAGTAAGGGTACCAAATAAGCCAAACAGGGACTTACAGGGTACAAAATCAAACCGCGAATTGACGTTTAGAAAAGTTGTCTACTTGTTACAGAATACGGACAGATAAGTCTTTTAATTCTTGAAATGTAACAAAGGTTTAATATACAGGCTTGAATATTAGAATAGGGTACAAAATCAAACCGCGAATTGACGTCTAGAAAAGTTGTCGACTTGTTACAGAATACGGACAGATAAGTCTTTGCTTGAAATGCAACAAAGGTTTAATATACAGGCTTGAATATTAAACGGGCGGGCGTGTTTTTCGCACTTTCGGCGTTCGCGAATTGTCACTAAAGCACTTGAATATGGGGTTCTGAAATTACCCCCCTCCACTCCACCTTTGCAGAAAATCCTAGATCCGCATCTGCTATAGTAACATCGGGAAATGTTAGCATCTTGTTTAAAGGACAGACATAACTTGGTGCCCAGATAGAATAATGGTGATACTTCTATTCGGAGGTCATTTTAGCAATATCTGTCATTGAACCTTCTACACTAAAACTTTATTATTCTAAACTTATTCCTTTCTATTTAATATATAACGAAACCTACTGGGTGTCTGTTTGATGTTTGTCGAATCTGAAAAGACAACACACATCTTCTATTTTGGTCAATATTTACGCAAGATGAAACATGAGCCCTTTAACACAATATATGTCTTAGAATAACCTCCCCTTGAAATATCGGTCGCTTTTAGAATATAAAACAGTTTTTATTTGTTTGGTAATAATATGTCCGCCCAAAGAACCCCTTAGCAATGTGGGAAAATATGTTTTACGATTTTAGAATTTCTTGTAATTCAAGCATCGGTGAAATAGACAGTTTTCAGAATATGGAACAGTTTTTATTTGTTTGATAAAATATATCAGTCCAAATCTATTAGTAAATGTGAGAAAATGTGTTTTGTGATTTTAGAAATGTCATGTTCTTGTAAGTAATACAAAACGTCTAATATCGGTCGTATTCAGAATATAGAACAGTTAATTTTTATTTGGTGAAATACCCCATCCCCACCCCCACACCTCCAAGAACGACTACTAAAATCAAATGTAGAAAAATATGTTTTGCGATTTCAGAAATTCCATGTTCTTGTTGTTAATGCAAAGCGGAACTTATAAGATTGACAATGTGAATTGATACCAAAGCAACTTTTGGTACAAATTACTGTCGGAAACGCTTGTCTCCCCTCCTCCATACATATTACCGTGCATCTGGCACCATCTCTACGACAATTTGTTAAGAGCTTTGCACAAGTAGGTTTAACCCTATTAACTGAGTATTATCAATTTTCTGATTACCTTATGTTAATTTATGTTTTGTTTTTTTTAATATCTTTGAATTTGTAAATTGACACTCAATGACTTTTAAGACCCATCATTCAACTTCAGGTGTATGTATTATAAACATTAATTTTATTCTGGGTATTTGTTGAAAAAATATGAGTATTATAATATTGTCTGTCCTTGCTTGATATCGTATTTAAGGGATATGATTTTATTATATACTTTTACAAAACTCACTTTGTTTTCATATCAAAGGCGGGCACAAAATAATTTGTGATGTTAGGTTGGGGCATGGTACACAAAAGCTTGGGACCACTGGTCTAGACAGATGACGAACAAAAATGTCTGGGGGAACCAAGATCCTTCTGGATATAAAAAGCAAACGAATAAGAGGTCTTTAATTAGGGGACCCTCAAAAATTGGTGAGACCAGGGACTTGGGTAACCGGAAGACAATCTGTTATATTAACAGGTGTATTTGCTGCTTTGTAATAAAATCTATGGGCCAATGATTTTGTGGCATAGGAAATTCCGGGGGGGGGGGGGGGTACTTGGATGTCCTTGTAACATTCCAGGTAGAATTAGGACTAATGTATTGGGTTCGATTCATGTGTATGCATAGAAAGTTTCCGGTGATTTCCCAGTCTGTTTCCCTATGTCAGTGGTGAATCACAGCTGCCCCGTCAAGTTAAAACGCCCAGTCGTTCTGACGGGGCTATAAATTGAGATCCAATGCATACCATTAGCAAAATCGAAGTATGGGTAGGTCGCAGTGTCTCAGCACAATATTCGTCATAGCATACTGCCCATCATCATTAGTCCAGTAGGACTTTAAACCTCATTTTAAAAGCCAAGTAAGCATTGGTATATTAATTGATTAACTTACTAGATGTAAAAATGTTTGTTTTTTCAGTCAACCTTCAGACCAAACAGAAACAGCGCGGCTGGATATTTTCTGGCGGGAAAAGATATGCACTGGATTCCGGTATATTGAACATTTTTTTTCTATTTTTTTTATTGGTTTTTGATGTGTTGGTATCATGGGTTTGTTAGTTAAGTGCTTCCCATTTTAGCTCCTAACCATTTCTCACTCGGAATTTACATATATTAGGGGACAAAGGTCCGCGTTCCAACATTTTCCTAAACACCTTTGACACGATACGGGGGGGGTGGGGGGGTGGGGGGGTGGGGGGGTGTCTTTGAAGCGTTAGCCACCCAGATAATCACATATATGTCTAAACTATGCGTCACATAAGATGTCAGTCTAAATAGATGGGATGTAAATCCACCTCTGGAACCACGGTGGCTCATTGAGTAAGGCGTTGGTTCGCTAACTTGGGCGTCACGCGTGTTCTATCCTGATGTTGACCGAGGACGTTCATCGGATTTTTCCTGCGTGGTACGTTACCCCTTGTCAGTGGTGTCGGACGGGGGGTCTGGCAAGGGACAACGTATAGCCCCGTGTAGACATTGGCGTGCACGTAAAAGAACCCTTGACAATTGGAATTCAGGAAAAGAGTAAGCCGTAGCGCCGCTGTCCGGGCAAAGTTTCTCTTATAGCACACTGCATGGTGTATGCCCGTCTTCTTTAGCCGACTCGGAACTGAACAGTAGGACGTTAAACCCATTTAATTTCATTTCCGCTTCTTTTTATCTTCTCGTGGACATGTCATTTGTCACCAGAATAAGGCGTTTATGACCTGAATCAGCCTTCCATGACCACAACTCACAGGAAACCACGGGGTAATTTTCACCACCACTCCCTTATCAGCCCGAAAGTTAAATCCCTACTGGAAATATATGTCATTTATTTTATTGTCACCTTTTGAATAATTGTATTTGATTGTATATTATTAGGTGGGGGCGTCTATATTTGCGAGTAATGTCGGGGCGCCTATGTTTATAGGTTTAGCGGGGACGGCTGCAGCGTCTGGTTTTGCTGTGGCGATATATGAATGGCATGTAAGTATATCCAAATATTTTGAAAATGTCAGAATGTTGTTTTCTGGCCACATCGCCCAAACTGTTAAAAGACATGGACGATTAGTTAGATATCAATTCGGATATCATTGACAAACTGCTACAACACAACAAGTACAGGCGCACAAATTGATGTCCGCCAATCAATGTGAACTTGTCCATTGCAAATTTCATGTTGATGGCACCCGAATAACCAGAAGAGCCCCCCCCCCCCCCACACACACAAGAAGAAGAAGATGAGAATACCTAGGTTATGGAGTCAGCCCCTATAGAACTTACTGTTACGTTATTTTCGCTTTGTAAATGCAAGTTATATCACCAGGGTGTCATTGTTTATTTGATACTAGTTGTTTACCTGACGTTAAATAAGTTGAGCCCTGAATAGGAAATAGTATATATATCTGAAACTTTCACCTAAATTTCAGTCTTGGGGCAGCCCAAGTGTAGCCACCTACCCAGAAAAGACGAACAGACAAGATATTATGCATATATTATGAAGATAATAAGAATCGTGTTTGATGTTCTGTACAATATGTTATTATGTTTACATGTTGTTATTTTGTTCTGTACAATATGTTATTGTGTTTGCATGTTGTTATTATGTTTACATGTTTTTATTTTGTTTTCCAGTCCATTTATTTATTGATAGCTCTAGGATGGGTTTTCGTTCCTGTATACGTAGCCAGTGGGGTATGTTACATTTTGTTTCTAAAATCAAAACACAAGGCTTTTGGTCAAAGATTATACAAAATCCATTAAAACTATAAACTATAAAACATACGTATGGAAGAACAATTACTAATTTATTTAGGTGAAGTTTCCAAGAGTATTCTCTCAACATTTTTCAAGCAAGTACATTATAACAAATGTGTAGGGCAATTATATATAGACAAGCAACCCATTAAAACTAATAAAAGATGAGAAAAGGTGCCACATTTGGGCAATGTGCTCTTCCACCTAGATACAGTACTTAAATGAATAGACTTAATTATGGTTGCGGATATTCTTTTCGTGCTGTATTATAGTACCCCTCTTTGAAGTTAAATAAAGTATGTTTTTCTAAAGGGAATGAAGCAATGTACGAGGGTTTTTTTTATTTTCATCTTTAAGGCCTTCACGATGCCTGAATATTTGAAGAAGAGATTTGGTGGGAAGAGATTAAGGATCTACTTGTCTTCTTTAGCTTTAGTGCTTTACGTCCTGACTAAAATATCCGTAAGTTACAATTACAATCATAGACTAGGTAGCAACCAACATTAGTCGTTCGAACGGGGCGAAAATCCAAGGTCCGTGTACACCTTGTAGTACATGTAAAAGAAGCCTTGATAGTTGGAATTCAATTGCTGTCCGCTTAATGTCAACGAGGTAACGGCTATACTGGGAATCCAAGTGCGTTAGCAGATTCTTCCGGGAATCTCGATTAAGATTTATAGCTAGCCTATAACATAACGTTGGAAGGTGGGTGGGGTTGGGATTAATCTTTTTGATGAATTTACCCATCTCCAGCCGCTATATATCCGCCAAGCACTTCCTATAGATATGGCTCGTTGCCTTTCTAATTGACGTATACATGTATTTAGTAAATATTCTGTTACTTTTCTTTTGCGTGATGGCAAATAAACGTGTATATGGGAGTTGCGGACCTAACGCCCTCTGAATCGTCGTAAATGTAGATCAATGATAACCAAATCTATCAACTGAATAATTCTTGTTTATTTCAGTCTGAGATTTATTCTGGTGCCATCTTTATGAGACAATTACTGGGTTGGAATCTGTACCTGTGTGTTGTTACCATTCTAGCTGTTACTGCTTTCTATACCATAGCGGGTAAGTTATGTTACTGCCTTTTATACCATAGCAGGTAATTTATACCACTGCCTTCTATACCATAGTGGATAATAAGTTATGCCACCGCCTTCTATACCATAGCAGGTAAGTTATATCACTGCCTTCCATACCATAGTGGATAATAAGTTATGTCACCGCCTTCTATACCATAGCGGGTAAGTTATATCACTGCCTTCTATACCGTAGCGGATAATAAATTATGTCACCACCTTCCTATACCATAGCGGGTAAGTTGTAGCGGATAATAAATTATGTCACCACCTTCCTATACCATAGCGGGTAAGTTGTGTCACCGCCTTCTATGTCATAGCTGTTAATGACTTCTATACCTTAGCAGTTTAAGTCATGTCATGTTAGCTGCCACTACCCTCTACACCATAGCGGGTAAGTAATATCATTTTAGCTGTTACCGCCTTCTACACCATTTAGTGGATAAGTCATGTCATTTTAGCTGTTACTGCCTTCTATACCATGGCGGGTAAGGTATGCCACTCTTAGTGAGTAAATTCTCTAGCGTGTAAGCTGTCCCTCTCTAGCGGGTAATTTCCATATAGATCCTTTTCAACGTGCTGCATATTTTGTTTTTATCTAATAACCTGTTTTGACCAATATTGCCATCAATAAGACTATATGTAATATTTGTATATTTTATCAACAGGTGGTTTAGCCGCTGTAATATACACAGATACTCTACAAACTGTTATTCTACTCTTCGGTGCTTTTATCCTCACAGTAATGAGTAAGTTTTTTTAGTGTTATTTCTTTCTTTTAATAACTCTACATAAACTGGTCTGGTGACATTTGATTCGTAATCGGTCATTTTGAGACAAACATATGTTTTTTCTATACTACTAGACAACACTTTATTTGTCAGAAGAGTGTGCGCCAAGTCGGCACAGGGCTTGAAAAATGCGTCTTTTGATGTTTTCGGGTATATTTGTTAGGTCAGGATAGTAATTACGCTACTCTTTGTTTACAACCGTAAAGGTCATTAACTGTCATCACATCAAAAAATAAAATATTTATATAATTTACAACATACAGAAATAAAACTAGAAAAAATTGTCGACATGGTGATCTTGTCTTCCGCTCGACCTACATTGCGAGAAGGACGTGGTATATCTATACTCTAGTCTTCTAGATGTTATGTTCCCCCAAACCTGCATCCCCACCCTATCCACGCATGCCCTGCTGCTGCACCTCGGTCTGAAAGCAGTCAGATAAGGAGTCCGACAATGGTGAGATTTTGTTTTCTCGGTGTCTTCGGTCTCGGTCTTTAGTAACTCGGTTCATGCAGAAACCACTGGGTTAAGTCCTATTTCATTCCATTTTCAATATATGTTTTTTGTGTCTGAGTTCTCCGTCTTCATAAGCAACGTCTGTACAGAAAAGTATGGCGTTAAACTCCATTTCATTTCATTTTATATTCCATGTATGTGTGTTTTACAGGTTTTATTGAAGTTGGGGGTTGGGAACAGATGATGAGAAAATATTCCATGGCGGCCGCAAATTACACGTTAGCTAACCCTGAGAATTATTCGTGTGGTCTGCCACGATCCGACTTCAATCATATATGGCGAGATGCTGAAACTGGTGATATACCCTGGCCTGGTGCAGCTATTGGTCTTACCACTCTAGGTTTATGGGTTTGGTGTACGGATCAGGTACGTAGCAATACCTCTTTAAATGTGAGTGAGGGGTTTGGTCGAATGGTCTAACGCGTTCGCTTTAGATAGTAAGGTCTGTGATTTGGATTCCCTGCTTAAACGTGACAATGGTTAGGGTTCTCCGGTTTCGTCCCACTGCTAAAGACCCTTACACACAAGCGAATTATTGAAATAAAATTAAACCATATGTTAGTCCCGAAATGACCTAGTTTGTGTCGAAGGGAGGTTAAAACACTCTTCCTTTCGGTTTCTTTTTGTAATCATTCGTCAGATTTTATTTATAATATATCTACTAACACCTTCTCAAGACGGAAGCCACGGTGCTCGGTGCGTATGACGCTGGCTCACTACTAGAAAGTCCAGGGTTCGATCCACGGCATTTTCCGGTCCGCGTTTTCATTGTCAGCGGTGCAGACGGTGCAGTTTGGCAAGAAAAGTGTCTAGTCATTCGAATAGGACAAAGAAAACAAAAAGGCTCGTGTACATATTTTTGTGCATGTAAAATAAATCTTAACAGTTGGAATTCGAAGAAAAGTAGGCGGAAATGCCACTGTCCGGGCAAAATTTTCCTTACACCATCCCTTAGCCTAATTAATATCCCGTATTCATCTGCCAGGTTGGAGCAGCAGAGTAGTTTATTAACCCTTAATTCATGTGTTACCGGGGTCGTGGATTAGAAGAGATAATATTGACGTTTAGACAAGGCCCATCGGGAGGTGCCAGTCTGTGGGGGAAAGAAACAAAAACATGTAACTTTAGATTTGTTTTTTTTTTTGAGCGGGTTGACTGATTTACAAAACACAATGCACCCTGGGAAAGAATTACCCCCCCCCCCCCTTGCCAAACTTTGCAAAAACTATAGTTGTCTGCCTTCTACCGTTAGCCTTTCACAATATAAAACACCCTATTCGCATTCCGTCACACATGCATCAATGATTTCTATAGATTATGGTACAGACATGTCTGTCAGCGAAAGATATGAGTCATGCTATAGTTGTCTCCCTTCTGCCGTTAGCCTTACACCATATTCTCACTCCGTCGCACATGCATTCAATGATTTCTTTAGATTATGGTACAACGATGTTTGTCAGCGAAAGATTTGAGTCATGCTAAAGGTGGATCTGTTCTCGCTGCCTGTCTCAAGATTTTACCTTTCTTCTTATGGATTATTCCTGGCATGATCAGTCGAATTCTTTTCCCAAGTAAGTAATGCACAGTTTTTAGTTCATACAACTTTCGATGGCCTTGAAAGAGAATTGGTAACCTTTTAAAAATGACGCAGCACGAAGGACCGTCGGAACACAGCTTGGGAGGGGCGGGGGAGGGGGCACATCAGTAATTTGCAATTATGTGTTAATTAGTTTAAAATTTGTCCCGGTACAAGCCGCTCGGTCGGATCCCTATTTTGGCTCAGTACGTTGACAGTAACTTGACATCTCACCCCCTCCTGCCCTTCACCTCCCAATATAAATTTCGTATTAGAGCAGCTTATCCAGACTATTTATGTCATTAACCCGTGTACACAATGGCGTGCACGTAAAGGATCTCTTGACATTTGGAATTCTAAATAAGAGTAGGCCGCAGCGCTGCTGTCCGGTCAAACTTTCCCGTTATAGCACACAGTATGGCGTATACCTGTCTTTACCAGCCCAGTTGCTGCAGAACAGGAGGACGTTAAACCACATTCCATCTCATTTTTACCCGTGTTACTCACTCATACTCAAGACGGTTGTGTAGCTGCAAAAGTTGGAATTCAAAATAAGAGTTGTCCGTGCGTAGTCGCGCTGCCCCAACAATGTTTCCCATCGCTTACTGTATGCCGTCATTTTTCCAGAGTTGTCTTTCCTGGCATTGTTGGATAACGAGACTTGCATGGAAGAATGTGTATGATGTATGCCCGTCTTTAATAACCCAGTCGGTGCGAAAATTAGGACGTTAAACCTCATTTCATTTTATTTCAGATGAGATTGCTTGTGCCGATCCTGATAAATGTGAGGCAGTTTGTGGGAACAAAGCTGGTTGTACTAATATAGCTTATCCTTTACTTGTACTGAAAAAAATGCCAGATGGTAAGTATAACCATAGAAATGGTATAACCATAGAATAGTATAAAAACAGAAATAATATAATCATAAATAGACAGGGTATAACCATAGAAATAGCAAAACCATAGAAATAGCATAACCATGCAAATAATATAACCACAGAAATAGTATTACCATAGAAATAGATACTGGATGGCGTTATGTTACGAACTTATGGGGCTTCGTAAAAAAATCAGAGCATGTAATAGCTATTTCCATGACCGAAATCGTTAATCATGCAATGCAAAAGTGTTGGCAAAAATGGTTACCCAGTTTGGTTCCCACTGTTAGGGTCAGACAAGCCACAGCGTCTAGTAGTTCGCATCGGACGAAAACCTGAGGTCCCATGTACATGTATACGTTGGCGTGCAGGAAAAGGAACCCCTGACAGTTGGAAGAGTAATCGAAAACGCCGATGTCCCGACAAAATTCCCTACTAGCAGCATTAACGAGTTCTTGATCGTTTAGACATTGTAATTGATGTCAGCTTCCCTACTAGCAGCTTTGACGGGTTCTTTAAAGTTTGAACATTTAGCTTCCCTACTAACAGCTTTGACGAGTTCTTTAACGTTTGAAAATTATTAGTGATTTTAGCTTTCCTATTAGCAGCTTTAACAAGTTCTTTAACGTTTGAACATTGCTGGGGATCACGTGGCTAAGTGGGTAAGACGCTAGCTCGCTAGCCTGGAGGTCGGGTGTTCGATCCCTGCATTAGCCGAGAAAGTTCATCCAGATTTTCCGGCGTGGTTCTCCCTTGTCAGTGATGCAGGACGGAGGGGCTGACAAGGAAAGCTGTCTAGTCGTTCGGATGGGACGAAAAACCGAGGTCCCGTGTACACATTGGCGTGCACGTAAAAGATCCCTTGGCAGTTGGAATTCGATATAAGAGTAGGCCGTAGTGCCGCTGTCCGGGCAAAATTTCCCTCATAGCACACTGTATGGCGTATGCCCGTCTTCATTAGCCCAGGTTAGGAGCAGAACAGTAGGACGTTAAACTCCATTTCATTTCATTTCATTTTTGAACATTGCTATTGATGTTAGCTTCCCAACTAGCAGCTTTGACGAGTTCTTTGAAGTCTGAACATTGTTATTGATGTTAGCTTCCCTTTAGCCGTTTTAACGAGTTTTTTTTTAAAATTTAAACATTGTTATCTGTGTTAACTTCCCTACTGGCAGCTTTAACGAGTTCTTTAACGTTTGAACATTGTCATTAATGTTAGCTTCCCAACTAGCGGCTTTAACGAATTTGAACATTGTTATGGATGTTAGCTGCCCTTCTAGCAGCTTTAATGAGTTCGCTAACGTTTGAACATTGTTATTGTAGGTTTACGTGGTCTGATGTTAGCTGCCCTTCTAGCAGCTTTAATGAGTTCTTTAACGTCCATATTCAACAGCGCTAGCAGCATGTTCACCATGGACATCTGGAGGCGATTTAGACGCCATGCTAAGGAATCGGAGTTGATGATAGTAGGTCGAGTGGCTATTCTGGTACTGATCGGAATTAGTATCTTGTGGATTCCTATCCTGGAGGAGGCTCAGAGTGGACAACTGTGGAGCTATCTTCAAGCTATCTCGTCCTACACAGCTCCACCGTGGTGTTGGGTTTTCTTATTAGCGCTCTTCTGGAAGAGAACTACTGAACAGGTAATACGTGTGTCTTTTTTATTTACTTTTGCTTGCTAAAACGCTTTTCGACGATCTTGTCGTCGTATGTAAATATTTCGGGTTAGAATATCCCAAGTTTTCGCTCGAATCCCGAGGTGGGTTTATAATTTTTTGCTAACATACATTAATATTTAGTGGAATCAATTGAGTAACTATACTTTGCTAATGCTAAGACTGTTGGAATCTTTAATTTTATAGCTTTGTGAGTTCGCCCTGTTAATGCCAACAACGCCGTCTCACTACAATCGACGGCGCCCCTTCATTGCTCTTTCGACGTATATTGTGATACAGATAGTATATCTGATTAGTCGAAAGTGATAAACAAGTAGTCACACGAGACATATTTCCTATTATTACATGTATTTGTTACCAGTAAAATCCCACGAGTAAAGAAACTCGAGGCCCCATTTACAAATTGTTGATATATACTTCTCTTGATGTCCGATAGCATTTCTCATTTGACGGTGGTGATAGTCGAGTCGTCCGCACACTGACCTCTAGACAAGAATCGCGGCGTGCGCAAGAATAACATCCGGTTCGGGGAAGGGATGGATGAAACATTAAGCCAAAATAAGCACGTGCTTAGGGCATCATGAGAATGGGAAGGGGGCACCACGAATTCAAAATATATAATTTAAAAGTTGATTAAATTTTCATATTTTTTCTTACTGTTACCTTCTTGGTCTCAATATATACAACGATGTGTATAAAACCTCTAACCACGTGCGTGACAGATTGTTTCTGTTTATTATTATTTACATTTTGAATTGTTTACTATACGGGAGTACCAAAATCTTCAAAGGGCTTAGGGCCTCTATAGGTCTTAATCCGGCCCTGGTTCGCGGGCACATAAAAGGGGCCTTGGCGAGGAGCAGACGGCAACACCGCTGTCCGGGAAAAATTGTTCCAGTCACCGGTATTTTGTTAACAAGACCTTAAACCCAATCAATTCTGTTCATCGGAGACGTTTAAAAGTTAACAACGCCTTTTTCATGTGTGTTTTATTTTCAGGGAGCTTTCTGGGGTTTAATGATAAGTCTGTTGGTCGGAGCAATACGAATGGCCATGGAGTTCGTCTACACGGCGCCATATTGTGGTAGTAAAGAGGAAGATACCAGACCAGATTTCATCAAAAAAGTTCATTTCTTACATTTCGCCATCATTCTCTCCGTCATCTCTATCGTATCAACTGTTGGAATCTCCTTAGTCACGAAACCAAGACCACCAGAAAAAGTAAGTCCATTTATTTCCTTAAAGATGTATAATTTAAGATTTAGATAAAGAACTGCCCGTTCTTGCTATAATTGTTCAACAATAGATGATGAAAAATGAATTGAATATGTCATTCAAATTATTTTATTCTGAGCGACGTTATGAGTGTTTGGAAATGAAACGTAGATTGTGTTTTGTCATAGCAACGGTACTCGACAAACAAGGCTAAGCCTCGATTATCCATTTTATCGTTAAATTTTCAAATCTCGCGGGCGTTCTATTCAATTTAAATCTCTGCCATCCGATGATCTAGAGAGTTGTAGGCATATACGGGCTTGGCATGTTACATTTTTATCAACGCGAATGCCCTTTTTGTTGTTGTTGCCGGGCTTTTAAACGTCCCGCCTCAACTGAGGGTGATATCGCCCCTTTAAATGCAATCATTTTATTTTATTGTTGCAGTTACGTCGTGTCACGTGGTGGACACGTCACGATCCTCTGGACCCAGAAGAAACTGATTCAGAAGATGAAATGGCAGAAGAAGACGAACCAGTTAAAAAGAACAAAAGTAGGTCATGGTGCATTTTATCACGCGGGGAAAAAATTATTTAGGAAGGGTCTATTTTAGGGCGGTTGTGGAGGGACTGGGGCGGATACTCCCACAAACCCTTTAAAAAACAGCAGGGATTAGGTTTAAGAAATTCGTGGCGTCATATCATGAAACGGACACATATTACACAGATGATGGAATAATTACGCCGCTATCAGGCAGAATTTCCTTTGTAGAACACCGCATGGCGTATGCTCCTCTTCATTTGCTAAGTCGGAGCAGAACAGTAGGACGTTAAACTCCATGGGTTTTAACGTCCTACTGTTCTGCACCTACTGGGCTAATGAAGACGGGCAAACGCCGTAAAGTGTGCTGTGAGGGAATTATTTCCCGGATATAGGCGCCATGGCTTATTCTTATATCGAATTGCGACCACCAATGATCGTTTAGGTGGACATCAATGTGTACGTGGGACCTCGGTTTTCCGTCCGATCCGAATGACTATACGTCGTCTCATGCCAGGCCCTCTGTCTAGCACCACTAGCAAGGGTGAACAAGGCAGGAAATTCCCGATGAACTTTGTCGCCAACACAGGGATCGAACACGAGACCTCCAGGTTACTCACTGAACCACTGTGGCTCCCTCGGTAATAATGGGTATTCGGTAACAGCTAACTCTCGATATATCGACTGTCAAGGTTTCTTTTACGTGCACGCCAATGTGTACACGGAACCTATCCGAACGACTAGACACGTGCTGTCCTATTCAGGCCCCCTGTCCTGCACCATTAACAAGGGGACCCCCGCCGGAAAAATCCGAGGCATTTTTGCGGCCAACATCAAGGCAGCAACGTAACTAGAGAGTGGGGGTGGGGTGGCTGCAAAAAAGCCCCCCCCCCCTCCGTGAAAATATTGTCGACCATAGAAACAAAAGATATACATTGTTCCTCAATTTTACAGCAGCCCTGAGAACACCCCCCGCCCACCTCGTTGCTCTGAGCTAGTTACGACCCTGCACCAGGGTCGAACCCGGAACCAATACCCATTCTAAACGACCAACCTGGCGCTAAGACATTATTGACTGCATATGCAAATTCATATACTTGTTAGATGTCTTGATAAAACCAATTATTTCTTACAGAGAAAGCAGGTATCGGCAGAAATGCTTACAATTGGATCTGTGGGATATCAGATGAACCGAAACCAAAACTAACAGCCGAAGAAAAGGCTTTCATTAAAGCTAAAATGACATCTTTAGCAGAAAATAAAATGTCTAAACGCGTAGCCAATATAGCGGCCGTTGCCGTTGCAACGTTAACAGCATTTTTGTTAGGCTTTTTCTATTAGATATTCACACGTAGCTTGTACTCACACAAGTATTCCAAAAATACAATTAGGGGTATTCGGGGAACTAGAAATGTTACATAAATGCATAAAAAAATTCTTACTTGATTTATGTAGAGAACTAGTGTTGTATGCATGTATATATACACATTTTTTGTTATTATTGTTTATTAGTGGAACCCTTGATAAATAATTGTTTTGCAAATTATTGTAAGTATTTAATTAAAATATCTTGTTATTCTTATAATTAAAATAGATGTATATGTTAGGCGTTTATTATATAAATGGCAATCTATTTGTTAGTTACCAATTTCCTTCCTATAAAAATAAAAACTCATTATAAAGCACTTGATTGCCATTTGCATGTTTGAAGTAGGATTAATTGAAGGTGCTTGATAATATTCTTTTGGTTTTCTTGGGGCGATTGGGTGCTCTTCAAAATAAAAAAAATAAAAAATTCAGACAGCCGCCAATTCAACTGCAATCGTCATGAAACTTTGCATGCGTGTTCTGTGGACAGTTTCCCATCGATTGGCAGATTTCGAATTTTGGTATGACGTCATGCTCGGTTATATACATTGTCGAACAATACCTAATTTTAATTTTTCGCGGCTTAACCCACGCCCATAATAGACTTTAAAGGACAATATTGGTGTCAGTCATTATAAAATATGTGATAGAGCTCGTTAAATACATCCCAAATATAATTTTAACACAGAGATCATTGCTACGGGAGTTGTGTAACATGCACGTGAAGAAACGGGAAGTGACGTCAAACATGACAAACACGAGTTGTCCTTCTATATAACTGATTGAACTAACGAGCGGTAACAGACAAACGATCGAATTTCATCAGGGTTTGTTTTGTACGAGTCAAGAGAATTATTGAAATAAAGGAACCATATATTATGTTGGTCTCGAAATAATCCTCTGTTGATAGCTACGTATACAACTTTATAACAACAATCATGAGATAATGTGGCTTCTATATGTGTGCAATAGGCGGATGTGGATCGTAGCCATGTTAGAAAATGGGGTTTTGAAAAATGTGCTAGTTTTAAGGTGTATAAATTGACAGATGTTTTGGTCAATTTTTAACTCAATAAGTGGACATGACCGACATATATGGCCGGGATGGAACCTTTCCTCAAAGCCTGACTAAACTGGCCATTGCATAAGTTAATCAATCCCCGACGTCAAATTTCCTACTGTCGTGAGGAGTAATTAAAATAAATTTGCACAAAAATTAAAATATTTGATATGTTGTGAAAGAAACCATACTAAACTTGCCCGTTTAGTTGACCCACATTACTTCCTAAATCGAGGATTTGGGTCGAACACGCTAAGTATACCTAGAGAATTTTAATAAAATTGAAACTGTTTATAATTTAGTCTTTGTGTGTATGACAGTCTGATGTGAAATGGGGTAGAACCGCGTTACAAAATATAACATATGTATATAATGCTCTTTTTGCAGAATAGGAAGAAACCAGTGAACCTTGTTAATGTCTCTACACACGTGTATATACTTCTAGTGTTATTATAGATATGATTTTGAAATAATAATATGAAATGTGATATCATTAGATATTATATGTACAATGTCCATACACAATATAAATAATATATAATACACCCCCTGTCTCTTTTATCCTCGTTTGCATAATCTATGTAAATCTAGATATGTATATTTTTAGATTTTATTTGACTTGCTCGAACGTAAATAGGATGAGCGTCACACTTTTAAACCACTTTAAAATTGGGTTGTTGCCCTTTGAGACTATATGTATTAGACCACACTAAATTGATTTTCTGTTCTTCGGGAACACCTGTACAAAAATATTCTTATTTCTTCGGGAAAGGACTTATATAAAAACCAAACGTACTTGGTGGTGCTGCTGTTTTTAGTTCGAATTTTTTAAGTTTTGAAATTTTAAACAAAACATCTTTCACGTGATCCAAGTGGTTATTGATCTATCAGGACCCCGAAGAACAAAAAGTCATATTGGCGTGGCCTTATCTGTGTGAATTATAACAGGGTTTGTTTTGTACGAGTCAAGAGAATTATTGAAATAAAGCAACCATATATGTTGGTCTCGAATTAACCTAGTTGGTGTTGTGTTAAACCCCCCCCCCCCCAATCTCTCTCTCTCTTGTTGTCTGACGTGCCGCGGCGGTCCAGTGAGTAAGACATTGGCTCGCCAACCTGGATTTCCCTTGTTAGATCCCGGTGTTGACCTATAAAGTTCTTCGGGAGTTTCCTGTCTGGTTCCCCCTTGTCAGTGGCGCGGGGCAGAGGGTCTAGCAAGAGATAACGTATAGTCGTTGGGATGGGACGAAACCCCGAGGTCCGGTGTACACATCGGCATGCACGTGAAAGAATCCTTGACTACTGTATCGCTGTCCGGAATAAATTAGCCCCATAGCACACTGTATGACGTATGCCCGATTCAATAACCCAGTCGGTGGAGAACAGCAAGAAGTGTGCTTAGTTGTTTGGATAGGACGTAAAACAGAGGTCAATGGAAATCGAAGAATCCAGCAAGATTATCCTACCCGTAGCATTGCAATCTTAGATATAAACATAATTATAACACCCTTAAACAATATCATTTATCTGGGTCCGTATTCAAAGGATGTCTCAATTCTAAGATGGTCATCCCCGGTTGTACGTGACAAGGAGTAGGGTCGCCTGTCCATCCTCCGGTTTCCTCCCACTGCTAAAGACCACTACGCGCAAGCGAATTAGTGAAATAAAATGACCTAGTTTGTGTCGAGTGGACGTTACCCCCCCCCCCCTCCCTCTCTCTAAGATGGTCACTTAACTACTAGATTCCACTTAAATATACGTAACTTCCTGTAGTATTTAAAGACAATATTAAGTATCAAATTTTCCTTTAAAGTTAAGCTGCCTTAACTTTTATGTGTTAGTCTTTTAATAATAATATCGTCATTTATAAAGCGCGTCAATACTGAAAAGCAGTTTCTAAGTCGCTGTTGGTTGTTATAGTCACTGATTATTTACAGATTAGGATTGTGAAACAAGAATGTTTTGAGTTGAGATTTAAAATGGTCCACACACGATAATTGTTTCATTGACTGGTAGTTTATTCCATAGAAAAGGTTCAGGATAAGAAAATGCACGTTTTTCAAAGTTGTAAGTTAATAGCTGGAGATTTTAGAAGATATTGCTTCTGAGAAAGTGGATTTCCGATGGTAGTATAGAGTTCTACAAAACTTTTTATATAAAGTGGAGCTTGCCCGTTTAACGCTTTGAAGACGAAGAGGGGTACCTTGAACTTAATTCTTTGCTGAATTGGAAGCCAATGTAAAGATTGCAATACAGGGGAGACGTGTTGATGTTTTCTAGTTTTAGTCAGGAGTCGAGCTGCTGAATTTTGAACATGTTATGGTTTGTTCATCTTATAGTCTGGTAAGCCGTATAGTAAACCATTGTCGTAATCTAGTTTAATTACTTGAGATGAATGCGTGAATGGGTTTTTCTTTATTTTCATAATTGAGATAGCGTTGGATCTTTCCAATTCGATGTATGAAGGCAGTGGAACAAATACCTTGTATGTGATCATTTAAACGATAGGTTCGGCTCTAATATAGCACCAATATTTCGTGCTGTATACGTTTCTGAAATTATTTCTCTATCAAAATTAACTAGAGTTTAAACAATTTTTCGGAGTTGTTGCTTGGTTCCAATTACTAACAGCTCTGCTTTATTTGGATTTAATTAAAAAAAATGTTCTGTCATCCACGCAAGAATTTCTGTGGGACAAAGTTCTATGTTTCTATATTTTGTATCGTGGAATGTTGGGAGTCTGCGTCAAATTCAATATAAAGTTGAGTGTCGTCTGCAAACAAATGAATATTTAGCCTGTATTCAAAGTCCATTTTAAGTGAGAAAAATCCACTTAACTTCAAGTGACCAGTGGGAGGTACCTTAAAGTGAAGCGAGATTATAATGACTTCTTTTAACCAGAGTGCACAATGTAGTAGCGGGCCCGTTATAGCGATTTTAAAAGTTAGAGGACTGAAATTGAAACAAAGACAATGTAGCTGGCTTCAGGGATACTATCATCATTTATCATAAATTATAGTCATACTATTTTCGTGTGCTACAATATATTTCGACAAAAAATTTCCTAGTAATGAGAACTAATATTTTAATAGTGTATAGTGGTGCTCTTTTGTGAACATAACTTGAATGCAACGTAAGAAATTCGTGATTTTTGGCAGTCGAGTCAATCCATAACATTCATATTTTTTTTTTGGCTAATGTGGGCTTTCCATAATTTAAGGTTCAGTTAAGTTTTTAGCATAGAAGAGGTAAGGGCCATGTAAAATACAGCCTTTAAATACCGATTTCGGGTAACACGCTCAGTTCAGTGAGAATATTAAGTATTTTACTTAAGAAAACCTTTGAGTACGGACCTGTTAGCACTTAGCAGTGCAGTTGGCACAATCTGTGTAGGCTGCTGTTAGCAAAGGGGCATAACTCCAAAAGAGGGAGCTCTTTTTCAAATGGCGGCGATTTCACTCAATTTTCTGAATTGCTCGGCAATATGCAATCGTTTCAGTATATAAACCATGCTATTTCTCTGTTTTGTGAATGTCCAATTTTCATTTATTCAGCAAAAACACCCAAATTAATTGTGTGAAATGTTCATAATGCCCACACCACATGGCGTAGCTATAAGGCGACCTAAATAATGTAAATAGGACAATTTTTGTTGACGATTAATTTCTGAGGTTTGTTGTCATTTTATAAGTTTCAGAAAAGCTGTATATAATATAATGATGATTATTTTTATTATATCTTGGTGTTGTCGTTAAGAAAAAATACTATTTTTAAGTATAAAAGTAAGCTACCCAGTAGAAAAATATACCTTAATTGTGAAAACTCTAAGAGTTTGGTCTTGGAACTTATTCAATTGTGAAGAGGGCAAAAGTTGTAAGGTCACAGGGTGGCAAAGAATAGTTCCTTTATAAGGGCCTCTGATCGGATGCTGTCCTCTGGCCATTCCTATTCGTCTCTATTAAGCTGCAATATGAAAATACCGCTCTACCCCCACTTCTGTACTAAATCTATATCTGTTTTAGAATCCTTACTGTCTATTTTTCACTGTGTTTCATGTTTGTTTGCTAAAAAGGAATCATCTATCGCCACATCTACATCTATCTGACACAAATTTATAACAATTCAACACTATTGTCAAGTAGAATTTTGCGATTCAAAAACATAAACAAAATATGTTTAAATTTGTCGGCCATTATGTACATGTACCTCCCATTTGCGTAACCCGAAGATCGTGGGTTCGTGGCAGAATCTCAAAATTCTACTTGAAAATAGTGTCAAATTATTATGAATTTATGTCAGATGTGGGTTTTCTCCTACTAGCAAGTGTATTATTGAAATAAAAAGGAACTTTGTGTTACTGTTAGTCCCAAGTTTGTCTCAAATGGAGATTAAACTCCATTTCTCTCCCTAACTCTCTCGATTTCAATGAACTAGACTATACAAATATAGTGCATGAGAATGATTTATCCCTTACAAAATACAATATTGTAAAAGTTAAATCTCTAAAAGGATGGGCCTGTTTTTAATCTGATTGAATCCAAATCGGGAGAATATCTTGCGTTGGTATTTTGATTTTGTTTTCTTAATTAAATGAACTTGAATACTGTAATCAATCTGAGTAGATTCTATGTAAAAACGTGAATATAGGCCTAAATGTGAGAAATTTGATATTTTCAAAAAAATATAAAAAATTACTTTCATATATGTTTATAATTTAGATTAAAGATGAATTGTCTGGATGATCATGATGGGGATCATCATCCGGATGATCATCACTCATCTAGTCAAGACCAGGCTGTCTCATCTCTCACTGGATTCTTGTTTGGTAATATTGATAAGAAGGGAGAATTGGAAGAAGATTTTCTGGATGAGGCAAGTTCGACTATTTTATGATAAAGATCAAAGTGCAGCATTTCCCTGTAACTCTGTAAAACATATTCTGGACATAATGAAAATCTGAGGACAGAAACGTTATGTGAATAAATACATTATATTAAAATAGACCCAGAATCCATTACTTGGATGTTTTCCATCAGCATCAGCATCTGTAGAAAAAGATTCAGCACAATACAGTATTTATTATAATTCTAAAGTCAGATGTATTTCATTTCATTTTTTAAGCTTTTCTTCATTTTTAAAGTCTTTAAAATATACATGCAATCATTGGTCTCAACTCATATCGATGCATTGTGATGAATATGTGAGTAAATTGTTCACAATCAAATTTACAGGAATCCAAGAGACATCTGGGATCGTTGAACTCATTAGGTGGTTTACAGTCGATGGTAAGGGAGATAACTGAAGAAGCACAGCCTGGTTCTGAAAGTCAGTCTGAAGACACAGGTATGATACAGAAATGAAATGTACTGGGGTTTAACATCCTACTATTCTGCACCGACTGGGATAATCAAGACGGGCATACTCCATACAGTGGAATATTAGGGAAATTTTGTCTGGACAGTGGCACTGTGACCTACTCTTATTTCGAATTCCAACTGTCAAGAGTTCTTTTATGTGCAAGCCAAAGTGTACACGTGGCATTGGTTTTTCGTCCCATCTGAATGACTAAACATTGTTCCTTATCAGGTCCTCTGTCCTGCACCAGTACTGACATCATACAATAATCGCACAGTCTTCTACATGTAGTTTGATAGAATTTTGAATCCCTGGCAAACTACGATATTGTGAAAGTTAAATCTAATAGTAATAGACATACCACTCTTAATATCGTTCAATTTCGTTCTGTATCATTATAAACGAGCCAGTGCCATCATAAGTGGCCGGATGGTTGAAGCGTGAGTGTTGGATCATAAGGGCTGTCATTGAGTCAAATGGCGTAGTTTCAATTCCCGGCTTGTATGTTACAAGGAGTAGGGTCGCCTGTCCAACCATGTGGGTTTTCTTAGGTCCTCCAGTTTCCTCCAACTTCTAAAAACCCCTATGCGCAAGCAAGTTATTTTTAAAAAAAAATAAACCATATGTTAGTCCCAAAATGACCTAGTTTGTGTCGAGTGGACGTTAAACCACATTTCTCTCTCTATCCATAAGTTTAAAGGTAAAATGTTTTAATAGGGCTCCGGTTTAATTCTATTGAATTCAAGCAGATTTATTGTCTACTGTTGATATTTTTGTTTTTTTTATTTTAATTAGATGTTAAATGATCAATTAGTGCAGATTAAGCTGTGAAAAATTAGATATCATGATTTTGTGCAAAGTCACGAACGACTAGAGATTTTTTATTAAAACTATGCTATGTTATTTCAGATTATGATGCCAAGTCACCAACAGCTGTGGATTTTTCTGATATAACTGAATGCGTTGAAGAATCAGCTGAAGATATCAGGATTCGAGAAGCTATGGGAGGATTCTCCATGCATAAAGCAGGTTAGAAATGTCAAAATGATTATCCAAAATTGAATTTTAAAGTAGAGGACAATGAGTAATGGATGGAATTGGCAAAATTGAGCATCAATAAATGCAAACCTGGAACAGACGCTGTGTTCAAAATGTCAGATAGACCTACATGTTCTGTTGTGCATTAGTGAGTGTAGGTTTGAGCCTTAAATTGTTCGTACAAAACGTACAGAATTGACCTACTTGTAATGGAATGATACTACTTCAGTTCCATCACAGTTCTGTCAGTCCCTATAATGAGGTGGTGTGAGTCGAATCGTGTCATAATTAAACACAACAAATGTTTCAGTTGTTATGGTTAAGATATTTTTTTATGCAGTCATTGCATACATTCTTTCACTGGATTGTCACTTGATTGTGGGAATTGAGAGTAACCGGTATTCAATACTTGAGCATTCAATCAAGTCACCCCAAAGTATTTTACAGGTTAGCTCAAAAATAAGACTTGGACTACCCCAACCCTAGTAACTCATATTTATTGTAACCAAAAGAAAATAGATCATACATGAATGATGTTGTTAGGCTGCAAAAATAAATGATATTTGTATGAGTAAGTCACAGAAAGGGTTAGAAAGAGAGATAATGGGGGTCAACCCAACACAAATTGGGTAATTTTATTTCAACAGTTCACTTGCGGATATGGGTCTTTAGCAGTGGAAGGAAACCCACAAGGTTGAACAGGCGACCCTAGTCCATGTCACAAGCTAGTGTGGGATTGAAGAAACCACATCACCCGACGCAGTGATAGACCTTATGATCTAAAATGAATGTATTAGAAAATAACAGAAGTATTGAGTTCAGGAGAAATTAAATTTTATTTCCTATTTTTATTACAGAGGATGAAGATGATTATGATGACGAATCATCTGATAGGAAACTGATGCCACCTCCAGCATGGCTACCGCTACACAATCAATGTCCAACAGATGGTTTAACACCTTCTCATACTCTGGATTCATCTGGACAAAAAACGCCCATATCTTCTAATGATGACGGGTCACCGTCTAAAAACGCTCCACTCGCTAACATGTTACCACCAGAAATGATGTCTGTAGATGTCACCAAACTCTTTCCTGAATTCAGACCAAATCAGGTAATCTATACTAATATTTATGACTGTCATTTGTCTGTCTGTTCAGGGTTGGGGGGTTGGATGGCTGAATGGTTAGCGTGCGCGCGCTGTATCATAAAGTCTGTCATTGAGTCGACTGGCGTGGTTTCGAATCCCCGGTTGTACGTGGCAAGGAGTAGGGTCGCCTGTCCAACCTCGTGGGTTTTCTCCGGGGCCTCCGGTTTCCTCCCACTGCTAAAGACCCCTACGCGCAAGTGAATTATGTAAATAAAATTAAACCATATGTTAGTCCCGAAATGACCTAGTTTGTGTCGAGTGGACGTTAAACCCCATTTCTCTCTCTCTCTCTCTGTTCAGGGTTGGCGGCTACACTAGGGCTGTCCCAAAGCTGAAATTTGTCGTATAGGGTTAGTTTGAAGTGGGGAATAACACCTCTGATTTCGGAGATACAAGTATGGTACTTCCGATACATGGCTATACCCGGGTCAACCACTAGTTATTTATTAAATTGTACACATGCAAGTCTGAAAAAGGAAGGCACCTGTCACAGATATTGTCAGACACAATCTGGGGTTTGTTTGGCACGATTCTTCAATCTCTACAGGCTGTTTAATGTCTGTTTCCACAATAGTGAGATGAAATAAAAAGGGGTTTAATATCCTACTGTTCTTCACCAACTGGGCTAATGAAGACGTACATACATCATACCATGTGCTACAAGGAAAATTTTGTCAAGGGTTCTTTTACGTGCATGCAAATGTGTATACGGCACCTCAGCTTTTCATTCCATCCTAATGACTATATATTGTCCCTTGCCAGGTCCCCTGTCATGCACCAGTGACAAGGAGGAACCACGCCAAAAAATCCAGGGCAAATTTCTTGGCCAACACTGGAATCAAACACGGGACCTCTAGGTTAGCGAGCCAGCTTCTTACTCGCTTCAACAATAGTAATGTCACAGACAAGCTCAGTTCTTCTTGTGTATATCATTTTGTCTAGCATCGATTTGTCTATTTTCATTGTGTTTTATGAAATGTCTAATACTTGTTGGAGATATTGTCATCAATATAAACCTTGGTGAAAGCAGACAAACAAACTTTTCCGACACAAAGTTTGGGGGGTTGCATGGTCACAAGGTCTGTCATTGAATCAAGTGGCATGGTTACCATTCCCCTCTGGAACATGACAAGGAGTAGGGTCGTCTGTCCAACCATGTGGGTCTTCTCTGGGTCCTCCCACTACATAAGACACCTATGCACAAGTGAATTATTGAAATAAAATTTAACTATCATATTATGTTAGTCCCGAAATGACCTAGTTTGTGTTAAGTGGACTGTAAAATTTGAAAATTCAGATATTTAGGTAAAACGAACCGTCTGGAATTTTCATAGCTAAAGAGAAAGTATATTTTGTTAACATATGGTCAAGAGAACAAGTATGTCATAAAATATTTTTTCTGATCAGATTTGTTTTTTATTTCTTAACAGGTTTTGCGATTTTCCCGTCTCTTCAAACCTCATCATGTACATCACCTGTATAAAAGAAAGAAGAAGAAAAAGGAAGATGAGGCGAAGACTAAAACCGACGGAGCGCCAGACGATGTTAAAATAAAAGAAGAAAAGAAAGAGGAGGCTGTTATTAAAGTTGAAGCAGAAGTTCCTACTGATCAAGTTGTTCAAGAAACGACAACCAGTGATGTTCAGATTAAGGAAGAGCCACTGGATGAAGAAGGTGGAAAGGAATCTCATCATAGTCCTGATAGCGGTATAGAAGAAACGTGTGATGACGATTGGGACTTGAAGTTAAATCTTGGTCGTCCAGCCTTACCTGAAGAATGTGAAAGTGACGATGAGGTAATGTATGCAAGGAATTAATACTGATTTTTTTATTTAGCTGACTTTCTGTTCACACATAATTATTTAAGCAATGACTCTGGTCAAACAGAATTACTCCTGTCCACCTGAGACTTCTACTGTGTTCTGAAGGGAACAGCCACGCAATCTCAGTTAAGCCTGATGAGTTTGGATAAGAATGAGACTAGTAGCTTTATTACAGAAATCTGGAATGGCTACTTGCAACGTATAGATTTCTACTTTTATGCTAATAGTAATGTTAAGAGATCTTTAGTGCATTAATTTCTTGCAATATTGGGCTTCAACAGAAAAGATTTTAAAGGTTTGCTTGATGTCAGAAAACATTCTCCCTTGATTGCATCCCTTGAAATCCTGGTCATCACTTTCCATTTATTTTTGTTTTTGTTTGATCGATCTTGTAAATAAGAATGTTGATTAAGGTTTTCATTGGAGTAGAGTCTAAAGATTGTAACAATTATTCAAATATGCATTGCGCAGCAACTTGGATATCACTTTTTTCATTACTCAACACTGCTAGTGAAATTAAACAGTTGTAAACCCAACACTCATTATCTAATCGAGACAGACTAATCTAAACTACACAACGGTAGAAACCCAATAATTTTCAATGATTCTCAACAAGTTTGAACAGTTTTCCAACAATGGTTTGAAACTAAACATTAAATATAGAAACTCTCAATAAAACAGCAAAACTACATGATACCTGAGTTTTAGTGTTGGTGAATGTAGTAAATTTATTGACACTCTAGTATATATATATATATATAATACAGTGTTAGAAAATTAGCCATGGTATAAGTTAACACTGTGATACTAGCTGTTTCGGCAAAATAAAATTTTTGCAAATTCTCTGCAGGGTAAAAAAGTAAAGAAATACATTGGCGACGTTTCATCTCATTTTAGCTACAACATTTTCTGGTTTTGGGTGCCAAATATAGCATAGTAGAAAATCCTAAGTTTTGCAGACTGTATAAATATGAATATAATAAAACAGATAAATAAAGCATTGCTTACATTTACAGATATGGTCAAAGATAACAATTTGTGTGGAATATAAAGATAGACATTTGTGCCTTAGTAGGAAAATCTTGGGAAAAAAATCAGAAAATGCTTTTTGGTGCCGTAATAGAAAAATCTACCTGTCTTTATTATCCCAGTCGAAACAGAACAGTAGGGCGTTAAACCCCATTTCATTCATTTCAGAAAAATCCTGAGAATAAAACAAATCAACAAACTATTTTCTTATTATTACAGGAATTAATGATGAAAAATACAGGGTTTTCTTTCCTGGTTTCATGTTATAATTGGTAGATGAGACAAAAAATAAAACAAATAAATGAACTCTGATTTACATTTTCAGGAATTAATGTTGAAAGCTACGGAAGCGATATCGTCTAGAAATAAACAAGACGGGGGGAAGGATGGTGAACAGTCATACAATCTGGCGCCATGGCGATACGGACCAGCTCAATATTGGTATGATAAAATGGACGTAGATGAAACTGGTGAAGGGTTCGACTATGGTTTTAAACTGAAAGAGGAGGTAGGATAGAATTAAAGATTATTTCTAATTCATACCTCAAACTTACCTGAGACTTGTTCATACCTCAAACTTACCTGAGACTATTTCATAACTCAAGCTTACCTGGACTAATTCATAGCTCAAACTTACCTGAGACTAATTCATAGTCCAAACTTACGTGAGACTAATTCATAGCCCAAACTTACCTGAGACTAATTCATAGCCCAAACTTACCTGAGACTAATTCATAACTCAGACTTACCTGAGACTAATTCATAACTCAAACTTATCTGAGATCAGTCCAACCAAATCATCAAAGAGTGGTTGGCCAAAATTCATGCCCAAGAACATCAACTTTCTACTGAGAAAACAAGTTACTGATGGTCTCTAGTGTATCTACACCATAACTACCAAATCACGCGACAGGACCATCTAATCATGACCCCTTCTATCTACCCCCACCCCCAAAGTGAACTGGCACTGACTCATTAAATAGGTGGTCCAAGGTTCAATCTCAGTGTATTTTCTGAGAAAGTTATTTGTGTGAGTTAAGTGAAATCATGAATGGAATTGCCAGGATATATCAAATAGATTTTTTCGTCTATTTCTATTATTATTAGTAATAATGCATAGCTTATTTCATTTTTCAACTAGAGAGGGAGTGGGGTGTTGGATGGTCGAATGATCTAAGACATGTGCTTTAAATTTTAAGGTCTGTCCTTGAGTCAAGTTGTGTGGTTTTGATTCCCAACATGTATGTGACAGTGAGTAGGGTCGCATGTCCCACCTTTATGGATTTCTTAGAGTGCTCCGGTTTCCTTCCCTATTGAAATAGAATTGAACTATGTTAGTCCTGAAATAACCTAGTTTATATTGAGTGGATGTTAAACCCCATATCTATTTCTCTCTTTGTTTAAACAGAAAAAAGAAGTAGATGAGGAAGAGATAAAGCAAGAGATAAAGGAAGATCCAGATAAACCCCAGATGGAGTTTCCTGATGAAGCTTTTCTCATGATAACACAGGTTCAGTGGGAAGATGATATTATATGGAATAGCGAGGAGGCGAAACAAAGAGTTTTACAGTCACATAAAGCCAAGGCAGCGGCTGCTGGTTGGATACCCAGTACTAATAGTAGAACGGCAGTACAGTTCTCACAGTTGAGTAAGTGTTATTTTCGGGTTAATTTGATTTCAGATCGAGATATATTTTTACTATGTGGTTTTTTAAAACATCAAGGGGGGGGGGGGGGGCACAGTTGCTCGGTAAGTATGGCACTGACTAACAAGGAAATCCCTGGTTGAAAATCAATGTTGGCTCAGAAGTTTACTTAATTTGTTTTGCCTGTTTTTCTATCAAAATTGGTGCAGGATAGAGGTTTGGATAAGACAAAAACAAAATAGTCCACTTGTTCACCTAACATAATATTTTACGGTTGGAATTCATTGAAAGTGGGCAAAATTTCTCTCATAGCGCATGTCGTATGTTACAGATCGTTATCCTAATGGAGGATTAATACAAAAAGCTGGTCCACTTGGTTCAATGCATAAATCGTTCCTACCTGGACAAAAAGGTAAGGGCTATTCCATTCAATATTATTTAAAGGGAATTGGAATGCTATTATGTCTAGCTAGACCTCAATCCCCTACTAATTTGTATGCAATTTATTAACCCCAGAGGAGCCAAGGTGGTTCAGTGAGTAAGATGTCGGCAAGCTAACCTGGAAGCCAATGTTCCATCCTGGTGTTGACGGGTAGAGTACTTGTCTGAAAAAGAACAATGTATAGTTGTTTGGATGGTACAAAATACTGAGCTTTTGTGTACACATAGGCGAGCACGTAAAAGAATTTACACATTGGCGTGCAGTTGGAATTTGATATAAAAGTAGGCAAACTTTCCCTCATTGCACTTTATTTGGCGGATGCCGATCTTTTATTATCCCAGTCAGTCAGTAGGATGTTAAACCCCATTACATTTCATTTTGTTAACACCTAGAATTGACACAATTGGAATTCAATATAAAAGTTGTGCTGCTGTCCAGACAAAATTTCCCTCATAGCACATGTAACAGGGCATATATATACCTGTCTTCATTAGCCCAGTCGATGGAGAAAAGTGGGACGTTATTAAGCCCCATTTCTTTTCATTTCCTAAGTTAAATGTTCATTTAATTTCATTTTGAACATGTGATGGTTGAAGGTACATGTTTTGACAAATATGACGAAGAAGTTTAATAGAATTTTTTTATATTACAGAAATCGATACTAAAGCAGAAACATGGTATTCTATATTTCCTATTGAAAATGAAGATTTAGTTTATGGGAATTGGGAAGATAACATTATCTGGGACCCAGAGGTAAGAGCTATAGTAGTGGGTGGTGGGATAGTATTACAAAGGGTTGGAGTGGGGATTACACTTAAAGCTTATTATTACAGTCAGATAATTTTGAAATTTGAATATTATTCACCATATCTTGATGTCCGATTGGGCATATTCCTGGTTGGACGTTTGGAAATTAATCTAGGACATGTCCGCCATATATGGGCGAAGTCGCATCCATGGTTTAAGGTCCTACTGTTCAGTACCACCCCAGCTAATGAGGACAGACATATGCCATGAAGTGTGTTATGTCACGGTTCTTTACACCTATAGCAACAAGTACATACATGGAGCTTCTAGGGTTTGTCTCTATCCCATCGACTAGTCGCTTTTCTTTACCATGTGTTGAATTGGGGTTAATCTCAATATTGTGTCAGTATATATTAAAAAGGGACAAAGTATAATCGTTCGGATTGGACGAAAAACTGAGGTCCTATGTACACATTTTTGTGCTCGTAAAAGAACCCTTGACAATTGGAATTCGAAATAAGAGTAGGGGGGAATTCTGCTGTCCAGGCAAAATTTCCCTCATAGCACACTGCACCGCGTATGCCTGTCGTCATTAGTCTAGTTGGAGTAGGACATTAAACCCCATTTCATTTCATTTCATTTAAATACATGTAATTGTTATAATATAGATTGTATGCCTAATCCACAGGGACACACTGTGAGTTAGTGAGTAAGACGTTGGCTCGTTAACCAGGAGATCCTGTGTTTGATCCTGGTGTTGGCCGAGAAAGTTGATCAGGAATTTTCGGTATGGTCCCCTCATGTCAATTGTGTGGGATGGTGGCTTGAAAATCATGGCCCTGTGCACATGTTGGCATGCACGTAAAAGAACCCTTGATAGTTGGAATTCAAAATAAGAGTAGGTTGTAGTGCTGCTGCTTGGGCAAGATTTCCCTCATAGCACACTGTTCACTGAATGTCTGTCTTCATTTGCTCAGTCAGCAGAAGTAGGACGTTAAACCCCATTTCATTTCCTAGTTCTCCTGTATTAATGTTACTGTATTAATTATTATAGAATATGGATCGTATACAGAGTCCACCTGTATTAACATTGGATCCTAACGATGAAAATATTATATTGTCAATACCTGAAGACAGAGATCCTAATCAACCTGATGAACCCGCTAAAAAAGAAAAGGTTAGTTTTTTTTTTATTGCAATGGCAAAATTTATATAATTTAAATATGAAATTGAAAAATGACTTCTTAAAAGGATACAAACTCTTTAATTTGGGTATGGAAAGAATGTGATGCTTTCATTAGATTTGATATGCCTTAGTGATTTGTTTTGTAATGTGGACATCTTTAGATCAAACTGTCTAAGACTGTGCAATTAAATATATTATTGATTTCTGACATCAGAATCTAAGATATTGCTTGGTAAAGCAGGAATTATATGTATAATATTATTGTTTGATATCAGGAATTAAAGAAGTCTAAGATATTGCTGGGTAAAGCAGGAATCATAAAAGAAGAAGATGAAGATAAAGATGAGGTAAGTGTCGTAAATATTTGGTAAAATTAAGTTGCTGGGATTGTGGCCTTCTCTTAATTGTTTACGCATATACATTTAACATCCAAACAGGAACTGTGACCGCAATACAAGTATTCTCTTATTTATGTCCAAACACTGGACGTTAAGTGAAACCATGGCAGTTAGCTTCTATAGATAAACCAGTTTTTTTCAATTTTTTACATCCAGATTCCAGATGTCACTAGAATCCAATGTAGGTGCTCACTCTGTGGTCAAACGGTTAAAAAAATATTTAGCCAAATCTTCAAACATTATCTATGATACATGTGAAGAGAAACACCATTCTAGCTACCAGTATTCTAGAAACATGTTTTATATAAAGTACTACTGTTTATTTACAGGATGAGTTATCTGTTCAGACTAAAGATCCGTTCAATCTATCTAATGATGAATATTATAATCCTAAAATAATGGACAATGCTTTACGTTCGAATATTGGTGGTGTTCTAATACAGGTAATTATATACTGTCTTATATTATATACTAGGGCCTAGTGTCTGCTCATTTGGAGGGACAAAAAACCAAGTTTGCATTCACGTAGATGTACCCTTGAGAGTTAAATTTAATATAAGAGTGTGTCGTAGCTGCTGTCCAGGCAAAATTTCCCTAATAGCACACTTGATAAAATATGCCCGACTTCATTAGCACGGTTAGAGTAGAAAATAAGGATGTTAAATTTTATTTCTTTTATTATAACTTGTTTAAATTAGCAACACTACAAGCCTTTTACTTTATGTCTGTAGTTGAACAGAAATCTCTCCTTTTCTTATTTTTTAAAAAATATATCAAAACAATTAAAACATATTATATGGCACAATTTTCAAACATGATCATATAATAATAATGAATTTATATAGCACCTCTCATCTAGAACTGTTCTACTCGATATAGTATACATTCTTAATGTGTTCAATTACTAAATGTCATTCAATTATTATATTGTAAAATCTGTTGTGTAGTAATAATGTTTTTGTTTTTTAGCATTCAACACCAGCGGTAGAACTGAGGCAGCCATATTTCCCTACGCATATGAGTGCAGTTAAACTACGTCAATTCCATCGTCTACATTTGAAGAAATATTCCCATGGTGCAATGGCTGAAGGTGGCATACGACCAGTACTACCTCTACTTAAACAAATTAAACGCAAAGCAAAGGTAAAACATACAACTTCAATTTTCTAATCACTGCTTGCATTCTCTTCTTGTTTTGACAAAGAGTAAGGTTGCCTATTCAACCTTGTGATTTTGCCATGGGTTCTCCGGTTTCCTTCACCTGCTAATGACCCTACACATAAGCGAATTATTGAAATAAAATTAAACCAAATGTTAGTCCCGTAATGACCTAGTTTGTGTCGAGTGGATGTTAAACCTCTCTGTCTGTCTGTCTGTCTCTGTCTCTCTCTCTTATATTTGTCTTCATTTGTCTTGGGTGGTGCCTTCAGGGCTAATAAGCAACAAGATCTTCGGATTGTACGATAAACTAATGTCCCAAAATGTACACATTGACGTGCACCACATAAAAATATCCATGACAATTAGAAATAAAATAAGAGAATAAGCAGAAATGCAAAATTGTCCAACTTTATTATTCCAGTAAAGCAGAAAAGTAAGGAGAGAGAGAGAAATGGGGTTTAACGTCCACTTTACTCAAACTAGGTTATTTCGGGACTAACAGACAAGTAGATGTTAAACCCCATTTCATTTCCTATCTCGCATTGCACACATAACCATATCAATAAACATTACCATATTTTAGTCTCAGATTTATTTAAACATTAAACCCCATTCTATTTATAGATGAGAGAACAGGAGAGATTAGCGTATGGTGGTGGTGAAATGTTCTTTATGAGAACACCTCAAGATCTTACGGCTATGGATGGGGAAATCATTCTCTGTGAATTTTCTGAAGAGTATCCACCATTGATGATGCAAGTTGGCATGGCAACCAAGATAAAGAACTACTACAAAAGGGTAATACCATATTTTAAATCTAAACATTAATCTTTTGGTTGAGTTATGCCACTCACTACGACAATAACCCTGTGTTAGAATCCAGGCCCCGGTTTCACAAAGCATTCTTAGACTTAAATTATGAATTTCGTCAACTTTCAATCACTGTTTATGAGAAATATCTTTGATCAAGAAACACCAAAATTTGCAAATAGTTTCTTATTTATGTATTTGATACATTAAAACAGCATAAGCTTTATAAAGGGCTGTGTTTTAGTTAGAATATGGTGAATAATTTTGAGTAAATTCTTAACTTAAGCCTGGTTATCATTTGTGAGTAGTGTGATGCACATGGAGCTGATAATGATTCTGTGATTTTGTTTAAGATAACTCTTGATTTAATTAAGTCCACATCAATTTTCAGTTTTTGTTCCTAACACTGCCTAGGTGGAAGCCAGTTATTTTAAATTGTACCATACTTAATTCTCTCTCTGTCTCTCTGTCTCTCTCTCTCTCTCTCTCTCTCTCTTTATATATTTATTGACAGTAATGTTCTCTTTCAGAAACCTGGTAAAGATTCCAATCCTCCTCAGTTTCCATATGGAGAACTAGCGTATGCTCATACATCCCCGTTCCTTGGAGCCATACAGCCAGGTGTATGTATACAGGCACTTGAAAATAACATGTTCCGCGCTCCGATATATGAACATAACTTTCCTTCTACAGATTTTCTAGTCATCAGAAACAGACAAAAGTAAGTATAAGGTCCATGTAAAATTACCTGTGGATTGGGAATGCCACTTTATAAAAAGGTCAGATAGTTAATAGACAAATTGAATTCTGTTGGTAGCAGGGATTGACAAATATACGTGCAAAATTCACCCAAGCATGGACCTGGATGAAAAAAAGTTAATCAATGTGCTCTGCCCACACTCTAAATTCCACTCTAGATTTTAGTAAACCGCCAACTACCGCAAATTTGTTTAAACCACCGAGGAAATTAACATAACAGATCCACTGCGAAATTAAATAAGTAATTTTCATGGGATATTTCCACATTTATGATTACAAACAGATAACAGAACAACTGGACCTCAAACATGAAAAACGGCCGTAAAAAATAGACAAATTTAGTATTAATTAAAATAAATAATTTCTAATCATATTCCTGATATATTTCCAAATACATGATTATCAAATAATGTTTGATATGGATTGTGTTTTTTTTGTGTAGTTTTTATATCCGTGAAGTAGATGGATTATATTGTGTTGGTCAGGAATGTCCTTTATATGAAGTACCTGGTCCTAATTCTAAAAGAGCCAATAATTTTGTTAGAGATTTCCTTCAGGTAAGTAATCTTATGTTGGACTTGGTCACTGTTTAATATACATGTAAATAAGAATATATTAAATAAATTATTCCTACCGATTGTAGAGGGCTGTCTGGAGTAAGCGGGACGACATTGACCTCTTTACTGAATAATTGGTATTATTACTTATTGGCGTTTAATTAAATTAGATTATCTTTAGGTACACGTAATTAAGGGTGATCCCTGGTTTGTCAGCATTAACTAAGCATTGTTATGCACATGTATATATTGTCCTGTCATATTTTAATAGAGAATAGAGAAGCCTAGTCGAAACGTCGCTCAGTAAAAAGCAGTAATTGTATTCCATAGAATTGTGACCTGTTTACTGAATATATTGATTTATTGATCATTTTGCAAGGAATAGGGTCTAGTCTTTTGGTTGGTATGAAAACCGAGATCCTGTGTACACATTGGCGTGCATGTAAAAGATCCCTTGACAATTAGAATTCAAAATAAGAGTAGTCCGCAGCGCCACTGTTCAGGCAAAATTTCTCTCATAGCACACTGTATGGCATAAGCCTATATTCATTAGTCCAAACCCCATTTCATTTCATTTCATAATTATTTTAAATATATGGAATTATTGTCTATTTCTATTACAGGTATTTATTTATCGATTATTTTGGAAAAGTCGAGATAATCCTAAACGAATTAAGATGGAGGATATAAAGAGAGCATATCCATCTCATTCAGAAAGTAGTATTAGAAAAAGATTAAAACTTTGTGCAGATTTTAAAAGAACAGGTAAATATGGCTATTTATTGTAATCAGTTGAATTTGGCATGGCATACGATGTTTCAGGAGAAGACACAGGCTGAAGCTAACCATCGGGGTTCACTAACCAGACACTCCCAGGTTCATATTCTGGTGTTGGTAGAGAAAAGTCCTTCACATTATAGTGTTGTATGCCTGGCAAAGAACAGCACCTAGTTCTTTGTATGGAGCAAAAATTTGATGTTACATATGGATTCTAACTGTTGTGTCTTGATTGAGAGGGGAGTTGTCTAGTCTTTGGATAGGACGAAAAACCGAAGTCCTGTGTACACATTGGTGTGCACGTAAAAGATTCTTTTGGCTGTTGGAATTTGATATTAGGGTAGGTCAAAATTTACCTCAGCATGCATGGTGTATGCCCGTCTTCATTAGCCCACTCGGAGAAGAGCAGTACGATGTTAAACCTTATTTCATTTCATTTATTTATTTAGGTATGGATAGCAATTGGTGGGTTATAAAACCAGACTTCAGATTACCAACAGAAGAAGAAATCCGAGCGATGGTATCACCTGAACAATGTTGTTCTTATTATAGTTTGATAGCTGCTGAACAAAGGTTAAAGGTACGATAGACTGAGTTAAATTTTGTCTTTGTCGATTGTTATCTAGTAAATATTTACCATATTCCATGTTGTTATTCAAAATAAAAATCCTAAGGGCATTCGCTGTGGAGTATTTTCCCCTTGTTTCTCATAGCACACTGTATGGCCGTCTGTATTAGCCGATGCAGAAAAGTAGGATGTTAAACCCCATTTCATTCCATTTCGATGCCAGTTAAAACTAATATGATTTAACATGCATTATGTAAGAGCTAAATCTGCCTGTTGCAAGTCTTTCTTTGGACCTTAAATGTTATATAAAATATTAATTAGACATTTATTAACATGACAAGACCACAAGCAACTCGCAATGCCATCGGATGGCTCCGATTTTAAGTAGATTAGAATGGTTTGGCCATTTAATGATTTAATTTCAAAACGGAGAAGCGAGGCTATGTCCCGAATGACAAGTTCGGTGGTAACGATCAAGTAATTTGAATGAAATTTTGCATTATCTATTTTTCAAATATTATAGCAAGAATGACCAGCTCTTTATGTAAATCTTACATAATGCCCCTTTAACCTAATATAATATAATTTGTTTCTGGTAGGCAATGTTTTAATGCATCTATTCAATGAAATCAACTAGGACGATAAACCTTTTGTTAAACCCTAGTGTGTTAAAGCTAATTCTGTATGTGTTTGTTTGTATTATAGGATGCAGGTTATGGAGAAAAGTCAATGTTTGCACCAGAAGAAGATAACGAGGAGGAAACTCAGATGAAAATAGATGATGAGGTAAAATTATTTTAAATAATTCAAGCATTAACCCTTTAGCACTTAGACCCCCAGAAACTGCACTAAAATAGAGTTCCTTAAATCTCCCTAAACCAATCCTAAATAAAGATCGTTAAATCACCCTAAACTGGCCCTAAATAGAGCTTCTTAGATCACCTTAAACCTGCCCTAAATAGAGCTCCTTAAATTGCCCTAAATAGAGCTTAGATTGCCCTAAATAGAGCTTAGATTGCCCTAAACCGGTCTTACATAGATCTCCTACCCTAAACCGGCCCTAAATAGAGCTCCTTAAATCAAGTAAGTGCAGGGGGACCGCACCACACACATACAATTAGACAAGACAAACCTATGGACAGGATACAATATACAGACACCACAAAAAACAAATGCACATTTGATATTAATGTGTAGTTTTTTGTTATAGATCAGAACAGCTCCATGGAATACAACCCGAGCCTATATATCGGCCGTAAAAGGTAAATGTCTGCTCAAGTTATCCGGGGTAGCTGATCCGACAGGCTGCGGAGAAGGATTCTCATATGTTAAAGTGCCCAATAAACCCCAGCCTAAAGAAGCCGAAGCCAGGGACACTCCCGTTAAAAGAACGGTCACAGGTACAGATGCTGATTTAAGACGTCTGAATTTGAAGGATGCCAAAAATATGTTACGCAAGTTCGGACTGGCTGAAAGTGATGTAAGTATTATATGTGGTGCGCATAATTTATGAGTTAAATGGTGTGTGGGGTGTACATGACAATCCACATTTTTAAAAGAGATTTTTAAATCTCATTGGCTCTCCTGTCATTTTTTTCCCCTTTCTGAATGATCAGACTTCATCTAGTGGGTCCATCTCAGGTGGGAATTTCGAAGTGAGAGACTAATCTAACGTGGGTTGAAGATAGATGACAATTAAAGATAATTTACCGATTCCATTTCCTCAGTTAAAGGTGCAATCAACTTTTTGCGTGACAGTATCCAAGGCTGATGTAAATAGCCATTCATAGGCTCCATCAAATGGTGTTTCACCTGGGTACAGGGAGCATCTATAGGGTACATTTATATAGTGCCCTAATCCTGATCCGTTGATGAGTTGGCTTTGCGTGCCAAGGGCACATTCTAAAAAGTTGGAACAAACTTTTTGCTTAGCATCAATATAAAGTTCATCTTCGTGCCAAGGTTAGGATTGATGACAGAGCAAAGTCAAATATATATATCTAAAATTTTAAAAGGATACCCAGAATCTTTATCAACTAGCTTGGTAAGTTTGCTGATATTGTTCATTTCAGGAAACTTTGGTTCTCCAGGTCCTGAACCAAGTCTATTCTCTGGTAAAACCTCGTCATGAATTGTCTCAAATTCCAGTAGATTTTGTGTTAGAGAATCTCTTTCCGAGAACTCGACAACATCGCTGAATAGACTTTGATCAAACCCAATTTAATTTTTATTTTTTCAGGATCTTGATCAATAAATAACCCACTTAATGCTTGTGTACGTGCTATGGGGTGTTTTGTTAAAATTTCAAAACTTCAATATTTGAAACTAAAAGTTTTTTCCTGAAATCAGAGAACAGAGAAATATAAATTGGTGTGCCCTTATATGAATTATTTCTGATGTGACATTTTTAGCTCAAGTTGAATTCGTGTTGGTTTTAGGTATTCCCCCAATTTTTCAAATAAATCCAGATCATTTAAAGGAAAGCCTTGACAGAAGGCACCTGTCACAATAATAATAATAATAATAATATTTTATTCGTATTCAGGTACAGTAAATTATAAATACATACATAAATTACAAAAGATATAATACAATATTATACAATCACAATAATGTAAAGATTATTCAATCAGTACATACATGGTGAATGTATATGTTATGACAGGCTGTGACAAGTGCCTTATGTCAAGGCTTGGCTGTATGGCAGAACATTTGGTGCAGAACAGTAGGACATTAACCTCATTTCATGTGAATATTATTTATATTACAGATGAAGATGATATCTCGATGTTATACCCTATTTCATGTGAATATTATATATATTTACAGATGAAGATGATATCACGATGTTACACCCTATTTCTGTGAAATTATTTATATCGAGGGTTTAGAACATAATTGTGATAAGTCAATATATCAAGCATTGTGACTTATCACAATTATGTTCTAAACTCTCGATATTACAGATGAAGATGATATCTCAATGTTACACCCTATTTCATGTGAATATTATTTATATTACAGATGAAGATGATATCTCAATGTTACACCCTATTTCATGTGAATATTATTTATATTACAGATAAAGAAATTATCGCGATGGGAGGTTATAGATGTTGTAAGAACGATGTCAACACAACAAGCTAAAGCTGGAGCTGAAGGTACGTGTATTTCTTCTACACTCCCTTGGGTGGTCAAATAGTTTTATGGGCTATATATCACAAGGTGGGGGATCACGTGGCATGCACGTAAAAGATCCCTTGGCAGTTGGAATTCGATATAAGAGTAGGCCGTAGTGCCACTGCCCTGGCAAAATTTCCCTCATAGCACACTGTATGGCATATGCCCGTCTTCATTAGCCCAGGTAAGGAGTAGAACAGTAGGACGTTAAACCCCATTTCATTTCATTTCATTTATATCACAAGGTCTACCATTGAGTCAAGTGACATGGTTTTATACATGACCATGAGTAGAGTCGCCTGTCCAACCTTTCTCTGGGTCCTCTCCACTGCTGGATACCCCAACACTCAAGAGAATTACTGAAATAAAATTATAAATTGAACCAGTACTCTAAATGAACTATTTTATATCAAGAGGAAATTCAACCCATCTCTCTCTCTCTCTCTCTCTCTCTCTATTGGGTGGGCCAAAAAAAATGTTACCCATTCTGATTGTACCCTGCTTTTTGAAAAAGAAACTTCATGCTTATGTGGCTTTTTTTCTGAAAAGAAATTATTAAAGTATTCACATTTAAAAAAGGAGTGTACAATCAGAATGGGTAACATTTTTTTGAGTCCACACAATTAGAGGTTACAATGGATAAAAAGCTAATGTATTAAGCTGTGTATGAATAAGTTGTAACTGTTTTTCAGCTGGTATGAGTAAGTTCGCTAGAGGTAACAGATTCTCTGTAGCTGAGCACATGGAAAGATATAAAGAAGAATGTCAAAGAATATTTGATTTACAAAACAGGTATTAGGTTATTCCGATACATATTAATATCTTTGGCAAATCTCTAAAATTATTAGGTCAGTCTTGACCTACTGGCAATTAATTTAACTGGCTTGAGAATTGACATGTCATTCAATTAACATGCCATAAAATTTGAATTTCAAAGGATTTAATTATAAAATACAAGTACATTTAAATTTAGTTTTTATTTGTAAAACCCTTTAAAGACATCTTAAAAATTGTCATATTCTCTCTGTACTCAGTATTAAATTGATTTTTCTGCTTGATAAATATGTCTGTTTTCTTAGCGATGATGATAATTTAGAATTGATTTGAAATTTTTATACATAATGATAATATTATTAATGTAAATTTATGATTGCACTCACTTCATCCCTATTACTTGTTCTAAGCACGTGCAAGATAATATCCAATCTTTTTATAGTTACATCGGTCAGACTTCAATAGCATCAACAGAATTTACAGAGTAAAAACCCTTAAACTAAAGATATACTAAAAAAATTTCATTTTCTTTGTAACTCTTTTTCTGCTTGCTCAAAAGATGACTTCTTAGCCCATTATGATAATTTAGTATTTATTGAAATGTTTATATATTTATTGTATAAAATTAATATTTATCAGAGTTCTAGCATCAACAGAAGTTTTATCAACCGATGATGAGTCCACATCTGGTGAAGATTCTGATTTTGAAGAAATGGGTAAAAATATTGAAAGTATGTTATCGAACAAGAAAACTAGTACTCAGGTAGGTACATTATTTTTATTTAATCTTTAAACTACCATCAACTCTGGAAATAAAGCACCTGTATATAGACATTATCAGGCACAGATTCAAGCTTTTGGCGGGCACTATTCCCGGTTTCACAAAGCATACTCAGGCTTAGTTAAGAATTTACTCAACTTTCAATCACTGTTCATGACAAATATCTTTGATCCAGAATCACAAAAATCTGCATGTAGTTTAATCTTATTAATACATTAAAACATCAAAAGTTTTATAAAGAGCTATATTTTAGTTAGAATAAGGTGAACAAGCCTGAGAATGTTTTGGGAAACTGGGGCCTGGTGTCTGGCACTGTTTTGTGTTATGTAAGATTTAGATAAAGAGCTGATTGTTCTTGCTATATAATATTTCAAAATTAGATAATAAAAAATGAATAGTGAAATGCAAAGTTAAAAATGGCTCCTTTCGTCAGGTTTCAGACAACGCATGCAATTAAATTTGTGTTACTTTTAATCCAAAAAAGACTAAATTAATAGTTAAGACTAAAAAGCTGTGTATAACTCTATTGTCAGGCATGGATGATGTTATGAATTTCAGATCTTTTTGGAATGGTCAGCTTTGAACGAAAATATATCGGGCATTGTCATGTGAATAAATGTCAAAATAATAATTTATATAATGATAACATTTGAAGTCATAAAAAAAGTTTGCATCATAATGCATTATTAAGTAGAGATGACGATTTCTGTCTATTAACAATATTTTGTTTTATAGAGATGTTGTTGCAGTCTGTCTATTAACAATATTTGCTTAATAGAGATGTTGTTGTCTGTCTGTTGATAATGTTATATTTTGTATTATAGTTAAGTAGAGATTTTGTTAATATTTTGTATATTATAGTTAAGTGGCGATGTTAGTCATCTGTCATATTTTGTATTATATAGTTAAGTAGAGAAAGAGAAGAGGCAGAAAGACGAGAGTTACGTCAGATGGTGATGGGAGGATTCGATCGTGATAAGGATAAAAATAAAAATGATAATAGAAAAAATGATGATGAAGATTCTATGCAAGGATTGGGTGGTGTGAGTATATTTTTTTGCATTAAACATTTTTTTTATTATAACTAAACCTCAATGCCCCACATGTACAGTTTTTTAGTTACTTTTTAGCACTGAGTGGGCTATCAAAGATGGGCATACAATCTTTTCAGCACCGACTGGGCTAATGAAGATGGGCATACAATCTTTTCAGCACTGACTGGGCTAATGAAGATGGGCATACAATCTTTTCAGCACTGACTGGGCTATTGAAGATGGGCATACAATCTTTTCAGTCAATGACAAAATAAATAAAAAAGTACATAATAGTGTAAATAAACCATGAAAAATTAGATATTATATGAAAAATTGAATCAGTGGCTTAAAGTGTATTAAAATTGTTATTCAATCATTAGTAGAGTTTGTTTATGAAGTTATTATACAATAATCTACATAATTATTTCATAAATTTTACAGGGTGGATTAAAGTTAAAGATAACACGAACATTTAAAGACGAAACAGGGAAGGAATATACAAGAACGGAAATAGTACGAAAACCTTTAGTTATAGAAACCTACGCTCGAATACGTCAGACTAAAGATCCAATGTTTATGTAAGTTGACTTACCATTTGCACAGGGATTGATGTTTAAAAAATGCATGGGCTCAAACAATAATCACTCTCTTGTTAAAGTTTAGAGGATTGAAAATATGATAAAAAAAAAAACAGATTGTGAGAATGTAATAATATTTTAACATTTCTATTTGAAGAAATTTAATAATTTGAAGAAATTTAACAATTTGAAGAAATTGAGTAATTTGAAGAAATTGAGTAATTTGAAGAAATTGAGTAATTTGAAGAAATTTAACAATTTGAAGAAATTTAACAATTTGAAGAAATTTAACAATTTATTAGATCATAAGGTCTGTCATTGTGTCAAGTGGAGTGGTGTTGATTGTAGTTTCCATCACTGTACCAAATGGAGGCCATAGTAGTTGACAAATAACTTATTATTGTGTATTTTAGAAAACAGTTTGCAGCTTTAGATGATCAACTGAAGGATGAAATGAGGAAAGAAAGAAGGAGGTAAGAACATTGTATCATTGTCACTCGGTTCTAAATATATTCTAAATATAGTATCTGATTATACAGTGTCCATTGTCAGGAGACGAAAAAGCATATTGATTTCAAAGAGTTTCTTTTAAATATTGCCAGAGTTATGGCCCTTGATTTCCAACAATTTCTGATAAGTAGAAAAGCTATATTCATGATATCACATGTTTTGTATACTTAACGTTAGCGTAGGACAGAACCAGAAACCAATCAAATTCTAATGATTTCTGTTATTTGACTGATCAAATGACTTAGCTGCTGTGGGAATATGTTTCTTAATTCTGTGGCATAGGTATATCTACCTATCTTTACAGGAGTAGGAGGTCTAATGGCTGTACCTGCTTTGTGTAGATTATAAGGCCTATTATATAGCCACAGATTCGATCCCAGAGCAAGTTTTCTAATCAACCAGTACCAAAGTTATTTTTGCTAGTTCTAAATTCAATTCCTGTATCTCATTTGATAGGATTTTTCTTTATGCCTCAATGATCTATATATTTGAAATTTCCAATATATAGATTTCATGAATTTGAATGTGAAGGCATAACTTCACGAACATAGCTAAAGGAACAGTCTTTGTCGATTTGAAAAACATATTTCAAGCATTTTATAGATTTGGGAAGAAATTGTAGACAGATGACAAAGATGTTGACGTTATCTACCATATTAAAACCCTGTGATTATTTTATAGGATACAAGAACAGTTACGTCGAATAAAACGTAATCAAGAGAAACCACAGATGCCTCAACCTCCACCTAAAAAAAAGAAAAAGAAAGAAAATCTGTCCCTCAAGGTAGAATGTATATATGTCAGTTCTTAGGCTTTGACAACTTTCATTGAGTCTTTGGTACTTCGTAGGAATGGTAGGACAGAGGCTTTTCAACTATATTTGGGGGGTTGAGTGGCCGAGTGCGCATTGAGCCAAGTGGCATGGTTTCGATTCTCCGCTTTTACATAACAAAGTGTAGGGTCGCCTGTCTAACCTTGTGGGTTTTCTCTGGGTCCTCCAGTTTCCTCCTACTGCTATAGAACCCTTAGTTCAAGCGAATTAATGGAATATAATTGAACCATATGTTAGTCTTGGAAATGACCCCTCTCTTTCTCTTTCTCTCTCTCACACACACACACATCAGGACTTTTCAATTTGACGGGCACCTTTGGCAGTTAAGAGTAGGTGGAAATGCCACTGCCCAGGCAAAATAACTGGATGATAAATGAACTAGTAATGCTTGCGAATATCTGACATGTTTGCTATCATGGCGTAATAATATAGGCCTAGGATTCATAGATGGTAATTAGAATGAGAGTTGTTTTCCCGTACCTGTAGCGAGAAAATGGAGGGTGACAGCCAGTCGCTCTCCTGGCCTTATTAATTGGTTCTATCATCTTGGGTTGTTCTGTTTGTTAATGAGAGGGCTAATTATATTTAGGACTCTGGAATATTTCTGGGTTCATCCTCATGTAGCCTATTTTCTATAAATACATACACATTGGCGTGCACGTAAAAGAACCCTTGACAGCTGCTGCATGATGTATGCTCATCTTCATTAGCCCATTTTATTTCATTTTATTTCATTTTATTTGAAAATGAAAGTAGAAAAAGGTATTTATAGAAACATGTTTAATTGTACAGATGAAATGTGGTGCATGTGGTGCTATGGGTCACATGAGAACGAATAAAGAATGTCCGATGTATAACAAGACAGGTGGTTCCACAGCACCGGTACAGGTTGCCATGACTGAAGAACAGGAAGAAGAAGAAGAGAAGAATTTACCGATTGCTGATCAGGAACTTATCAACGTAGAAGGAACCAAAATTAAACTCTCTAAAAATCTCCTGGTTCAGTAAGTGAAAGTTGAATCTCTACTGTCTGAACCGTCATAATTTTTAAATGAAATTCTTTGATTATGAACAAACTACTTAATTATTATTATTATAACCTTGTGTTTAAATTTACCTCTGGTTAGATAAAATCCATTGTTCAAAAGAATAAATTGTTCTCTCTTCAAATATTGAACTTATCTTCACACATTGAGAAATACCAATATGGAAGATAATAATTATGACACTCATCAGAATAGATCTTTTCGTAAAAGAGGGTGGCAGCAAGGCATGTCCATATGCGCCTAATCCACCAAAAGGTTGGGTTTGATTCATGATATTTAGGGGTGATAGCCGATAAATTTTGATGTTGATGTATTTCAGTGCTGAAAGTTTAAAGAGGAAATCTCTGTTATTAAAATTCCCCAAACAAAATGTAGAGAGCAAGAAGAAGAGAAGAATTGGAACAGTTATACATTGTGATTATCTAAAGGTATGGACCAACTTATTACCTTATATAAGTATTGTCCCCTTGATATTTTATTAATATTTATTTTTATTTTATTGATATTTATTTATATTTTATTGATATTTATTTATATTTTATTGATATTTATCTATATTTTATTGATATTTATTGTTATTTTATTCATTTATATTTATTGATATTTATTTAGATTTTATTTACATTTTATTTATACTTATTGATATTTATTGATATAGAAACCGAAACAGTCATCCAACAGAAGACGAACGGATCCATTAGTAACTTTATCAACTATATTTGAAAGTGTACTTAATGAACTTAGAGCTATACCCAATGTAAGTTTTCTAGTAATATTCAAAATCTTATCATGAAAAGAAATGTAACTAATGTAGTAAAATTAATGAAAAGAAATGTAACTAATGTAGTAAACTTTCTGTAAAGAAATGTAACTAATGTAGTAAACTTTATGTAAAGAAATGTAACTGATGTAGTAAAATTTATGAAAAGAAATGTAACTGATGTAGTAAAATTTATGAAGAGAAATGTAACTGATGTAGTAAAATTTATGAAAAGAAATGTTAGTAATCTAGTAAAATTGATGAAAGGACATGTAAGTAATCTATGATAGGATATTTAAGTAATCTAGTAAAATTTATGACAGGATATTTAAGTAATCTAGTAAATTTATGAAAAGAAATGTAAATAATCTAGTAAAATTTCAAACTTTATCAAGATAAGATTCTGCTGGATATTTCAAGTCTTGTTCGCAACCAGGCATAGTGGCTTAGTGCTTAAAATGGTGGCTCACTAACCAGGTGGTCTTGGGTTTGCTCCTAGTGTTGGCAGAGAAAGCTCCTTAGGCGTGGTTTCACCTTGTCAGTGGTGCAGGACAGAGCTTGAAAAGGAACAGTGTCTAGTCGTTTGGATAGCACAAAAAAATGAGGTCCCATGTACACATTGGCATGCATGTAAAAGAACCCCCGACAATTGGAATTCGAAATAAAAGTTAGCCGTATTGCCCCTGTCCTGAAAATTTCCCTCATATCAAACTGTATGGTGTATGCCCATCTTCAAGCCTAGTCAGTAGGACATAAAACCCATTTAATTCCTTTGAAGTCATACAATTGTCATCATATCATATCTTATTCACCACGTCACTATATGTGTTGCCTGTTCTATTTGTCAGTTTTCACATCTCATGAATATTAATATTCTATTTTCAAGACCCAACCATTTTTATTTCCTGTAAATCCAAAAGAAGTACCTGATTATTATCGTGTTGTGAGAAAACCCATGGATTTACAGTCAATTAGAGAGGTAATACTAATATCTATTATTTAGATCATTAACAATGTTTTACTGCTTATATATCCCATTTAAATCATTAAACATACATTATGTAGGATTTAGATAAAGAGCTGGTCATTCTTCCTATAATAGTTCAAAAAAGATAATGCAAAATGAATATATTGAAAATTTCATTCAAATTGCGTTATTCTGAGCGAAGATATTAGCCTTTGAAGGTTTGACAAGATGTGTGCACTGTACTGGTTGTTCAAAGCTTAGCCTCGCTTCACCATTTTAGAATCATTCTAATCTACTTAAAATCGGACGGTATAGAGAGTTGATTATGGTCTTATCTGATCTTATCATGTTAATAAATGTCTAATTAATAATTTATATAATATTTAAGGCCTAAAGAAAGAACTGCAATAGGCAGATTTAGCTCAGGAGCATAATGCCTGTTTAACAATGTTTTATTGCTTTTTATTACAGCTAATTATGTTTCTTTTGCCATATATTTTGAGACCTGAAGAAGCATTTTCATGTCAAAATTTGACGATCTATATTAAAAGTGAAAAACCTGATAACTTCCTCTGACTTTTAAAATATCTATTCCAATAGCCAATTAACATAGATAAATAAAAAAACTATTTTCAAGTTTCTAGGCATTTCAAATTTGATATTAAATGCACCATAATTACTTAATATGTGACCCGATGTTTATTATTGACCATATTATAATGATATGTTTATTTATATTTAAACAGAATGTGAGAAATAAGAAATATCGATCAAGAGAAGATTTTTTAGCTGATATAAATCAAATTGTAGAGAACAGTAAAATGTATAATGGTAAGTTTAAAACTAAACGGTCATGTTTAATATTCATTCGGTCTGCTGTCCTTGAGAGGGTGGCCGAATGGTGGCCAATCATATGGTCTGTCATTGAGTCAAGTGGTGTGGTTTTGAATCCCCACAAGAAGTAGGATTGCCAATCTAATCTAGTGGGTTTTCTCCAGGTTCTCTGATTTACTCCAATGGCTAACAACCCCTATGCACAAGCAATTTACTGAAAGGACCTAGTTTGTCTCGAGTGGACGTTAAACACATTTCCCCTTCCAGTAACACACAGGTCCTTCAAATAATAAAGTGACTCATAAATGAAATGTTTCCAATGATTAAAATCATTTAACTGTGTACGGCCAGAAAAGGATGTACCGGAAATTTTATTTTGTAAAAATAATTTGTAAGCTACTATCTGTAGCTTGGATGGTCAGAGGGACCTAATTATATGAGCAGCAGTATTGACTGACATTCAATTGAAGTCACAGTGACTCAGTGAGTAGGACATTGGCTTGCTCACTTTGATTTCTCGTGTTCGATCTCTTTCTTGACTGAGAAAGTTTATCAGGATTTTCTGGCATGGTTCCCCCTTGTCGGATGGGACTAGAAACCGAGGTCCTGTGTACACATTGGCAAGCACGTAGAAAATCGTTGAACTTGCAATTTGATATCCGAGCAGGCTGTAGTGCCGCTGTCCACTGAAGAACAGTATGATAATAAACCCCATTTCATTTCATTTCTACTTGTGTTGATTGTTTCAGGTCCAAGACATACGTTAACTGTGACATCACAGATGATGGTAGATCATGTGTTAAAAAGATACGCAGAGGTAAGTCTTGTTCTTAATATTTGAAAATCTGAGGCTTTATTTTAAATATTAGATGCAGTCTTTTCAGTGGCCAACAGCTGAAATTTGTACTCAGAATTTAACCCTCAGCTAATGAAATGGCGACAATATATTAAGGATGCAGATTTTAGCCCTCAAGCAAAGAAATGAAATGTGGTTTAACACCCTGCAGTTCTGCTGCAACTGGACTAATGAAGACGGGCATATGCCATACAGTGTGCTATGAGGGAAATGTTTCCCGGACAGCGTTGCCACAGACTACTCTTATATCAAATTCCATCTGCCAAGGGATCGTTTACGTGCGTGTCAATGTGTACAAGGGACTTTGGTTTTTCGTCTCATCCGAATGATTTTACGTACGCTGTCCCTTGCTGGGCCCTCGGTCCTGCACTACTGACAAGGAGGAACCTCGCCAAAAAATCCTGATGAACTTTCTCGGCCAAAGAAGGGATCAAACCAACGTCTTACTCACTTAGCCACTGTGACTCCCCACCAATGAAAAGACTTCAACCTTGTCAGTGGTGGGACGAAAAACCGAGGTCCTGTGAACAAATTGGTATGCGCATAATTAAGATTAAGCCGTATTGCAGCTGTCCAGGCAAAATTTCCCTTGTAGCACACTATATGGGTAAGCCCAGTCAGTGCAGAACAGTAGGACATTAAACTTCATTTCATTTCTCAAATGTCCATCTGGATTCTCCAGTTTACTCCCATAGCTAAAGACCTTACCTTAAAGCGAATTATTGAAATAAAATTGAACCATGTTAGTCCCGAAGTGACCTGGTTTGTGTTGAGTGGACGCTAAACCCCATATCTTTTTGTCTTATTTCTCATATGATGAACAGTAGGTTTAAAGGGACAATAACACTCTTGCTGGCTTGAAAGCTCCAGAAGATAAATAATAACTCTAAGTACTAGATGTTTAAGTGTCTTACCTGTTGTGTAAATTATCCATTACATCCTATTTTACTTGTCCAGAGGGTTCGAAAATATTTTTAAATCGAAGTTTCATTTGAAAAGGTTTACGTTAGACGTTTCAAACCATTATGTTGATTTTTCAAAATTTTTAAATAAGGCGTGTTAAGATGAAATTTGTATCATCAATTAATTGAAACATTCTAAAATAGTACAATTTGTTGACCAGAATAAAGATTGGGACATATTATTCAGTTACAACAAGATTGGTATTGAGCCTTTAACTAGAGTTAAACTCTTATATTTTACAGAAAGAACAGAAGTTGATGAGATTAGAGGCAGCCATCAACCCATTATTAGACGCGAACGACCAGAAAGCTTTATCTTATATCTTTACTCATATTGTAGACCAGATTAAAACAGTTGAAAATGTAAGTAGCAGTCTTCTCCATTCAGATAGTGCCAATATATCAGGTGCAAATACTCCAACATTGCAGGTGTATATGCTCCAAGATATCAGGTGTATATGCTCCAACATTTCAGGTGCAAATACTCCAACATATCAGGTGTATATGCTCCAACATTTCAGGTGCAAATACTCCAACATGTCAGGTGCAAATACTGTAAAATTTCAAAAACAAATATGCCACCATTTTAGTTCCAGATACAAATTTCAACATTTTGTGTCCAATGGTATGATATTTTTTATATGATACCCTAACTTTTCTATGTTTTGAGTAAAATACACCGACGTCTATTATTCTATGTAATACAGCCGCAGTGTAACGACCTTAGATTCTGTGTTTGATCGATGGATCGGTAGATTTGTTTCTTATTCGCAGAACCTGGGTATCGTTTAATAAATGACCCAATTGAATATTAATTTGGTCAGGAAATTTAACACTTGTAAATTGAACACATGATTAAACGAAACCCAGTTTACAGTGTTGGTTGATATATGTGAAACTGGGGCAAATTCATCCTTGATATCCACAGTGGCATTGTTCCGTTCTACTACACTAAGCCCTGATCGTCGGTTGATTCTTCGAACCAATCAAAAAACAATTTACATACAAGTCTTAACGTCATTGTTTACGTTCACCACAATAATCATAGTTGCAATTAAATACGAGTTACTTTCCTTTCCCTGCTCGTTTGGTTGATAAAAATAGCAGAAGTATCAAGGGCAGATAAATGATTATGTATAGTTGAGTAGAATGGAACGATACCACTGGGGATACCTCAGCAAGGATAGGGCAAATTAAACAAAAAGATTAACTGTATTTGATCTTATGTGATCTTGTATTGTATATTTTTACATTTGACTAAAACCAATAGTTAAATATATAATCATAAAATACAAAGATAAACAGTTCACATTTATTTGTATTTCAGTCTTGGCCATTCCAACACCCGGTCAACAAGAAACAGATTAAAGATTATTATGAAATCGTCAAGAACCCAATGGATTTCGCAACCTTAGCAAAGGTAAGAATACAATAATCAATTCCTTAAAGTGACCCATAATTCAGCCCAATAACAGTCCAATGAGTCCCAAAAACTAAGCTTTTGTGAGTAGAATCGTGAGTCCAGACTCAGTTCTGTCATTCCTGATAATGGAAATATTGTGAGTAGAATCGTGATGTAATTAAACACAGCCAATATTTTTCAGCAGTCATGAATGGTTGATATATTCTTTTATTCAGTCGGCACATGCACTGTAGCCAATTAAAGCATTTTCAGATTCGGATGATGCATGCACTGTAGCTCGAAATTCCTCTTTTCGCCCAATTGACACTATTTATGGAATTGAGAGAACTTTGATTCCAGTGCGTTCAGTTGAATATCCCCCTAGAAATACGATTAAATATTCATTAAACGTGTGATATCAAATGGATATAACTACTACTGTGTTATTTAAGAATTTGTAAACGTGATAATATGTTAAAAATTGTTGTTGTTAAATAACAGAGAAGTAGTTATATCTATATATGTCTTGTGTTATTTGTTACGATTACAATAGATAAGAAAACAAACTTAATATAGAACCGTGTTGGTGTTCTGCAGTGGCGGCGCATGCCCCCCTAAATCTGGTCTGCCCTCTATTTGCCCCCCCCCCCCCAATAATTTTAGAAAATAAAAAAAAGTATTTGTGATACGTTTCGGTAATCAATGCCTTCTACAGTGAATAAATCCCACATCCCCACTCAGTCATAAACTTGCATGTTATAGAGCATTTAGACCGTCTATTTTTTAAAACTTTCTTGGGGAGGTCCCCAATGGACTCGCTACTTTGTTGCTCACAAGGGGAATTCGTTGAGGTTCGCAATTCAGTTCATTTGACATTATTGTTCTCTGGTCGGATAAACTAGTGATCAGACGAAGGACGGTATCTGGTTAGATCTATTTATCTTGACGATCGGTGCCTGACTGAATACTGTCAGACAGCATTTCCAGCAGTCTATTTTTCAAAATTTTCTGTAAGGACTCCCTACTTTGACGCTCGTGAGTGGGCTTCGTCAAGATTCGCAAGTTTGTTTGTTTGACACTTTACCTCAACGATCAGTGCCTGAAGTACTGCCAGGCTGCATTTCCGGCAACCTGTTTTTCAAAATTTTCTCTTGTGCCTTTGCCCCCTTAACCTTGGACTTTGCCCCCTTGACCTTGGACTTTGCCCCCTTGACCTTGGACTTTGCCCCCTTGACCTTGGACTTTGCCCCAGCTTTGCCCCTCCAATCACCGACGGCTGGCGCCGCCACTGGTGTTCTGGTGTAGTTGACTGTAACAACAAGTCAAATAGAGAGCCAACTTATAATAGGGTTCTAGTCTCACACTACCTTTTGTTTAGTTAACCATAAATAATACCCACAGTACTCAGACATTTTATACATCTGTCAACAATTCTGCTAAACCTAAAAACAATAATCACATCACTCACACATCCCACAGCAATTCTACCCTTTTTCCTATCATTTTTAGTGTTTGCAATAATAAAAAGATGAAACGTAATAAAGGAGAGTAGTCTCCCTTTTCATAGTTCACAGCTTTAGTTATTAATGCGACGTTGATATCAGCTTCTGATATTCATTGTTAAATACCAACATTATCATGAATTTTACATGACTATCTCTTTTTCATGGAATCCCATTTTTCCCCTATAGAACCCCTCTGTGGATCACTTTGGCATCAAAGACCCGCCCTTAATTATATAACAATTTTATGGACCCCTAAGGAGTCTGTCAACCCCAGTTTAACATAACTTGACTGTCATTTTCCATGGATCCCCACTTTCCCCCCAATAGATCCTCTGTATGCACCACTTTGGCATCGTTGGACATTGACCGCATAATTATAAAATTATTCAACGTTTTCTGTGGACCCCAGGTTAAGATATTTGCCATAATATAATATTTACACACATTGACCTGTAAATTAATTGGTCAACTTGTAGACTTTGTTTTAATCTTCGTTACCAATCTCTGTCAATAAAATCAATGACATTTCTAAAAGTATGATTTATAAATTGTATTTATTCAGGATGTAATATTGATGTGTGATTTATTATAATTTGCGTCAGGATGTAAACTCTTAATCTAATAAGTTATGCATCTGACTAAATAAACATCCTGCTAATTGTACAAGTACAGTTTGTATATCTGGTCGTAGTAATTTGTTATATATATGGATTATAATGCTTACTGTCTGTCTAGTAAAGATTCTTTAGGCAACACAAATAAAATAACTTGTTTCTCGGGCACCGCCCGCACGCAAAATTGGTTGCGCGTGCAGTCTATTTATTAGTCTTGATGAAAAAAAATAAATATGTAACGCCCGCCCGCACATCGACAAGCAAGTCGTAAAAAAAATATCCCGCATGTACCTACATCCGCCATACATGTATATCTATTCAAATGTATTAAAACTGATTCAGATGAACATGCTGTCTTTTTTATCCGAACAATGGCGAAGTTTGGCAGATTTGCCTTTTTTATTGATATCGAAAGAACCTCCATTTTGTATCACGTGATATTAATTACCTCCCCTGATAAACTAGAATTTGATTCGTGTTAAAAGTCATTGGCGACAATATTTCAATCATTCGATCGTAATCGGCTCATTATTGCCGGCTTCAGTCGGTCCTTGTTTGGAAAATCCTATTGATAAAATAATGAACCGTAGAACAGGTTAATTAATTATAGCTAAGAATACGATACGATGACGATAGTCGTCATAATGCATACCTTAGAATCTGGGTCATTATTAGCACATTTACGGTAGTTTCGATAATCCGGAAAATAATAATTGGATTACCGATTTGATGGTTTTACTGACCAGTTGTTAGTTAGATTTAAATAGTCATTCAATATAAACACCGGATAGAACACCGAATATCCTGAGAAACACACCGAATATCCCAAGAAACAGTATTTCCGGCAATCTCCAATACCGATGACACGGTGTGACATGCATTGGTTGGAATTCGGTAAATAATTATAAATAAACCGGCGATACTAGATTTAGTTTTAAATACTGTTTACCATGATTATTATTTTTGATACACCTGGTGAAAGAGGCTTAGTTTTTAAAAATATTGTTGTCTTTATGGAGGGCTATTACATAGTCGTATGGAATTTTATTTTAAACCAATTTCAATTATGTGAATTAAATATGGAAAATTATTTTCCTTTCAGTCAGTGTTCAGTCTCAGTGTTTTAGTAGACTTGATTTTGGGTTTATGTTTTAAGTATGTACAATAAAGTTGAATATAACGGAAAGCAAAAACGTAAACAAGTAATGACTTTCTCATTTAAAAAAAAAAAAAAAAAGAAAGACCGCCCTCCCGCCCCAACAATTTTCAGCAATAGCCAAATTTTATTTTGCACCATCAATGAGTAAAAAAAAAAAAGAAACCGCCCTCCCTCCCTACAGTTTCAGCTGTCAGTTGCCCGAGAAACAAGACATTTATTTTGTGTGGCCTTATATCTGAATTTATGTATCCTATATAAATTGAGTAAAGAGAGGATGAGGTGGGGGCGTCGGCATAACTTGATGCTGTTATGATGAATAAACCACCTCTAGTTTCAACTTAAAATAGATTTTGTACTACTACTACTGTAACCGAGTGTTTCTAGCACAAATTTCTTTCACATTCATTCAATATCAAATCTTTGTTTAAAGATTCGTAAAAATTGTCTAAAATCACCCAAAATCATCCAATTTGTACTTGTGTCCAGTTTAGAGCTGACTGATTAATTCTGATAAAGAGTGTCCAATTTACAAGTATTTATTTTCTTGACCACCGTTCAAAAATTAATAATTATACATCACCAATCAATTGGGTTGTTTTTTTTTTAACAATGATCGAGAAATTAAACGCTTGTAAATTGAACACTCATTATCAAAATTGAATGGTCAGCTTTAAACTGGTCACAAGTACAACATTAGATAAATTTTGGTGATTTTAGACAATTTTTACGAATTTTTAAACAAAGTTTTGATATTGAATGAATGTTAAAGAAATTATTGCTAAATACAGAAGATTAAATGATACGCAGGTTACAGCACTTGAACTGCTGTTGAGTGGGGATATTTTAAATAATTTATATAAATTGAGTTTAAAAAAAGGGGGGGGGGTAGGACATAACCCGATGTTATGATGAATAAACTGCCTTTCATTTTAACTTAAAAGGACATATATAGCTCTATTCTTTCAAATATAAAAACATAGAGGACAATGGGTCTAAAAGCACATATTAAGTTAATACAAATGTATATAAAGTGATTTACATCCAAGTTTTGAGTTTTTTCTATTGCAATTTCTGATCAATTATGTTCTGTGAAATATGTGAAGAGTCCAGATTAAATGGCAGTTGTTTACACCTGCTTACCGGTAGTCCACTCTACACGTTTTTATTACCGGTATGTCATTTGTGAATCAGCTATTACTTGTGTTATTTGTAGGATATATTTTTCTTTGTTCGTTACAAATTACGCCCAAAACCATAAATGCACGACTCGTGTACCTACTGATTTTTAAAATGTTGATTGTGTCTTAAAAATTAGATATTAGGATCCCATACTTTCAGGGCAAGATAACATCAATATTGATTGAAATGGACCAATATTAAATTCTAATTCTTTTTTTTACTTTTGAATTTTATGGAAAATATGGAGTTAGAGGTTTACCTCCTTTAAAATCTATTTTGTACTACTGTGTTGAGCAGGGATATTTGAAATATCTTATATAATGAAGTCGTAATAATGTTATGTTGCTTTATTATTAAATGGATTATTGTATGGATTATTATACTTACTGTCTGTCTCGCATAGATTCTTTTTATTACAGACAAACCTAGTATTTGTTCATGTTATTTAATAAGCACATCGACAAACTAGAGTCTAATATCTATGTTTTACTGGGGAGCCCCTTATCAGTGGTGCACGACAGGGGCCCGGACAAGGGGACAGCGTATATAGTCGTCCGTATG